TTGCATGACCAGGTAGCCTCCAGGCTTCATGAGCTGGCGCGCATTCCTCAAAGTGCGGCGAAGATCTGTAGTCGCATGGAGCACCAGGGAGGCGACCACCATGTCGTACGAATGTTCCTCGTACCCTTGTGCCACGATGTCTTTCTCGCAGTCCAGAGTCTTGAATACCATCTTGTCGCTGACGCCAGAAAATACCTGCTGTGCGGTCTCGAAGAAACCCGAAGAGATGTCGGTATAGGTGTAGGAGGAAAACGAGCGGCCGATCTCTTTCATGATCACCTTGGTAGCTCCACCTGTACCAGCACCGATCTCAAGTACCTTCATGCGGCCGTATCGATGCACAATCTGTTTCACGGTCTGGCCAAGGAAGAGAGACCACTCTCGTAAGCCCATACCGACCTCGTAGAAGCGATCCAGGAGACCATCCTTCGTCATGTGCTCGAGAATCGTTGTCTCGCCTCTGAGAACGGCTGGAAGGTTGTCGCCTACAGCTCTGGCGAGCTGGAGCTCGGTCCTGTGTGCCCATCTACGCGAGAGTCAAGTCAGCATTCCTGATCAAAGAGTCAAGGAGCAAAAGAAACAAAAGGCGTCGAAAAGGACGGTGCGTTTTATCATGAGAGGACGACGGAGTGGCACATACTTTACTTTCAAGGCCGCGATGTCGTCCGCGGTGTCATCCAGCCATCTGCTCTGAGAGTATGGTCTCGTCCCGGTAGTAGAAATGACGTGGTGGTAGAACTCAAACATGCACTCGAAATGCCACTCGAGGTTCATGGTTTGCCTGACATCCTTGGGGAAGAGACTAGTAATGTTCCTCATGTAATCGAGAACGACCCTCTCCATGACCTCAGCAAACTCGTAGTCCTCAGCCGTGGACCTAAAACCGCCCATGGCTAACTCGCAATCTGGGTTGAGCGGCGCCCAGATATGCTCGGTGAAGAACTTCTTATCCATGTCCGCGGTGGGCTCAGCAAAAGCGACGACTTGAATACCCTCCATCTGTACCAGACCGGCGCCCTCGTGGGTATAGATGTCGACATCGCCGCGGAGTTGTTTGGAAGTCATTGGGTTCTCAGTCAGGTGCGCGCACGAGTTCACGCTCTTGCTTTCTGCCCCGAGGTGCTGCTCGCACAAGCCGACATTGACGCGGAAGCTTTTGATCCCAGTGGGAACATGCAGCTGTTGAAGACTGCCATCACCCGGGAAGCAATACGCCAAGAAAATGCCCTGTAGCGCCGTGTCCAGCATAGCCGGGTGTAGGAGCATCTGCACTGGCTCATCATTCTGTGCAGGCACTGAGATGGTTGAAGAAGAGTAGTCGAGCCTTCTCTCGATCGAAGAGAGCGTCCGAAAGTCGCCGCTATAGCTGTAGCCAATGGGCTCCAGAGAAGAATAGAACCGGTCTTCTGAAACGCTGGTGAGATTTGGAGGATCAGCTTTTCGTGATGGCAGCCATCGGGGGTGCGCTTCTCCAGTCGTCACCCGGATTCTACCTGTCGCATGCGTGGATAGAAGTTCTACTTCTGCATTGTTCGAGGCATGATATGAGAAGGAAGCGACGTAACTCTTGTTGCCCTCTTCCTTGGCGATGTTGTGTAGCGTGAAGAGCGTCTCGATGCCGGCATCGCTATCACCAAATACGAGCGGCTTACCGAGGCTGAAGTCCTGTATCTCTATCACAACAATGTTTTCGTCTTGTGACAACGATCTGGCTGCCTCTACGGCGGTGGCGATGTACGCTGTTGCTGGATAGATAACCTGACCCTGGAGCTGATGGCCCCGGACCCATGGCATCTCACTTAGCTTGAGCAGATTCCTCCAGCGAATCTCATTCTCGGTCACATCAGTTGTTCTCGCGCCTAGTAACGGATTGTGAGGGTTCTTGGCTCTGGCTACAGCTCTAGACATCCGAGACTCGTGCCAGTAGAGTCTGTCATGCTCCCAGTGGTATGTAGGAAGATCCTTCAAGAGGTCTCGGCTGAGCGCACCGGATGTTGATAGGTCCATCGTGTGGAAGTCGACTGGAGAGGGAGAGAATCGAGACCACAGGTCGCCAAGGGCATTGCTGAACGTATCGATGTCGTCTTTCCCACGGTGCAGCAAGCCCACGTACGGCAATGCTTCCGCATCACTGTTTGCACGAAGCGTCTCTAAAACTGGCCCCTTCAACGCTGCATGTGGACCAACCTCAATAGCGAAGTCGAATTGGCCTTCTTTGGCAGTGGTAGCAGACTGTACGGCCTGGGCAAAGAGAACAGGTCGGAGCAGATTATTCACCCAGTATGAGCCAGAGAGATCACAATCGCCCTGCATATCGCCGCGCATCTCCGTATTCTCGTAGGTGCTAGAGTACCACGAGAGGCCTTCCCGCGTGTCATGTTGAGGTCGGATGTTGCAGCCTTTCAGACCCTCGAGGAAACCAGCTGCCACCTTCTCCATGTGTGACGAGTGATATGCCTTGTCGACCTTCAAGACTCTTGCAAATTTTCCTTCGTCTTGGAGAATCTCCCTTGCCTGCTCAATGGCATCGCTATCGCCCGAAAGCGTGACAGCTGTAGGCGAGTTGTAGGCGGCGACGCACAAACGACCCTTGAACATAGGCAGGTCGCAAAGCTCGTTCGCGTCCTCTGCAGATGCGCCAGCGGCCATCATGGCTCCAGGCTTATCGGATGGACAAATAGTTGAAAAGTAGCCACGGTAGTACGCAATCTTGACCGCCTCCGCTCGGGTGATGAACCCTTTGGCGTAAGCTGCGGCAATCTCGCCTGACGAATGACCAATGATCGCATGGAAGCTGACGCCTGCGCTGCGAAGGAGATCGTACAAGATGATCTCGATTGTTGTTGTGAGTGGCTGTGCAAATGCAGCTTCTGCGACGCGAGACTCAGACGCGTCGCAGGTGAGCTGGTCCACAAGTGTCCAATTTGGTCTGTGTGGCTCGGGGAGACGCTGTAGTTCACGATCCAGACCTTCGACTATTGTCCTGACATACTGACTCTTCATCAAGCCTTTGCCCATAGTCGGCCACTGTGCACCCTGGCCAGTGAACACGCCCAGGATCTGTACTGGCCGCGAGAGCTCTTTCGCACGGGTACCGAAACTGGAGCCAGTACCTCCTTCCGAAGATGCGGCCAGTAAGTCGTCGATCTTGGCTTGGAGGTCTTCCGCCGACTTTGCCGATATGCTGGCTCGGACTGCATGATGGGATCTTCGAGCATATAGGGTGTAGCAAAGATTGCCGAGGTCGACAGTAGGATGAGATTGGAGGTACTCGGAGTAGTAAGACAATACTCCTCTTAGTGCATTGCTAGAAGCTGCTGAAAAGTTGAAGGGTGAGAAAAGCGGAGTGGAAAGAGTCGTATTGTCCGGTGTAGGGGTGCCGGCGGGGGGCAGAAAGTTCTCGATGATGACGTGCGCGTTCGTGCCTCCGAAGCCGAAGCTGTTGACACTGGCACGGCGAATACCATCCGCGAGATTTGGCCACGGTTTGGAGCTTGTCGCAATCTCGAGATTAGTGTAGAACGGCTCCACGGCAGGGTGAAGTTTGTTGAAAAGCAGATTGGGTGGTATGACGCCGTGCTGTACTGCGAGAGAGGCTTTGAGAAGACCAGCCAATCCCGCAGTACCCTCGGTATGACCGATGACGGTCTTGATGGAGCCAACGTAGAGTGGATCGCCATTATGGGACGTACTATCGCCGGGGTGGAAGAAGGCTTTGCTGATAGCCTCAGCTTCCTTTGGATCGCCAGCCGCAGTTCCGGTTCCGTGCGCCTCAAAGTACTGGCAACGCTGATTGGGGTCTTTTGGATCCAGCCCAGCCTTCTTGTAAGTCTGCTCGATGAGATCCATCTGTGCAGAGGCACTTGGCATAGTGATACCTTTCGTTCGACCATCCTGGTTAACTCCACTCTCTCGAATGATGCATTCGATCTTGTCGCCGTCGGCGAGCGCAGTGCTGAGACGCTTCAAGATCACGGAAGCTACCCCTTCGCCGCGCGCATATCCGCTAGCATCAGCATCCCACATGCGGGACCGACTATCGGCTGACAACATATGCAGCGAGCTCTCGGCAATGTACTGGCCCGATCCAAGGATCATGTTAACTCCCGCCGCGACCGCAACGTCCGAGTCGCCGCTTCGCAGTAGCTGGACTGCTTGGTGGACCGCAACTAAGCTGGAAGAGCACGCAGTATCGATGGTCATACACGGGCCATGCCAGTCGAAAAAGTACGAAATGCGATTCGACATGATACTTCGAGCCGTTCCTGTCGGGGCATATGTTGGCAAAGTATCGACGTCTTTGTGTAAATGGTCGTGGTAGTCGGCACACATGAGTCCAACGTAGACTCCAGTACGAGAGCCGATCAAAGATTCCAGCGGTATTCCCGCCGCCTCCAGCGATTCGTATACGACTTCCATCAGCAGGCGCTGCTGTGGGTCAATGGCAGCTACTTCGACGGGCTTGATATTAAAGAAGCCCGCGTCGAAGTGACGATGATCCTCGTCGAGAAAGTACGACTCCCGAACATCTGTCGTTGCGTGGTGGTTCGGATCCGGATGATAGAAGTTGTCAATGTTGAAACGATCCTCCGGAATGTGCTTGAGAAGATCGCGCGGGTTGAGCAGAAGCTCCCAGAGTTTGGACGAATTGTTCGAAGAGCCTGGGAAGCGCATGCCGCTTCCAATAACGGCGATAGGCTCTCCATTGCCATGTGAAGTGTCGCGGTGAGCAGCCATTGCGAATGCAAGTTGGTCGTATAGCTTGGGACTCGGTGTTGAAACTCGTCAATGATCGCAGTCGCGCGAAAGGATGTGTTGAGGCAATGTTTTTTGGTCAAGTAATCCCTTTCATTCGTACGATTGAACTACACTACTATCTACTAACTTGCCTACAAATGCTCACTCAGGGCGGACCCAGCTTTCCTGTGGCGTTCTCGACTTCGGCTTCCCGTGCCAACACCAATATTGGAGAGGATTTGGAGTCACTGTCTGTCTGGCTCATGTATTTCGGCATCGGTGTCAGACTCGCAAAAACAGCCAGTCCGATTCGGGCCTCTGCATGGAATCATTGTGCGAAGCAAGGAACCGGAGCGGATAAAGATGGTGTGAAGAAAATGTAGCCTCATCGCGGCGGTGCCGAGTATCCGACGTCGGTACTTTTCTCTTTCGATATAGGCCGTGAAAATACCGAGTGGTCTGCTGGGCCACGGTATCGGTACTATCCTCCAGTAGCGCTCAGGCTGCAACAGCTTGTAGTGAAGGAAAATCGTAAGTACCGAAATGATGACACAATATATAGGCGGATAGGTCTTTCTACCACATGTTTGCCTATTCGACCGTGAGATACGACCCGCAAACATTCTCTCTGTTCATCTCTACGTAACCAAGCGAGTACGCGACTGTGACCAAGTCCAGCGAGGCCGAATCGAGTTGTCGGCCCAGTGGATCATCCAAGCAAGGAAACCAGCATCAGTCATAGTAAGTTCTTTTGTAAATGAGGCAACGTGTGCAATGTGCTAACCATATCTCCTCAAGGCCTTCTTCACTTTCCCGCAGAAAACATGCCGTCAGGACCAGTCATAAGTGATTGGATCTGCAAGTCGCTAGTCTTCTTCCTCGCTATCGCTATGCAAGCCCGCCTGACCACGAAGCTCACGCCCGGTTTCTCTAAAAACCTCGAAGAGAGACTACCGGACCACAATAGAGTGCTGTTCTCGTGGTGGCTAAACCCTTCGGATCAGCAGCTGAAAGCTTTCATGCTCGGCGTCAGCGCCTTCCTCTCGGTCGTGCTCTGGGTACCGAGCCTCCGTGGTATCGGGCTGCCGATGGGCGTCGTCTTGTCTATAACAGGGCTTTACTCTGATTTGCAGTTGAAGGAAAGCTTCATTCCGCACACTGCTCTTTTGTTAATGTGCTGCGCTGCGCTGTATCTGGAGTAGTAGAGAGTGGTATCACGAGGGCAATGGATATTGTGCTGGACAATGTGCCATGCACTTCGGCGACCTGGCGCTATCGATGTAGCTGCGCGCTTGCAATATCTCTCTTTGTCAGGTACTCTCGCAAGAAGTCACGAGCTCTTGGTTTGGACAAGCTGTATATATATCAATCACATATACCGCCTCCCTCCACATGTTACGACCCTTTCATCTTCTAGTAGGAGAGTATCTTCGAACCAGAGAGCCTCCGGCAGAACGGTCCGCTAGCGTGAGGCTAGTAAGTGGGTCGGGGCGTAAACGATCAAAGCTTCATCCCTTAAAATACCCGTGGACGTGTGCAGTCATCTTCTACACAGCTCGTATCGTGAGCACATCGCACGCCTAAAAGGAGCCTGTTGAGCGTTGAGGCTAATACTAGATCATTATTTCACACCGGCTTTGGCTACATATTGCGAGCTTAAAGATTGCAATCTACTGCCCCCACCCGTACTCCGCCCTCTGATTCCCGCCCCCTTCGACACCGTCACCCACATTGTCCTCGTCAACCTGCTCGCCATCATCCATCACAGCGCCTTAAGCGCAGCAGTAATAAAGCACAACCAAGCCGGCAGATCCGTAGTCCAAGCCCTAATCCAATTCATCCGAAGCCAAGACTCCATAGAGATGACAACATTACCCTTTGGGACGTTCTTCTCGATAGCTGCTATGCGGCGCAGAGCTGTCGGCGCAAATAGCATATGAGCTAGGCTGAAGAACAGTCCCCATGCATACCACGTTGTCGAGCCGAGTTTATGTCCCGGTATAAGCAGGTTGAGAGTGCCGAGAAGGTAGTTGACGGGGTAGAAGATGATCAGCACCCACTGCCATCGAAGGCCGCCCCTAGTCCACCAGGCCGGAAGTATTGAGTTTGCCAGTGGGCGGATGGGGTCCTGCACCCAAGTTCCGAACATCAGGTGCTCGTCGAGGGCGAACATGAGGGTCATGGAGGATACGAGCGCCGGACTGAGGCGGAGAAGCCGGAGAGAAATCTCTGCGAGTGACATGGCTGGCCGATAAGTAGGTGGGTAAGAATTAATGTTGGTAGAGTTCAAGAGGCTGGTTTCCGTGCTTCCAAATCAAGTAATCCTGGACATTTGCGACGCTTTGGAGATGATAGCTGAAAGGTCACCTTGTTGATCGCAATTTATCCCTGCAATTGCATCAGTTCTTCTGTCCCCGAAGGTCTGTGGGACGTGTGTTGTGGGAAAACTGGAAAGTACCGAACACCTGGGCACGTCTGACCGTCTGACAGCGCGTGCATATCACGCCACTCGGCTACCACGTCCCAGAAAATCCACCGAAGCCCACTCGGCTCAATTCCCCACCATGGATCTGAGTGGTGTCATACTTGCGAGTGTGGTGTGTGTTCACTAAGCTGGAGGCGCATTAGAGTTCTGAAGGAGTATCTTGCCCAGACTCAGTGCCGAAGAAGTCAACTCGTCAGCTTTCTACTAGGTGATTATACATCTATTGTCTTATTAACGATATGTATGAGGATCTATTTGCTCGCAACGCCGCTCGATGCTGTCACACATCGACATCCTTCACACTGGCTTGTATACGAGCTCATGTAGTCCTCGGATCTCCTCCTTCAGCGCTTTAGTCCCAGCTCTATCTGCCGAGCCATTTCCGCATCCTTCGCTTTTCAGCATCAGCTCCAGGAGGTGCCGGGGGATGACACTGCTGCGAGTATCGCTCTCGCATCCATCGCCATCTGAGCCACCCTCGCGTTCATTCGGGTAGCCTAGTAAACGGCCAATTCTATCCACCATTCTAATTACAGCTTGAATAAGGACAATGATCTGCAGCTCCGGATCGGGAGGTAAGGAGACGTCAACTATGTTGAGGAACGAGATCGTGAAGAGATTGATCTGGCGGCGTGTGGCGAGTAACGCAGCTCGAATGGCGGAAAATGTATTTCGACAGAGGTTTAGAAGGTTTGTGTGACAAGATAGTAGTAGAAGACTTGTAGGCATGTCAACACTAGTGCTGTGAGACGAGTCGTGCACTAGAGTGAAGTCAACACTGCTATCTGTTCGACGTCTTTTCAGCGGCGATCGGCCTGTCATCTCAGACATGCGACCTCCTGATTCGTCAATCTCCACCCCCTCGATTGGGCTCAGCCAGCTGCTAGTTACAACGCTAGACTGGCGGTTGTTATTTGAGTCGTAGATAGCCGAGTGATTGGGTCCGACGATGTCGACGAGCAGCCTGTGGTAGGTATGAAGGCTTTGCATCATAAAGACGACAGTGTCGCAGAGAGTACGGTTCTCCGCCGGTGGTGTAGCCAAAGCTGTCAAACCCAAACTTGCATGGGTGTTAGCAGATCCGGTTGCTGCGCCCAATTGTCGGGACAACTGCATGTTCAAGTCCGACAGCTCTTGCATCGTCTCTTGGCGCATTGACGAAAAGCAGCTGTGGCCGTTAAGTGGCTCGGTAGAATCGATTGCAGCTCTTTCGGCTTCGGTGAGAGCTGAGATAGACTGGTCCGCGGAATGATCCATAGTTGAAAGGAGGAAATGTTCGGTCGGTAGGTTCATCGAATCGGCTTCGAGCGTGGCATCCCCAGCGAGTGCAAAGTCGAAAGGGTCCAGATATTGGACCGTGACACTTTGTAACGTTGGGTCAATCGGAGTATCGTCGAGATCATGTACCAGCCAAGCGTCGCTGTCCATGGTAAAGTCGACAGCGGTTCTTGTTTGAGATAAAGCGTTGGGAAGAGGTGATGATCGCGTGGGTTGGGATGGGTTGTGAGCACTGTCGCTGCTCTCTCGGGACTGCTCCTTGTCTGCCCGTCTCGGTCTACCCATCCGTACCCCGGTATCGATGATACATGTTGCACCGGCTTTCTGGCACCTTTCGCAAGGGGCCTTGGAATTCGAGCTCCGTATGCATCGGAGCTTCTGACCTCGACATCTGTCACATGCCAGCTGTTGGGATTTTTCTTTCTTTGGTGTCTCCGCAACAGAACCCGACTTGCAACCCGAGAAGCAGCTGGAAGAATCTAGGCGTGGCATGTTGGGGACAAAGAAAGGTCCGCGAGTAAATCATGCGAGGACATGCTAGGTCGGTAGCACCTAGACAGGTAAGGACGAACGATGGTGATAGTGCGAACTATATGCCGTGACTCCCCAGTGTATGGATTGAGGCTAGTCTTCAGCTACAGGAGCAAGTGAGACTTCTCGGCAAACTTGCGATATTGCTATGACCAGCTTACGTGAGGCTAATGATGTACAGCAGAGAACCTTGTAGAACACGAGGAAGATGATAGGATTGACGCTATTGTTGTCTTATCCCGCAGACTAGGTTCTTATCGCAGTTCCCAGAGCGGCGTGCTGCTGCCAGGCAGAGAGTTGGTGGTGGAGACCCAACAGCCACTCAATCAAGAAACCTGCTCTCCCGAGCGTTGGAACGAGGAGGAGCCGAATGCTAGCTGAGGTGTGCAGATGTGGCATAACTGCAATGTGTTAGTGGACGGAAGATGTAGCCAATGTCTCTAAGAGCACCCGTTTGGCTCCTTGTCCAAATGACGGGATGTAGTGGGACTTGCCGTGGAGGATTCAAGGCCGCCGAGACATTTGACCTTGCAGGATGCATGGTAAATCATTCGTTCATTAAGCGAAGGCGTGGCAGTGCGACCCGACAGTGCGACCTAACCTTGGAAGCATGCGTTACAATGCGACCCCAAAACGCGGGATACGGCGGCGGGCCGTTGGGCCACCCGTAGGAGCCACCCGTAGGCTGCCCAGGTGGGTGGGGATCTGATTGCGAAGTCACGCCAGGGGGCCTCTCACATGGGGGAGGACTGCTCCGCGACGGCTTGAGTAAGGCTTTATCCTATCTTCGTCACGCTAACAGCCGTCGTCATCTATTGCGTCATATGCTCGTTGGATTTAATATGTGTATGAGACATGCGGATGTACCTAGATATGATGCTTAGGGGAAGCGTTGCGTGGTGACCATCTGTGGCTGGAGGTGTGGCTCAATATTACTCCGTACCGGCAAAAACGCCGGCACGCTAACCAAATCAAGGTACGGAATGTATACACCGGTGAAAGGCAGCGAGGTGTCTACCAACATGCGTTTGGGGGCTTATTCACACTTGAACGCAGTAACGTCAATGCCACCTGCAGGAAGCCTATTGACCGAGCCGAACTCTTTCCGCGTTCATCACGCCAACCGCGGAGCATCGCAAAACCCTGCGAGGTCGACTAAAACCCTCCGCGGTGATGACCAGACTTCATGCACCCTTGGATTCGTAGGCACATACAGCTCCTCGAATGCAATCGAAGGTGCGAACATTTCCAGACGCTCCATCAACTTTGCGTACGAAGGTTTGCAACACAACCCGTCACCCGCTTATCATTGTACTAAAACCCTGGTACCAGCCTCACGGTCTGCCCATCACCCAAAACGACTAACGGTAACTCAAAGCTATCAGCCCTGCTGTGCAAGATGACACAGCAAGACCTAGCCGCTCCGAACCCGGAGTCAAAGGAAGCTTCGGTCGATGCCCAGGATGCGACAACGGAAAAGAACCCGCCAAAGTTCCAGAAAGGTCCAAGGTTCTGGGCCATCATGGTCGTCCTCTCACTAGTGAGTCTCCTCACGGCCTTGGAGGCCACAGTCACCTCGACGGTTATGCCATCTCTCGTCGCCGATTTGGGTGGGGGCGAAGAGTTCATCTGGGTTTCTAATGCATACTTCTTGACCATGTAAGCCTCTCTGGAACAAAAGCCTCGTGCTTCAGCGACGAACGCGGTGACTGATTCATGTAGGACTTCTTTGATGCCAATGTATGGACAACTCGCTAATGTATTCGGTCGCCGATGGCCCATGATCATATCCGCGATGGTCTTCATGTTAGGGAGCGGTGTTTGTGGCGGGTATGTTATCACTTCCTCAACTAGGGACCCAATCTTTCCTATGAAGCTCGAAGTCCTTGCTGATGAAAAGATAAATGCGCAGAGCGACCAATATATCCCAAATGATCGGCGGTCGAGCGGTACAGGGGATTGGAGCAGCGGGAGTCGCCGTCCTCTGCGAGATCATCATCTGCGACTTGGTGCCACTTCGCGAGAGGGGTACCTACATGGGCGCCGTGTTTGGCATGGTCGGTCTCGGAGCTGCTCTTGGTCCTTTCTTTGGCGGACTGCTCGTGAGTTACAGCACCTGGCGCTGGGCTTTCTACATGGCTCTTCCTATTGGCGGCGCTGCAGTTATACTGCTGTTTGCCTTTTTGAACGTCAAATACGACAAATCCCAGACTTGGGCCACCAAGGCTTCGAGCCTGGACTGGCTGGGCAACGCGCTTTTCGTCAGCGGTTGCGCCCCGGTGCTAGTTGCTGTTGGCTGGGCAGGAGGGAGATATCCATGGTCATCCTACCAAGTCCTCGTGCCGCTCTTTATTGGTTTGGCCACGTTGGGAGGCTTCATCGCACTCGAAGGCAATGCCCGCCTGACGCCAAATCCCATTATGCCACTCCATCTCTTCGGCAACTCTATGAGCCTCATCGTCTTCCTCCTCGCCTTTCTCCACGGCATCGTCACCATGTGGGCACTTTACTTCCTCCCAGTATACTTCCAAGGCGTTCTCGCAGTAGATGCCTACAAGGCCGGCATCTATCTTCTCCCCACCATCCTCGCACTTCTCCCAGGCGCCATCGGCGGCGGGTTGCTACTCAGCAAGTTCGGTCGCTACAAGCCCATTCTCGCCACTTCCTTCGCCTTGATCGTCGTCGGGTTTGGCGTGTTCACGCTCCTGGATGAGACTTCGAGTGCAGGCGCGTGGGTGGGCTTCCAGGTGATAGAATCCTTTGGTGCGGGCTTCGGCATGGGAGCCATGCTACCCGCGTTGCTAGCCTCCCTATCCGACAAAGATACAGCAGTAGCGACAGCCACGTGGGGCTTCATGCGAAGCTTCGGCGTTTTGTGGGGCGTGGCCATCGCTGGTACCACCTACACCAACCGAGCTGCGCAGCTAGCTCGCTCGGGCGCCATCAGCGACAAGATAGTAGCTGCTCAATTCATGACGGGCGGCGCATATGCGGCAGCCGAAGTCGATTTCCTTGACACGCTATCCGCGCAGACGCGTGCGCAAGTGATCTCTGTACAGAGCACTGCGCTTCAGCGATCCTGGCAGGTCGCCATTGCATTTGGCGGAGTGGGCTTCATTGCTGCTGCTCTACTGAAGCAGGTACCGCTTAGGAGCGAAAACGACACTGAATTTGGCATGACAGAGAGTAAAGACAAACCTACTGACGAGGAAGCGAAAGGTACAACAAAGGATGAGGTTCCCACGTCGTGATTCTATCGCCTAAACGCCACCAGAGTAGCATTGAAACAGATCGAGGCGAGCCCAGCACTAGCTACAGGTATTGGAGGTTGCGGGAGAATCGTCCTCTGCCTCCATGGAAGCCACCAAATAGATAGAGTTTCTCTCAGCGGAATGAACAGATGATTCCGCAGCTCGATAATGTATTAGTAACAGCTGTTAGCTGATATTCAAAATTGCATGGTCTCAGGCCAAAGCTCGCGAGACAAATTGAATCGTGTTCGACCATGGACTCCAGAGGATGGCTACTACGCTCCTTCACACGCACTTCAACATGGCCCCGGTTTAAAGTGGGGCGACGCTTGCTGATTGGATAATCACAAACCCTCCTCGGGGGTTTGTCCCACGTGACTAACCCACGCAACAATAGTCAGCCTATCCTGACCAAATCATACGAGCATCTCTCCTTTGACTCGGTCGGTTTGCATTCCCATTTCCGCGCCTATTCAAGCACGACACCAACTATGCACAAGTCCGCAGTCCGGCGCTCCGCTTGCGACCAGTGCAGGGCGAAGCGGGTTCGATGCCTTCGCGCCCAAGACAGCACGGCGGCGTGCGCCCGCTGCTGCTATATGGGCGCGCAATGCGTTACAGGTGCCGCCGGTCTCCCTGGAAGACCGCCGAAGCAGCGTCATGCCGTCGCCGTCGCCTCGCCCAGAGCCCAACGCACGCCAACGTTGCGAGACGTGAATCGCGACAACAGCCATGCAACCGCGATTTCAATGGTGCCCGTGCCTACAAAAGCGTATGATCCCGCCATGCAGCTCCCTTCGCCAAGAGACCCAGTCGCCCAGGAGCCATTACCAGATCTCTGGGGTGCGACGGGCGACATCTCCGCTTTCCTCGACTCTTATCCCTCTTCAATGGATCAAAGTCCTATGTCTTGCGAAGACAGCGCCTCCCTAGCGGATCAGCTTGGCACTCCATCGCAGCTTCAGGGACTTCCAGGTGCACATGATGAATTCGATATGATGCTTCATATGAGCGGAGTTTCCGGCACTGCTCTCGATTTGAATCTCGGTTCTCTCCTTGATTGCGGGGAGGAGATTATGGACCCAGCGCCACTACCCCAATTCTCCTCCGCCGCAAGCTCTCTAGTAATGTTCCGAGAGGAAATAGACCAGCGCATTGCGACTATTGACACATACTACTCAAACGCCGCGAAAGTTCAACAGCGTTGCAAAGATGAGGCTGCGGGAAGAGATGTCGAGAACCCAGCGGCTTTGCTTCTGACATGCACCAAAGAATTCACCGGAATCATCCAGAACCTCACGCCAGCGGGACAGATGCACATGCAGACCGAGGATACACTTAACACGGAAACCTTGCTCCTGGTTCTGTCTAGCTATCTTGCGTTGATGAGGCTCTTCGACTCCTTATTCCAACGCATCCACAAATACCTCTGCCAGGTATCGCCAGAGTCGTACAAGACCATCAAGGTCAAATCGGTACTCCGCATTGGCGGTGTCTCTGCGCTTCAAGACATGCCCCTCAAGGCGTATGCCATAGGCATTCTGGACGCGATCCAGGGTCAGGTGCAGACACTAGAGTGTTGCATGGGGATTCCAGCCGAATACTGTCTCTCAGGCGATGCAGTTGCCTCATCTACCGCGGCAGCTTCGGGTATATTCTCCAGTGCGCAACGACTCCGGCTGTTTTGGACCGTTATGGCACAGGAGGATGTCAAGTCTCTGCATGGAAGCAGCTCGTACGTAGAGTCGATACGGGCCAGTATCAAGGAGTCAATGACATTTCTTGATGACTAGATCAAGCCGGACTGGACTGAGCTATGAATACTATCTAATAGTCATACAAAGGATATACCAGCTTCTGCGCTGAGACTTCCTTACGCTGCAAGACTCCCAGTCCGTCAATCACCTTTGCTAATCCGCCCGGGTTGATCTGCATGGGATGCGGTTTCAATCTTTTGGAGTCGAGCAAGGCGGCAAAGCGCTTGATCCACCCGTGAAGCCAGACGTGGAGCTCGGGGTTTGCCTTGCGATAGTATCCTCCTGGTAATTCCAACTCTAACCCTGCCACCTCTAAGCCCATGACCCAGGTTGGCTTGACAGCCTTCCTCATCGTGGCCATCAGTTCATCCGGCAGAAGCTCAAACCCGATGTATCTACCACCACCACGTCCAATAGCTGCGTAGCACTGACGGATAGACTTCGCCTCGGTAATGATGTCTAGTGCATATTCCAGCGAGTTCTTGGTGTATGCTCTCATGTCCTCCCCGCACGTTGGCGAGTGGTAATCGAAAGCCTTCTCGGCTCCGTACTCTTCCACAAGCTTGAAGTTCTTGGGAGAGCAGGTCGTGATGACTCGATAGCCCGACCTACGAATGCGTCAGATCAATCATCATACGCTCACGACACTTCGCAGTGGAAGGGAAACAATAGGTCGCTCACATGTTCAATAGCTGCATGGCAAAGGTTCCACTGGCCGTAGATCCACCATAGACGAGAACGAATTTGGGATCTTTCGTCGGTTCTTCGGGCGTTCCAGACAGCTTCATCTCCCACCAAAGCGCCATTCCCACGCTACTGGCCACAGCGCAACCTATCGAAGCCGCTTGTTCCCAAGAGAAGTGGTCAGGAACGCGCCATAGGTTGTCAGGCTTTTCGGCAATGTAATCAGTGAAGGCACCCGACCAGGGTCGTCGAGCTTGGGAGGCCATCTGAGCACCAGCAACGCGATCGCCAATTTGCAAGCCACCAAGGGTACCGGCAACATCATCGCCAACGCGCACAACCGTGCCAGAGAAGTCGCATCCATCGACCGTGTTGGGACAATGTATTCGGGCTGGCATTTTGTAGTCGCTACAGAGGTAGACGTACAAAGTCAGTATACGTGTCATATGCACTTCGTACAGCCAGACTTACCAGTGGTTGACTGCCACTGCGCTCACCTTGATGAGGACATGGTCAGGTGACATGGTTGGCATGGGCAGGTCAGTGCGGAGGTCAAAGGACCCGGGTATCGTAGCTGACTGCACAACAGCCTGTCGCAATGGGGGTAGCGCTGGGAGAATTGATGTTTCCATTGTCTGGTACTCTGTAGAGAAGCGCAATCCTAGTGTGCCGAGTCAATTGGATTCATGGCGGACCCAAGATGCCGCTCTCTACTTTTCACTCTGATAGTCAGCTTACTGCATTCCTCTCAGCTCAGGCGGACGAAGTTCTAGAGTGTCAGCTACGGGAGGTCTTCGGGTATTCGGAGGTTGAGAAAATGAAGTCGGGACTTTCCAGAGCTAGCGAAGTGCATACTAGGAGTTTTCGGGACTTTTTGCAGTGCTTGTGAGAAAGAGAAACACCTTGAATCCATGCTTGACCCGTATAATGAAGGTAACACGCGAGCGAAGTCCGTTGTTCCAGCCGACTTACCGCAGTGATTAGGTACTAGCTCAGCTCCGGTACCATGTCGAAGATGTTCACGACACTCATCCTTGCGTCGTTTTTCTCACTCTTTACCGCCGCAAACCTGCATCAGCTACCTCTAGGTTCCTCGGAATTTCCCGTTGATGACGACCTGAACCCAAGATGGGACGATGAATCCTGTACCATCAGCAGGAGCACAGCTTTCGAAGTGCTCGACGGACCCAACACCTTTTCCTCATCCCCATCCGATCCCATCAACTCGATCAAAATTACCCCAAATATCAACAAGACCAACTGGGAGCAATGGGAATTTGATGGCATGTCCCACACGGGCGTTTCTCTCCTGGCGATAATGTTCTCACGCGACTATTCGATGCACTACTTCGGCAGAGGCAATCTACGAGTAGACTTTTTCGCCAACACTGGGGACGGCAAGCACCACAAGATGCTTGAGTACCTCGAGGAGTCTACCATTCTAGACTGCCCTGGCTACACCTATGGTATCTGGAATAGTACGGGTAAATCGTACTCGTTCTATACCACCAAGGACCTCAAGTACAGCAAGCTCGTATTCGATTCGCCAGGCATACGCGGCACATACAAGCTATCAGCTACTACGCCTCCCGTTCACGCCGACGGCTCGACACCAGGTTCTGAAGGCGAGAACAGGGCAGACGCCGCGCTCTTGTCACCCGATCTCTACTACAGCCAGCCTGTCGCCGGTGGCGAGGTGGTCATGGACAGTGTTCTGGGATCAGGACAGAAGCTATCCTTCAGCGGCAGAGGCGGCTCAACCCGGCTCTGGGCCAAAGACGGCTGGCTTCCGTTGACGGAGAGCTGGGTAGCTCTACGTCTCTGGGCAGGGCCCTACACCATCGCCTACTGGCACGTGATATCGCGCGTAGGCGAAGACCTGGGCAAGAAGTTCACCTCCGCCGTTCTCTTCTACAACGACGAGCTTCTGGTAGGCACGCGCGTTGGAAACGTCTCCGAGACGGAAGACTACTTCCTCGACGCGTACAACAGCGGCGGCGAATGCGGAGGATCGTATCACGACAATAACACCGGTGGTGTCTTTGAGTTTGTGTCGCCGGCTCGGGGCAAGAAATGGCGGTTCGAGACGCAGCACATGTTGATGTGGTTTGAGCTGGGTATCGGTGAAGGCCTTGGTATGAGTGACTTTGCGGATCGTGTTGTTGGCGGTGAGGTTGGTGGGCCACAGTATGAAGGGCGTGGGTTGACGGAGCAGGCTAAATTTCCGCTATACATCCCCCAGTGGGTTGTCTGGCTCTTGTATGGCGTGGGGTTTTTGGGGACCAAGAAGGATTATGCTGTTGACTTTGTCAGGGCCTGGTCACCGTGGTGAAGGAGCTAGGAGACTCAATGATTGATGATAGATGGATTCTCAGCTTAGGCTGGGAGAACTTGGTCGTGCGATGCTAGGTAGATGGGTAGGTACATACCGTGTGGAATGGAGTAGTACTTCGATGCTACTTAGCTGTGTCCTATCGCAATATCAGTATGTTTGCTATATCGTGTTGGAACCGGGCACTAGCGTATCTGATACGCCATGATCACGTATTACGGCCATTCCTGGAGTAACGTTTTACATGATGAGCAGCAGTGGTCTGGAGTGACGGATATGAGGCAATAGAACGCTCAACACAATGAGGCTTTCGGGACGCATCGTGACAAGTAAATTGATAATTCAGGGGTCTGCAATGATGGCTTAAAGGCCCTGGATATTCGCGATTGGGTGAGACCAACTAAGCCCTTCATTTACCGTCGTCTCTCCCCTTCCAATCATACCAAGCCATGCAATAAACCGCCTGACCCCCTTTCTTCAATCCCATAACCCTCAGAAGCCTCCTCTCTCCATTCAGCATACCAAACCCCCAAATCTGTTCCATAACCCACCCCTTGGTCTGATGCACAACAAGATCAAACAAATGCTCCTCCTCACCCTCCTTCCCCTCCCGCAGAAAGTCCTTCGTCAACAACACATCCAGCGGCTTGCCGTCATACCCAGTCGCAGTATCAAGGCAGATCATGCGAGTCCGAGCAGAAGACGTGCCGAACAAAGTCGACGAGTGGAGTTTTTCTCGTCCGTCCAACCACCGCGTTTCCGTCTCCTCGCTCAGACCGGCGATGGCGACGGAGGCGGCTTGGGTGAAGATCATGGTTGGGACGCCGGATTCGTCGATCGAGTGGGCGATCTTCATGGTTAGGGTCGCGAGGCTGATTACTTTGCGGATTATCCAGGGGATGCCTTGGAAGACGAAGGCGGGGTCGAGCGAGTCGGATAGGGTTTTGTTCTGGGGTTGTTAGTGATTGTTGGACGATCTGAGGAGATGACCTGGGAAGTGTCTGGGGTGACTTACTAGTAGCCACGATCCTGTTAGGTCATGCATTGTGACCTCTGGAGGCGCAGCCATCTTGGTTTGGGTATGAATTGATCTGAATTTCGGTATGTATGAGGTAGTATGTGAGGTGCGACCTAGGTAGGTAGGTAACTTACATATCTACCTTGTTCGCTTGCTTGGACTAGGCCGGCGGAGTGAATCAGATGACAATAAAGGTAAAGAATGAAGAGAACAGAGATTATGCCGAAAGGTCGTCGATATGTTGCACATGTCAATGGCGCGAATGATATGACGGGGCATGTAAAGTGCCGGTTGCGAAAGTACCGAATTTTGGCAATGCACCATAGGCTAGCACGGCGAACTCGTTAGTGCCATGTCAGCACCGAGTCGGAACTTGCAGGAAGGATCGAGATTAATCGGGAGTGTAGGTTAGTAACCGAAGCAATTCAAGGCCCACCAAATCGTTGCGAGAACGGTACCCGCGGATACGTTGACAGGGTGCCTTAGTTTGTCAAGCAGAGAAGCAACTAAGTTCTTCCTCTGCTAGTTACAGTCAAGTCCACAGTACCGACAGATTGAACCTCAGAACAGCGCGCATCGATCCGGCGCAAAACCCACCATGTTCAAATTCTTCAACAACCCCATTCTCGACTTCGAGCTGACCCGTCTCCTCGGTAGCACCTCAGCCGGCGGCTGCGACACAGCCGAGTTCCTAACCGCAGCTAGCAAAATCAAGAAGAACGACCCAGAATCCTGGCATTCCGCATGGAAGGAACAAGGAGAGCGAGCTGAAGCGATTGCAGAAGATGCTGCTACGAATGGGCTAAACGCCATGGCGAAGAACGGGTACCTGCGCGCGTCGAACTATTTCCGCGCTGCTTCATACATGTTTCTCAATGATGATGCAAGGGTTGTGCTGTTGTCGGAGAGGTCTGTTCAGGCGTTCGTTCGTGCGACGGCATTTATGGACGGGGAGGTCAGGTTGGTGGAGATACCGTATGAGAACGGGATCGATATGCCGGCGTACTTGTACCTTCCTCCTCCAGAGGCGAGACTGCCGGGCAAGATACCACTTCTGCTGTACTTCAGCGGTGCTGATTCGACAAAAGAGGAATTGCATTTCCTGTTCGGGTACTCGGGCCCGCAGCTAGGCTATGCCGTGCTTCTACTAGAAGGCCCGGGGCAGGGCTTGCTGTTGAAGAAGTCGGGAGTTCCTCTTCGGCCTGACTTTGAGGTCGTCGCAGACAAGGTGTTGGGGTTCCTTGATGGTTTGGCCCAATCGCAGCCGGAGTTACAATTGGATCTGGAAAGAGTTGCTGTTGCCGGTGCTGTCACTGGGGGCTACTTTGCTTTGCGCGCGGCTACCGACGCCCGCGTCAAGGCCTGCGTGTCCATTGATCCATTCTTCAGCATGTTCGACCTTGCAATGACTCGTGTGCCGCAATCCTTCGTCAGGCTGTGGAAGGGCGGTTGGGTCACCAAGGAAATGTTCAACTTGATCGCGAGTCTGCAAAGCTGGTGGAGTTTCCAGATACGGTGGGAGTTAGGCCTAGGCGTGAGTAGTATGGGTGTCGATTCGCCCGGTATGATGCTGCGACGCCTCGAGGACTTCTCTTTAAACACCAAGAAGGATGGAAAGATCTTGGACAGGGTCACGTGTCCTGTGCTTCTCACAGGCCCGGGCGGGGGTGCCGAGATGTACTCTTCCGCAGAAAGCGGGGCAGTCAAAATCCACAAGCTGCTCACCATGGTGTCAGAAGGAAACAAGGAACTCTGGACTCCGGCAGAGCCAGCTGATGGCGGGTTGTCGGCTAGCATTGGAGCCTGGCCTTTGTTAGCCCAGAGAAGCTTCTTGTTCCTAGACAAGTATTTTGGGATCGACCGGAAGATAGTGTCGGAAAGCAAGTAATTTACTCAATAGCGTTGGCGTCTTGTGATAGATGAAATGCGATGGAATTTGTTTCTATTGCGATGCCATGTTCAGTACTTGCATCTACTCCTTCGCTCCGTGCACAAACAGTCTCTTGCCTTGCACTTCCTGGAACTTCTTCTCGCCGGGCTCGCCCGCGCGTCCACCGAAGACCAGCTGGCCCCTAAGCTTCCACTCGAGGGGAATGCTCCAGTGTTGGGCAGCCTTCTGGTCGATGATAGGGTTGTAGTGTTGAAGGTTGGCGCCAAGTCCCTCTGCCTCCAGGGCGACCCAGAGAGCGTATTGGTGCATGGCGTTAGTTTGTTCAGACCAGTCGCCAAAGTGGTGGGCATAGAGAGCTGCGGTGGATGTGAGCATAAGCTAGATGGATGAAAGTGGTCACTTACGGAACGCCTTGCGGAGACCCTCGACTGGCTCGGGGTCTTCGTAGCAGAGAATCTGGGGGTGTTTTGTTAGATGTCGTCTGATAAAACCAGTGCATCCACTTACTGTTCCCTTCGCTGCCTTGAATCCTCCAACCTTCTGCTCCGTCTTGGGGAATTGCTCCTCCGGAGTGAGAGGTTTCAGAACCTAGCCCGTATTAGGTACAACATTCTACACCTCGCATTGAGTCCTCCAGATAGTACGAACCTCGAGAACGAAATCCCAGAACTGCTCATGATCGTTGTTCAGAAGAACTACCAGACGAGTGCTCTGTGAGTTGAAAGATGAAGGGACATGAAGAAGAGCCTTCTCAGCAATATCAGTGATCTGCTTGTCGGAGATGGGCGAATCCTTGTTGAGCTGGTAGTATGTGCGACGCTCAATAACAGCGTCTAAGAAAGACTTCTGGGTAGACATGGTGCGCGATGTAGTTGGAGAGGCTGGATGGATGCGAAGAGTAGCTGTTGAAGATGGAGAGAGCAGCGGTGATGCGCTTTTGTATCCACCGCCGACCCACGCACGATGCCTAGCGGCGCGGAGGCTATTTCTCACAACCTGCGCCATCGACTCGGATAGGTATAGCGGTGTAGATGTTACAAACGCGTCGTGACTATGGTAGGTCTGCAATTTCAAAGCAGGCACCACATGCTGCAATAACAAGGCGAGGAATAGGCCCGTTACCAGGCCTGTCAACAACGAGCGCGGGGCAAAGGTAGGCATGACGTGATCACGACAACTGGATTTTACACTTAATGCCAATGCTGAGAAAGCTGCTTGATCATGATAACCTTTTGACTCCTGAAGATCGTCCGTACAGTGGAATCTGTAGCTAACGGTATGCCGGGTGCGGGAGTCCGTAGTACCGGAGGATTTGCAATCGATCAGTCAGCCGCGCTTGGCGAAGCGCATTGATTCCGCGCGTGGGGCTTCAGTAAGATCCTGGCCATGGTCAGGATCGAAAGCCTTCTACAGATATATCCTGGGCATTCCAGGTCTAGCTGGATCTCTCACGACCAAGCGCAACGTAAGATGACAGAGTCACCCTCTTCACTCTCATTGAGGACAGGCGAAACACTGGTTGGATAGATCCGTTGTTACCCAAGTAGCTAGCCACAGCACTGCGTACCTATCGACACACAGCAGCGTGAAACCTTGATTCGAACTTTCAAATTGACCTTTATGGATTACTACCTGGGTACTAGACTTTCACCAACATATTTTACGCATAAGCATGGAATTGGACATTATTGAACATTACGAGGCCGTGATATTGACTCCGAGCAAACGCGCAAAGAAGGTAAGCAGCTGCTGTCACAGCAATATGCCACGGAACCCAACTGGTGCGTGTACCTAGTGCAAAGAGCTCCGAATTTGATTCCGTTCCATGACTTGGAAAGAACCTGCGGCGAGCCGCAGCCATACAAGGAACGCCTTGTACTCAGCAGAACAGAGCTAGGAATGCACGCGTTTTGAGGATTCATAATAGTAGCGACAAGCTTTACAGTTCCTGGCACGTGACGGGAAAAGGCCGTGGTTGAACTCTTTGCCATACTCCGAAATATGACCAGCTGGTCGAGAAGATCCAAGGTAACAAGGGGCGAAGGTAGGCGCAAGGCCAAGGCAATGCGTACAATTGCAACGAAAAGAAAGACCGTTCTCCATACTCCGGTACAATGATAAACAAGCAAATCGCACAAGGGGGAATCATCGCTGTATGCTGCAAAGAGAGCCACACCCACTGGGCATGATAGCCCTGGACACCCCGCGCCAGTACCCATGCCCGTGCGTTAATGAAGCCAAATACAACCCAAACGACTCAACACCTTGCCATGATTGAAAGGACAGGATATAGTGGCAACAATAAATGATGACCGAACATGCAAACGCTCCTCGATGAGCACCTTCAACTCTTCAATCATGACTCATAATGGCATAACAAATGTCTGTTGTGTCTCTAGCGCCCCATCATGTAGGTGGAATAGCCCGAGAAGCCGTTCCCAGCACCACTGGACGCAAGAGGCTGGCGCATGGCACCTGCCATGTCGTTGTGGCCCATGCCAAAGCCACCATTAGAGTACATGCCAAAGCCAGAGCTGTTGTTGGAATGAACTGTAGTGGACAGGCCTGGAGGAACTGACAAGCCAGGCGGCGGACCCGTAGCCGTGGAAAAGCCTGGCGGGCCTGCGGCACTGCTGCCGAAACCCGAAAGAGGTGTAGAAGGGGCAACGGCAGACTGCGGACCCATGACAGAGTTTTGACCACTACGTACACCCAAGGGATTCTTTGAGAAGCTCAGTCGAATGCCGCCCTTGACGCTGTTGTGAAGCATGTATCCGTAGAGCTCATTCAGGGCTTTGGTGGCAAAGGATGTGTCTTCGAATTCGACAAAACACATGGGTCCATTCTGCTTGGTGCGGAAACAGAGTCTCTTGTATCCACGCTGCTTGGAAAAGACAGCTTTGAGTTCATCTTCCGAAGTGTCCATGGGAAGATTGCCCACGTAGAGAGTGTTGCATGGTGGATTCTGATCAGCAGGGTTTACTGGGGGGTAAGTGGGCCGCGCAAAGTGCTGCGTGTACTGCTGGTAGCCTGTATTGGGTCCGCTGCTCAGTGCGGAGGGAATACTATGTGGTGACAAGGCTGACAAGGCTGGGCCAGGCGACTGCATGTTGGATCCAGAACGTGGAGAAGCAAAGTTGGATAGAGGTGGGGAAGTCGCATTCGTCACGCCGTTTGTGTTTAGGGAAAGAGATCCGAAGCGCTGAATGGGAATGGAAGGGGTATGGGGGTTCGTAGCGCGACGCTGCATGCTGGAGTGCATTGGCGGGCCACCCGTGGCATATCCAATCGACTCGTTAAGCAGGCCATCGTCGTCGTCAGCATCTTCATTGATGACCGACTTGCCCAGATTGCGGCTGGTGAAGGAGGTGTTGACGGGGGATGTCGGCGAGAAAAGGTTGGTGACCGGGAACTCTCCGTTGCCAAGACCTGGGGTCCCGTTGGGTGGGGACATGTTCTCCATGTTTTGGAAGGTGCCGTTGTATCGCGATGATTGCCGGGCGTTGATTGTCGCGCCGGTCATGGCGCTTGTGCCAGACGGTTGTCGCGCAGGCGTGCTGTCGACTGTGTTGCGGCGCGAGCCGATTGCGCCAGGCGATGCGTCCTGCGTCAGCTCGACGACCAGCGTCGCATCGTTGGTTGCATTGCGCTTCCCGTCGAGGAGGTGACGCGCTTCTTTTGCGCCGTCGAGGGTCTGGAAATGCGCAATGGCAGAGGCGAAACCCTTGTCGTCGGCATGTCTAGACGGTGGGAGGATCTCGCAGTCGATGAGGTCCTTTGCGAAGAGCAGGATGTTGCGCACGGCATCGCGATCGCTGCTGCTTGGTAGTTTGCGCAACAGAATGGAGTAGCGCGCATGATTCGCGGGGCTCTTTTCGAGGGGCCTGCGCTCTCCGACGGCTCCCGGCATGGCGTACATGTGCGGTGCGAAGACGTCGGCCGTCATGGTATTGTGCGATGCAAACGGCTTGGGCGGCGACGACGAGGTGGAGCTACTGTGGGAGCCGTGGGAGCCGTGGGGGAAGGGGCTGTTGGACAGGTTCGAGGGGCTTGTGCTGCTGGGACTCGGCCGGGCGGCCATGTCGGCCTTTGTCTTCACGGTGGTGCGGCGGGTGTGGCTGCGACAGAGGACGCGGCAGCGGCAGCCTTGACGCGGGCGGCGCAGAAGAATTGCGCGTCGGCGGAGGTGAAGATGGCGACGATGGTGAGGATGGTGACAGTGATGGCGACGGCGGCAGTGGGTCCTAGGTAGATGGTGGGCGTCGGGGGCAGTGGGAGTGGCAGGTAGGGCACAGCGGTCGAGGGCGTGAGCGTGGGCGGGCGGCGGGCCTGGGCGATGCGCGCTGTCGAGGCTCTGGCACACTCAAGCCAATGGGCGGCAGGGCAGGAATCGCAGCCAACGGCGGATGCAATGGAGCAGAAGCGGAATTGCGATAGCGGGCAGCCTAGCACTTCATGGTCCAAGGCAGAGGCAGTGGGCAGGCGCAGGCAATGGGGCGGCAGTGGGAGGGGAGGAGAGGCGGCAGAAGTGCAAGTGAAACCCTCAGGATAGCGTTGACGGGGGCGCGACTGCCCACTTGGTGATGCGCCCAGGGAAGGCGCGTCGGAGCTAATTTGATTACTGTGCGAGTCCTGGATTCGCCCGTCACACAGGTACCCCATCTCGACCACTTGACGACGCGCTGCGCTACACCAGACTACTCGATTCCCATGGCGAGACTCGTCTCGTTGGGCTGCTTGCAGTCTTGTTGGTCCTCCGGCTCTTAGCGGCCTCGAGTATAGCCAGGGCTGACTTTAGCCTCTCCCCCATCGTCGTCGCGGCCTGGGCGAGAGAGATCGGCCCCAAGATGCACCGCTTGATCCACGGAACTACCGTTCATCCACGGGCCCCTATCTGCGGGCCAGCGACCTTGGAACGCTGACATTGCACGTCCGGTGTGCTGAGCCCAACCCATTGTCACCCGTCCAAGATGCTTATCCGTGCCATCGTCTATCAGGCAGACATGCACCATCGGTCTTTTCTGCCAATCACTGTGCCTCGTGCCTAGACTCGGCATGCCGGTACACACCCCGGGGCCAAAAGCAAGTTTCGTCGAGTACAGTCAGTCTGTCCTCTTCTACGCCCTCCATGCCACATGCACGCAGCGACGCTGCCCAAGGGTTTGAAGAAACCCATCTCCCGTGCACCTGCGAGAGGTGCGCAAACACTGATTCGCCCGTTGCTTCGGCCAAGTACCATGCTTCTTTATTGTGTTTGTCCAATCATGTATGTGCTCACCCGTCTTTTTCCTACGCTATCCTTCTGCCCCTCATCTCTGGCCCCACGAGACATATCAAGGACATACGATCGATTTTCATGTCCTTCCACACCTGATTGTTGAAGTAAGCCGTAGCTCCGGACTAACGACCATCGCAATGCGAAGCAGAAGGATATCTGCTAGTATGGCGTGTTGTGGGGGACGTTCCAAGGCCTTGAATAACGTTCGACTAGACCATCACAGCGATTGGCCTAATTGTTCGGGACCGCGCAACGTGGAACAGGTTTCAATCGTGAATACTGTCAGGTATCTTACTCCTCGAATCGTTACTAGTATACGCTATACTCCGGTTGTAAAAATGGTAGTCTCTGAAGCAACACTTCGCATTCGCTTAGAACGGCATGCCTCATGGTAGGTTGAGTAGCCAATCATCAATGCGTAGACGACGCCACTATTGTCATACGTCACCGTCTTGCGGCCGTAACTCATACATAACGACCGCACCGGATCAATCTGCTCAGCCTGTCTAGCGTACTAACACTGCCGAAAGCGAGAATACAATACAAGAGACGCTGCATTCTACTGCAGGCATCCCCAAAGAGGCATTATTGCGATACGTACGTCAGACTGTGTGATAATACTCGACATAGTATAAAGGTAAGTAGAAGACCACGATAAAAGAATCAGCATCTTCTTGAAGTCCAGCACTACAAGCACAACTTGAACGCTTCAAACACTCAACTCAAACTCCTCTCACCATGTGTTGCAGAAAGAACCGTCAGAGATACTTCGAGCAACAAGCGTTGTATTCGCCACCCGCACGAGGCTGTTGTGGACAACGTCGAACACGTCTTCAGATAAGCACCTCCAACACCTCCAACTTCTCCGAACGACCTACCATGGTAAGCTTACAATGTACAAGCTGCACGAAACAACTGACTAACGTGACCAAGGCTGGTCTCCTTGCCATAAGTCTCGGTCTGGGTGCAGAGAAGCTGGGACGCACCATATCCGAGAAAAGACTCGAGCGCAAGGAGAAGAAGGCTATTACTGTAGGTTGCGATCCTGAAATGTTCTTCATGATGTCAGCTGACCGGCTCTTATAGCAACATGAAGCGATCTATGGCTCTTCATCATCGGCGCCACCACCGCCAACCACAACTCGAGAGCAGAAGAGTAGGTCGGAAAAGAAACGCGAGGAGGCTCAGCGCGCACTGGATGAAGCTCGTCGAGAGCCACCAAGTGCGCCACAGTACGAAAGCAGACGCCGAAGTATGGAGACAGAGAGGGTCAGTAGTGAGGAACCGCCGCCGAGTTACGATGATGCAGTACGTCACGATGAAAAGCGTTCTTGAATCGTCAATATCTACGGCGGACATGTATTCTGTACGATGCTGGTGTACATTTGGTTTGGCATGATGCTTCGTTCGTCACTTTGTAACTATCTCTAATTAGCGAAAACCATTCGGTTACTTATGAGATCAACGCCGCTCTTGTCACCTCAGAATTTTTGCTCGCAAGCTCAGAAGCGTCAGTAGATTTCGATGATCATATCATATACCCAGGGAGTCGTGGAGGGTCACGATGCTCATATGTGCCAAGACACTAGTCTGAGTAGCGCGTCACTAGAATTTCCTGCGAGCTCCTCATTTCTCTGCATTCCACCCTACTATTCCCACCACTAAACGTTTTCACGTGTACACGACTTCCCTTCTCCTCTCTTTTCATCTTTCACACATACCTGCGCCAATGCGGTAGCCCCTCACATTCTCAGCATGCCTCCTCGATTACGGTGTTCAAATTTCTCAACACCGGCCAACCCATCACAGGCCACTCAGTGCTTAGCTGCTCGGCCACAAGTCGCCTGGAGCCCATCGCGGCACTCGCGGCATTTCTCACAGACGCCATGTCCTCAAATCACATTACGGCGGCGGAAATTTTATGAGTGGCTCAATGGGCCGGGTCGACAGCTCAAGGAACCTATACCTGACTCAACAAACTACTTAGGAGCTTACGACAAATACGGAAACCTAGTACGCGCTGGTCCTGGATGGCGGAGAGATGGGGGTGCGAAGGCTGCTGCCTCGACTGAGGCAGAGCAAGCTGGAGCAGAGGCCAAGGCAGAGGAGGCCACAGAAAAGGCGACACCTGCAGGACAGGAGAGCCTGGATGCTCTAGATGCTGCAATACAATCTGGTGCAGCTGAGGAGAAGGACACCAAGAAGCCGAAAGAAGCAGACGATGACAGCAAGCTTCCACCTGAGACGGCGGAGGACTTGCGGCCCTTTCCGCTCAACCAGTACTTCCGCAGCCAGCCAGTATTGAGCGAAGACCTACGGGAAGCAATCTGGCGGAGAGTCAAGAAGGATGGGGCGACAGTATCGCTCGCTAGTGTCGAGTTCGGCGTCAGCAATGAACGTGTCGGCGCTGTTGTGCGACTGAAGCAGATGGAGAAAGAGTGGATAGCCCAGGTATGTTCCCACACTTTCACCAATTCCCCACAACACGACATGATGAGCTTCTTAAAAAATCGATTAGTCTTTAAGACATCCACATGGTTACAAAACTTAAGTCATGCTCTTGCTGAACGTCGTCGGCTTGTTCTTTGAAACAACGAAAACACACTGTAATACAAGCGCTAACTCAATGCGTACAGGGCAAGACACTCGCGCTCCCTTACTCCAAGGCGGTCCTTTCCATGCTTCCAACAACCCCACACATTGACACTTCGCTCCCTAGGAATAAGAACAAACGTCCCATCACGCACGAGCCCATCAATGACCTCGCGGTACATCCTGCGACACGCCAGCAGCTCTTTGTGCCTGTTGCTGAGTCTCGGCAATTCACGCGTGAAGATGCTGGCAAGGCTTTCGACAACACGCTGTTGCCGGCCGACGCACGCATTCCTCATCCAGAACTTGTGCAGGCTGAGCGTGAATTGCAGTCTGGACTTTCGTTCGAGGAGCGCAAGAAGCTTGCCGAGCAGCGATTTGAACAAGAGCAAGCAAAGAAGAGGCAAGAAGAGAAGCGGAAGGAAGAGGAACTTAGGGCCATGAAAGTGGTGCCGCAGCGGAGGTGGGATTTCGTCTTCAAGGACGTCAGCGTAGAGGCTGCAGGCAGAGACGGCAGAGGTGCCGCGGCTGCTGGATGGCGATATGGTGTGCCGCACCAGGACCGCAAACGAGGCATCCCCAAGATTCCCACAAAGGTCGAGGCCTAAATTTATGTATAATGCTGTATATATAATACATGACGAATTGACGCAAACCTTCACCGGTACTGCATCTTCTGGCCACCTCGCTTCTCCATCTTGGCCTGTCTCTTGCTTGCTTGCGGCTGAGGCACACCGGCTGCATCCTGGTATCCACCCCTCATGCCGGTGTAGGTGGTGTAAGCGGAATAGGCACTGTAGACTGGGATAACAATCCACAGGAGCCAGGCGTAATCGCCGACAATAGCAGCCATGACAATGCAGCCATAGGTCCAATAGACAACATCCCACATGTACTCAGTCAGGCCCTTGGCATCGAGGTCTTCGCCAGGTCGCTTGACGGCGCCATCGGCATCGAGGGTGGGGCGAGAGAGGCGCTCGAAGTACAGTTGGATGAGCAGTTGCGGAGCCGAGAGGAGCAGATAGACAAGCAATGACTTGCGTGACAGTGAGGCGCGGAAGACGAGGGCACGCAGGAGCCACCAGAGGCCGTGGACGGCGAGGGTGATGTAGAGGGTCTGGTTGAGGCGCTGGGCATTGGAGGCCGCGAGCGTCTTGGTGGCTTTCTACGGGGACTGTCAGTGATGGGTGCGTGGTAGTGGACGGTGGGCGGGCGTGCGTACCTTGGCCATGGTGAAGGTGCGATGTGGCTGTGACTGGCTGGACGTGTGCAGAGAAACGTCGTGCGTCTCTAGGCGGGACATTGTTTTGTTACATGTCTTGGCACTCGTAGCGCGTAAACCTACACCTTGACCGCGTCCACTCGCCTGCCCGCAACATCACCACCGCCGCCGCTCCAGCCAACGCCGCCTCGACTATGAGCGCATTACCTTGAGTCTCCGTCCCGTCTCCGCCGCCGCCGCCAAGCAAGCATGTCAGCACCCCCAGGCGTAAATGCCCAGCTGCGCCAGATCGTATACTACCACCTAGACAACGGCTTCACTGAAAACGCTCTGTTCTTCGCCGGCCGCCTGCACGCCCTTGACCCCCGGAGTCACGATGCGGCACACCTACTTGCTCTGTGCAACCTCCGTCTGGGAAGATACAAGCAAGCCCTGGACGATGCGCGAGCTAAGGGCAACCATACCCAGCATCTAGGATGCGCCTACGTCTTTGCCCAGGCCTGTCTCGCCCTCGGCCGCTATGAGCAGGGAGCCCAGGCGCTGGAGAAGATGCGCAGTTCCTGGGCAGGGCGCAACCACTGGAGTGAGTATTTATAAGTGTAAACACTGGTGACTTGTATTGACATTCGTCACAGACAAGCATTCCGAGACCTCACGACGGCATGTGCCCGACGCTGCCGCCTGCTACTGCATGCTGGGAAAGCTGTACGCAGCCCACGGCGACTCCAAGAAGGCCATTGAACACTTTGTCGCCGCACTCAAGATCAACTCCTTCATGTGGGATGCCTTCACCGGTCTCTGCGATATTGGCGCCGTCGTTCGCCCCCACAACATCTTCAAAATCACGCCCGATATGCTCCCTCCCACCTCTTCATACAACCTCCAGCCTAGAATGAATGGCCGCAGCGCGCAGCCGTCTTCATATAACGACGTCGAAAACCCCTTTGTCAACGGCCAAAACGTACACGACGAGCACGCCATGATGGGTGAGGCTGGCGGTCCAGTCCAAATGCGACCCATAACATCAAGAGTCCGCACCAAGACGAACCCTGAGAGCGATCAGACGGACATCCCACGGCCCGTATACCAGAACGGACATAAGAGAACTGTATCTGGCCATTCTCTACAGCAGTCACAGCCCCAGCCCCAGCCCCAGTCACAACCACCGCCGCAACCCCACACCCAATCACAACAACAACAACAACCGTTCGATCCTACAGCAGCTCCCCCACGGCGCAGTGTACGGCTGCTGAACTCCATTACTCAGATTCGGCCTTCAAGTAGCAGACCAGGCGGTACATCAAGCAGAGACCTCGAGTCGAAAGAGCGGCGCGAGCTACGGAAAGCAAGGGCGGCAGCTCCTAAGCCACGCTCAGCGACAGGCTCGACTGTGGGCAGAGTTGTTAGTGGCAACAGGAAACCGCATGTCGACAACTCCGAGCCCTCAAAGCCGGAGAGGCCACGGAGCGTGGCGGAAACGGCTGCTGCACCGCCCCCGAGAATGGGTCCGCCCGCAGATACTTCACGGGACCGGGATATCTTGAGCTGGCTACTGGATCTGCTCCTCAAGATAGCTTCTGGATACAGGCATTTGAGTCGCTATGATGCATCAAAGGCACTTGAGGCATTTGGACTCGTGCCTAAGTCACAGCGGGAAACACCTTGGGTTCTGGCGCAGATCGGCAAGGCCCACTATGAGCGCACCCATTACACAGACGCAGCCAGCACGTTTCGAAAGATACGAGAACTGGCACCTGCTTCCTCAGAGCATATGGAAGTGTATTCTAATACGCTCTGGCAGCTCAGGGATGAGGTGGCCTTGGGTCATCTTGCACACACGCTGATGGACCAAGATCGCCTCTCTCCACAAGCTTGGTGTGCACTGGGTAATGCAAGCTCTATAAACGGGCAGCATGATGAAGCCGTCAAATGCTTCGCTCGAGCTACGCAGTTGGATCCAAGGTTCGCCTATGCTTTCACTCTCCAAGGTCATGAGCATGTCGCAAATGAGGAGTTTGACAAAGCCATGGCGGCTTACCGCAATGCCATTAGTGCGGACAACAGGCACTACAACGGCTGGTATGGTCTTGGAAACGTCTACGAGCGTCTGGGCAAGTACGAGGTGGCTGAGAAGCACTATCGGGCAGCGGCGGAGATCAACCAGAACAACGCCATGCTCCTTGTTCGGATAGGTTTGGTAAGCCATCGTCGTCCTTATTCTTCCGTCGAATACTAACACTAGTACGCAGGTTCTGGATCGCATGAAGAAGACTGAACCCGCACTGCTGCAATTCGAGAACGCAATCAAGATCGAACCACGCTCCGTTATGGCACGCTTCCGCAAGTCGCAAGTCCTGCTGAAGTTGAATGCGCCGCAAGAGGCCCTACACGAGCTTCTCTACCTGAAAGACGCTGCTCCAGACGACCCCAACATCCACTTCTTGCTAGGTAGATGTTACAAGAAGTTGCGAGACCGCGCGAGTGCCATTCGCCACCTCACGATAGCTATGAATCTGGACCCGAAGAGTCATGGCGTCATCAAGGAAGTCATGGAAAGTATCGATCAAGAAGACGACGGAGCATGGAGCAGCGAAGACGAACATTAACGTTGCTTCTCCTGTCGCTTTTTGGTCAAAAACCTATGTCACGAACCGCTTAACTCAATACCCGATATGACTTCTTTATCCCTACGACAACGCAGCAATCATCTTCATCTTCATCAGCCTTGTCTTTTAGCGCATACCCCTTTCTTGGTTTCCATGTTTGCCTTTTTCTTCTCTTTCTCTATACCCATTCATCATGGACTTGGACTTTGCATCAGAGGCGCATTGGGGAGGGTCGTAGCCAAACAACGTAGCAAAGCTTGCAAGGCTTTTGGCATAATCATGCATTTTGGAGAGGCGCTGTGGTGCTTTGTTTTGCTGGCATTAACGCTGCCCAGTTGGGTTGGCGCAGGGAAGGGGATTACATTGGCGTAGTTTGTAACGAAGACGACTACGAATGACCAATGCCCTGGATGACTACCACTGCTTTTTAAGCAGAATCACCGTCTGTCTGGTCTTTTGCAGAAAGAGTCGAGATAGGGATTCGTGACTTGTACTATATATTAAAATGCATTGGGATATCCTTACCTCTACACACCAGTCCATCTATCTCGCCACATGCCATCGACTTTTTTCTCCCTCTCTCCTCCTTACTTTACTTCAAAACAGCAACCAGTCTCCCCCCACTGACTTCCCGCCGCCTCATCCGATCCAACCCCGCATTCACCCCTTCCAACCCCTCAACCGTACCCACAACATCCGGCGGAATCAACATCCCCTTGGCTAGCAGCCGTTCGCACCACTCACTGAGCGCCTCACCAACTTGCGGCACTTCGTGGTACAACTTGATAGGTACACTGTGCAGTACCATCTCTTTCGGCACGTTATCCTTCGACAGACCCGTCAAGCCTACAAGATGAGATCGTTGCGCCGTAGAAACGGGGGTATGCGGTGTTGACGGCGGAGTCGGCAGTTTAGCCCGTGACGCCGGTGGAGCAGCAGGATGAGCAAGAGCGCTCATCAAGCACCCCGCTGTTTCCCTACCCAGCGTGTCAAAGCCAAACCTTGGCCCTCTCTCCCCCGTATACGCCCGAACTACTTCCACCGCTCTCCCCGTGTCGTGCGCGTCAACGAGATAATCTGGTCGCGCTGCCTCTGAGGCTAGTAGTCTAGAACCGTGTTTTACCGCATCAACAACTGCTACGACTTTTATCCCAGCAAGCCGCGCTATCTGCATCGTAACGAAGGCGCAGACTGAGCCCGCGCCCCAGATAATGAGGTAGTCGCCTTTCTTGATACGTTCTTTGACGGCGATGCTGTGGAGGCATTCTTGGCGGATGTCACTAGGTATACCCTCTGGATCCATTTTCCTTACAATATCAAGAAGATTCGGCCCGTATTCAATGTCGGTGAAGTCGAGCCCGAGACATATTCCTAATGTGAGGGCGGCGGAGACAAAAGCTACGCCTAGAATACTGCCGGAATCAAGGGCGATGTTGGGAGGCAGGCGGATGGTGTTGAAAGTAGAAGCAATGCTGTAGTTTTGGTATGCGGCTTTACGCGGGTCACGGTAGTCGGTTGAGGGGACGAGGACGCGGTCGCCTTTTTTGATGCGAGACGAGGGTGTTGGTGGAGTGAGGAGTACTGTGCCGCTGTATTCTCGGCCAGAGATGTAGGGGAGGATTGGGATGCCGAAGTTGTAGTCGCTGGAGGGTTGTCAGTGGTGATGTCGTTGTGGTGTTGAGTGTCTGGTTCGTACGGTGCTTTCCAGTCGATTGGGTTGAGGCCTATCGCTTGCACTTTTACTAAGAGTTCGCTCTCGTGTTGGATGCTTGGGAGTGGATGGTCGTCGGAGACTTCGTATGGTTGACGTATCGCGTGGAGCTTCAATGCTGATTGTACCGTGGGAAGCGTCTCTTCTTCGCCCTTTTGCTGGACCTGTTCGATCGTTTTACGTCTTTTTGATATTGTCTCTTTTGAAGACGCTGCTGTGATACTGCGAGTTCGCTTGATCTGCAACATCATGAAGCTTGAAATTCAGGTTGCTCAGGGTGTGTGCCTTTTGCGTTGGTGGCAGATTGATTCTCCCTCAATGCAACTCCTCAACTGGCTTCTGATCACCAACTTTCGGGTTTCTGTTTGCGACCTCTCCGGGAATACGCCATTTAGATTACTCAAGTAGGTTAGATGCGATCTGCAAATATACAACAAGGTCTCCTTAGGTGCGCGAATAACTGTTGTCATTGTGGATTAAGATGGCACAATACGCGTAGTCGGCATACTATCGATTTACCGCCTCAATTTACCGTTGCGTAGCGTTGATAGAAGGGCCTACATCGGAGACAAATATATAGTGATACCTCGGAGTTGACGTGATGACGCATCCCGCAGATACCTAAGCGATTGCGTTTGAGAGCGCTCAAAGCACATCATCCGACCTCCAGAACCACAACACTTCTTCCGCACGATACCATTCGATACTTTGCGAATCAACGATTAAGTCCTACTATGGCGAAGCGAAACCGAGAAAATGGAGTTGAAAATTCGAAAAATGCAAGGCAAAAAACTGATGCGACGGCGAATGGCAAGAGGAAACTGATCATCAATGCCTTCGTTGAGATGTGTAAGTTCACGTGACAACCCCTCAGAAAACCAATTTATCGGAAGGAACAGCAAATCGATCGAGCGACTTGCGACTAGCTAACAATTGCCCTCCAATAGGTAGTGGCCATCAGTCGCCAGGCCTGTGGAGACACCCTGACGACCATTCACATGAGTTCAACAACATCGAGCACTGGGTAGAGCTTGCAAAGCTGCTTGAAAAGGCCAAAATTCATGGAATCTTTGTAGCTGATGTGCTCGGTGGATACGATGTCTACAATGGCAGTCTCGATGCTGCGAAGATATCAGGCGCGCAATGGCCGGTCAACGAGCCTTTGGCCATCGTAAGTGCCATGGCAGCAGTGACCAAGAGCATCGGATTCGGCGTGACTGTCTCGACAACCTACGAACAGCCGTACCACCTTGCTCGGAGATTATCGACTATTGATCATCTTTCGAAGGGAAGGTAAGAGATCTGTGATTCCTATGCTGCTCAGGGACTGACTTGACCTAGACTTGGTTGGAATGTGAGGGAATGTGCTTCTTCGATCGCTGCATGGATAATAACCTTTACAGATTGTGACCAGCTATCTTGACTCGGCTGCGCGTAACATGGGTATGAAAGAGCAACTGCCGGTTAGTATTTTGTGTATCTTGGCGTGGCTAGAGACTTTGTTGATATACTTCAGCATGACGAGCGCTATGCGCAGGCTGAGGAATATGTGAAGGTCATGTATAAACTGCTGGAATCTTCTTGGAGAGATGATGCAGTCGTACTGGACCGGAAGAGTGGCGTATACACGGTACCCGATCGGGTGCGCGAGATCAACCACGAGGGAAAGTACTTCAACGTGCCTGGCCCTCACATATGCCAGCCAAGCCCCCAACGTACGCCTCTCATCCTCCAGGCGGGTGCGTCGAAGGCAGGAAAAACTTTTGCAGCACAAAATGCAGAAGCCATATTTGTCTCCGCCCATGCGCCCGAGGTCTGCGCGAAGAACATCGCAGAAATTCGACACATTGCCTCTTCGCAGTTCGGTCGGGAAGGGAAGAACATCAAGTTTCTTGCCCTTGTAACACCCATCATCGGTCGAACCGAAGAAGAGGCCCAGGCTAAGCTTGCCAATTATCGCAAATATGCGTCCTTGGAAGGAGCGTTGTCGCTGTTCTGTGGTTGGACTGGTATTGATCTCGGAAAATATGGAGACGACGAGGAGCTGCGACACGTCGAGAGCAACGCTGTGCGGTCCACTGTCGAAGGTTACGCTCGCTTCTCTCCTGGGACCTCCAGATGGACAAAGCATACAGTCGCTGAGCACGTGAGCATCGGTGGAAACGGTCCTATTCTTGTTGGAACTCCATCCCAAGTTGCAGATGGGTTACAAGTCTGGATTGACGAGGCCGATGTTGACGGTTTCAACATGGTGAGTCGTCTCCCGATCCTTATCGCATTATTGACTCTGATACATAAGCTAGGCCTATGCTGTCTTTCCACAGTCGTTTGTAGATATGATTGAGCTATTACTTCCCGAGCTCAAGAAACGGGGTTTGTTCTGGGATGATTATGCTGTGCCTGGTGGTACCTATCGCGAGAATTTCTACGCGAAAAAGGGACAGAAAGGGCCCCTTGAAGAGCACGTGGCATCGACGTATCGGTGGAAGGCGGGAGTTGATGCAAAGGACCACGTCATTCCTGGATGAGAAGCAGATGCAATTAAGCAAGCTGAGATGTCATGTACTCGAACAAACTCAAAGGCTCGAAGATATTCGATACGTCCTGGGGTCTAGCGTGGGTGACCGAGATGCCATATTAGTATGCGTCAGCTTAGAGATATGCGTGGTAACGCGATCTTGCTCTGGGTCGCATCCTGCAATGCGGAACGATGCCGTCGATGTCTTCTTGGGCGTCGCGAATTTGTCCTAGTTGCTATCTCTCTCTAGAGCGCAAGGTCGCGTCAGTACAGGGGAGCAAGCACGACAATCACCGCGATTACTGCGAGCCGATTCCGTCAGCAAGCGGAGAAAAGACGTGATTGCACCTCTGCCCGACCGGCGGCTCTGCAGGCCGGGAACAGATAGCGCAACTAACAATGTCTTACTGCATCGGTACTTGAGGACAAAGTTGGTGATAGCGAGCAGCTTACCCCGGAGCTTTAAAGTCGTCATGGGTAGAGACATGCGTCCGATGAGAGGGTGTCATTCCAGGGACAGCGAGGAACACCCACCGCTTACATGATGACGCCAAGCCCAATCTTAGCAACCGCGGCCAATCTAACGGCATCGGGCCAAGAGTCAACACCATCGCGACGCGTAGCACAGCTCGCAGAACACCTCGCGTCAACTGAGGGCACCAAACAAGATGGATTCCACGCTGTCTTGCCTACTTCCTACCCCGTTTCGAAGTTGCGGTTGAGCCCAACGCATTACCTTGATAATGTACGACGGCTTCGCGTCGCTGTCATAGGTGCCGGTCTAGCTGGTATCAATGCAGGTATCCTTCTGCCGGCGAAAGTGCCTGGCATCGACTTGACCATCTTTGAGAAGAATCACGATGTTGTAAGTACATGCGGAAGTTACGGGAGAATTAAACTGACAACGTTCAGAGTGGCACGTGGCTTGAAAACGTGTATCCCGGAGTGCGATGCGACATTCCATCTCATGTGTATCAAGCGACATACTCGCCCAACACGCAATGGTCTGAGATTTTTGCGCGAGGCGCTGAGATCCGTGACTACTGGCAGGCGCAGGCTAAGAAGCACGACATTTACAAGTATGTCAGACTTCGGCACCGCGTCGACGAAGCGGAATGGGATGATACACAGTCCAAATGGCGGGTGATAGTGTGCAACCTCAAAGATGAGACCACATCGACGGAGACCTTCGATTTCGTCATCACCGCCATTGGCCGGTTCAACTCTTGGAAGCTACCTGATTATCCGGGCTTGAACGACTACCGAGGCCATCTAAGACACACGTCGAACTGGGACGTTTCATTCGATCCGACAGGCAAGAAAGTCGCTGTCATTGGGAATGGCGCAAGTGGTATTCAGGTCGTGCCAAACCTACAACCCATTGCAAAACACATCACTCACTTCGTTCGCAATCCAACATGGATCGCGACATCGTGGGCAGGCGATGAGCGGACCTTTGAGCCACAGCCATACTCGCAGGAGCAGCGCAAGGCTCTGGAAGATCCTGGTGTGTATCTGGCCTTCAGGAAAGATCTCGAAGATAGATACTGGAGACGATTCCGTGCCATGATCCGTGGGTCGACCGAGAATCAAGGCATGCGAGAGCAGTTCATCGATGTCATGAAGAAGCGGGTAGCCCAAAAGCCCGAACTGCTCGATGGATTGATACCAGACTTCGCCCCGCATTGCAGACGACTCACACCAGGTCCTGGCTACTTGGAGTCTCTCACCGAAGCGAACGTGGAGCTTGTCAAGTCGCCTATCAAGCGTTTCACGCCTCTGGGCATTGAAACGACCGATGGCAGAGCCTTCGAGTTTGATGCGATATTTTGCGCGACTGGTGCCAACACTGATCTCGTTCCACCGTTCTCGATCAAGGCGCGTGGAGAAGACCTTCACGAAGCATGGAAGCCTGGAGGTAAATGGGGCTTTCCGTACACATATTTAGGGCTGGCTACACCTGGTTTCCCCAACCTATTCTTCCTGGCCGGACCGCATGCTACGGGCCCTTCAGGTACAGTGCCGCATGGTGTAGAGACATCACTCACATACTTCGCCAAAGTACTTCGCAAAGTTTCTTCACAAGGACTCAAGTCCCTAACACCATCGAAAGAGGCAACAGATGACTTTGTCGACTACTGTGACGCTTTCTTCCCAACTACAGTCTTGACCGACAAGTGTTCGTCATGGAACAATGGTGGAATTCCTGGACAGCGTATTCATGGCTTATGGCCCGGTTCAGCTGCACACTTCACCATAGCTAGACGGGAGCCACGTTGGGAGGATTGGGAGTACGAACGCGAAAACAAGGGTAATCGCTTCGCTTATTTTGGGAATGGGTACACTGAAGCAGAGCTCGACGATTCGATTGATCTGACTCCATATCTCAAGGCGCCTGGTCAAGAAGTAGATTTGAGAGATCTTCATGAACGATGGTGGGATGTACCGGGTGCAGAGAGGAAGTCATAGATACTTGTACCGAGTTATCTGAATAGTTGAGTGCGTACTCGCTGGCCTCCAGACAATCTACTTGCAAAATGGCTCATGCCGATGGTTTCTGGTTCTTCGCTACAAGTTGCACTGTTTTCGAATATCGCACATCTGGCACTGTGATTCACAATCTTTGATGAAGATTGCGCGATTACGCTACTGTTCTTACTGCGGTCCCGTCAGTGCTCACTAGGCCTTATCTCGTACCCACGCCGACCGTTGAGGATGACTGCCCCATATCGCATCGTCAAGTACCTTGCAGATGGCGTGCTATTCCATTATCATGCCGTGTCCGAGGTACCACCGTGACAGCATACCATCATGCCTCTCGTTGCGTCTGGAGCTTTCCCGACGAATCTGGGACGATGTTTTGGGGATACCGGAGACGCGGCTCACCAACCGCACAGGCTTCGTATCAAGTGGATTTCGGTACCTTCGTGGGCCGAGTATGCAGCTGTATGGCGAGTTGTACTAACGCAGTGTGGTATGAATCATTGTCGCGACGTGCAGTCGCTATATCTATCAAACGATTCAAAGACGCCGAGTATGACGGGAATCAAAACTCCTTACTATTCGGTTTTGCCTTTTTGCAAGAGTGTTGACTATGGCCTCATCAGACACCTCCGTCGAATATGGCAGCGACGAAGGAGTTGAGAAGCGAGACTATCCAGGTGACCATCAAAAAATCCAATATCCAAACACAATAGACTCACACATAGCAGTCAAATGGTACCGCTCAACGTTTTTCAACATGACCATCTTGGGACTCTGTAACTTCAGCGCACCAGGTATCTGGGGCGCAATGAACAGTCTCGGTGCCGGCGGAGCCCAATCACCACACCTCGTCAACGCAGGCAACGCGCTCACATTCTGTCTCATGGTGGTGAGCTGCTACTTCAGCAGCGTAATCGTGCACTATGTCGGCATCAAAGGAGCACTGATCTTTGGAACGTAAGCATGAACATCGCGTATGGGCGCATAACACCACTAACGCAAACAACAGCATTGGCTACGCCCCATACGCAGCAGCACTATACACGAACAACCGCTTCGGAACCGAGTGGTTCATTTACCTCGGCTCCTCACTTTGCGGCATCTCTGCAGGAGTCTTCTGGATGGCCGAAGCCGCGATCGCGATCGCATACCCTGAACCCTGGAACAAAGGAAAGGCACTGGGGTATTGGCTCACATACCGGCTTGCCGGACAGATCCTTGGGGGAGCTATCAATCTTGGTCTCAACGCGGATCGCGATCAAGCTGGCAAAGTCACGTACACCGTATATCTGATCTTCATCGCTTTGCAATGTGTTGGACCTGTGGTAGGATTGTTCTTGAATAGTCCGGGTAAAGTCCAGAGGAAGGACGGGAAGAAAGTCAAGTTGGCTATTCTAGAGAATCCATGGGTCGAGATCAAAGAAATCACGAGGCTGTTCTTCACCAAGCGCTTCTTACTCATCCTTCTATGGATCGGCCAGGCTGTCTTCGCTGAAGCAGTGTTCTTCACTTACCTCGCTCGTAAGTCATACCACCTACCTTTAGAACACATGAAGAGCGCCCAGTATTGACTGAGAAATAGTATGGTTCTCCGTGCGTGCCCGCGCTCTCGGATCGTTCCTCTCCGGCATCATCGCAGTAACCTGCGGAAACCTACTTGGTCAATATCTCGACCGCACCAAGATCCCTCTGCGTACCCGCGCACGCAGTACCTTCTGGGTCATCGTCGTTCTACAAGGCGCCTGGTGGCTCTGGGCTACAATACTCGTCACTGAGTTCCGAGATTCGAAACCGACATACGATTGGACGTCGCCTGGCTTTGGGCGCGCTTTTGCCGTCTTCATCTTTCTGACTGCTGGCTTCCAACTCAACTACCTGTTCCTATACTTCATTATTGGTAGGCTAGCGGTAGACGAGCCTGAGGTCATTCGCTATGCTGCGTTGTTGAGGGGGAGCGAGAGTGCTTGGCAGGCTGTTAGCTACGGTATTACGAGTCTGACTGTATTCGCTGAAGTTGGAGCTGTCTACTGGAATTTTGCGTTGTGGGGCGTAGCGATCTGGCCGGCATGGTTGGTCTTAAGAGAGTTTGGGGTTGGAGAGAAGGCAGGCCACGCTCAGCATGTCGATGGTGGCTCAGTTGACTACGAACAACAGGAGGTGGAAGGGATACAAAAAGGAGTATCAGATTGATAATCATATTGCGCAGTGAGTAGATACGTGGCGCTTGTTCTATACAAAGAAGCTCGATGGGTTGCGATGATGAAAAACGGCAAGGCCGAACTGGCACATTGAGTATGGAGAATATAGCCAATCCTTCAATATGAGAGGGATGAATGAGAATAACATGTACAGAAAGTTGCTAGCTGTTCAGTTACAAGAGCTTAGAACTCCCGCCCAGCTACCGACGGTGAGTCCTCATATTTGTAGCACAGCACGCCCTCACCTTCTTGGTTCAACGTATCCAGGACCGCACGAACGGCAACATCTTCGGCCATGAACCCCATCCACACCGGTGTATCTAGTGTAGTCTGCTCGACAGCGTCAGCAGGAGGTCCAAAGCCCTCTATCGTCCTTGGGCCGTCGATGTCAGTCAGACGGGCGGGATCGCGGCTCTGCCAGAGTGTCCACATGTAGTCGAGCTGGCAATGATGAAGCCAGAAGAGTGGATCATTGGGGGAGGAGTAGATGTCGCTGATCTGGATAGGGTGTTAGTATGGAAGGACATAGAAAGGATCGCAATAGAAGAAGGTTGCGTACATCACCACCAATAGCCATGTGTCCTAGACCATGCGGCGACTGGAATGCGCTTGTACGGATCTTGTCCTCATCTTTGACGAAACTTAATCCATCGATGAAGGCCTGGAGCTGGTAATGGTTCTTTGCTTCCATGGTCGCCGGGTAGATGTCTTCCCAGCCGGTACTTCCGTTAAACAGATCAAAGTCAACAGCACGCGTCAAGCAGCGCGGGTTTGACGCCAGCGATTCGACAGGCCCAATGTTCAAAGATGTATTTCCAGCGAATAGGCCGTCCTTTATGCAACCATTTGTGTCGGAACCGTTGCCACCAAAAGCCTTCAGCACAGGTGAGGTGTAAATGGAGCCATTGGCGTTGGTGGACGGGTTGTCGAGAGTCCAGTCCCAGTAGGGTTGTGCACCAGTGTAGTTGCATTCGGAGCGAAGCACAGATTCGAAGACCCATATGGCGTAGCGGTGCCAAGGTAGGAAGACACCAACCGTGTGAATACCGTAGATTGTGATGTTGCCTAGAGAAAGGCCAGTCAGTATGGAAGTTGTTTGGGTGAGTAATGTCTCACGAAGGGTATTTACCAGCAGATTCAGGATCATTGGCGAGTGAGGGAACATCTTGACCGCCTGTCGCATTTTTTTTTTAGCTGAAGTGTATGCTTGTGGATAATGCTTAGTACCAACCTCGCGTAGCGTTGATGTGTAAGGCGACAAAGTCGTCAAATCTGGTCTTCAGAGTGCCGAATACCTCGGTCCCCTTGGAAGGTGCCCTCTTCAGACATTGAACGGCATCAATATAGGCGTTCTGTTCAGAAGCGTTCAGCGTGCGCCTAGAAGGTCAGGAGAGACGACAGACAGGGAGTTCTTACTCAGAAACACGTACCACTCTTTCCTGACGCGCGGATTGGAGCAGCTACCTGCAGTCTCATTAACAGGAAGTGCGCTACATAGCGAAGCAATCGTTAACGAAAGTAGGGCTGATAGATGCATGATGATGAAATTCAAGAAACGAGTGTGGCGTGGATCCAATAGCTACTGCAGAACGAAACGGTACCTATATAGGGAATCCACGATATGTGTATGTAGCCGAAATATGGCAGAAATCAGACCTCTTTGGATACAGTGAAACAATGCTGAACGGGTCTGCCTTGCAGATCTTATGTCACGTTAGTTCACGAGTCGTGCTTCTGTCGCGGTACCTTCAACGTTGTTGCACCGAGTCTGTGGAGCGGAAGACACAGAGCCATTGAGGATTCGCTGATCAGCATTAGCGTCGGCGTTGCTTGGTCTTGGTGATCTATTTTGACATGTAGCATGTTGGTAGCTCAATGTCGGATGCGGATGCTAGTCGTTCAGCGCATCCGACATCGAGCTACCATCCATGTCTCTCGCGTGGTATACCTAGCAGTTGGTACGCTCAAACGCGTCGTCTTTGGATGTAATGTTACCACTTTGGGCTGGTCTGATCAGGATTAATATAAGCGTATCGGAGGTTTTCTTAGACTTTAGTGGCCTCCAGCGCCACGCACTATAGCTGTGCCTGGAGACAATAGTTTAGGGGTGAAGTTCAGTAATCACGTGCCAAGGCGCCCAAGCTCGCATCAACTGGGCAATGCGAACCAGGATTATGATATAGAAATCTGGGGCTGTGCAAACAGTGCAAATATTGTCGTGAGTTGGTCCATTGATGTAGGCTTCTGGTAGAGTGCAGAAATTCTGGGTGCGATTCCCCAATGCGCGCATGCGATGCGATGATGCGCCTGAACCCTGCCAAGTCTCGTCTCAGCAGCCAATCGGGGGGATAGGTCGTCGGGGAATTGTCACGGCGACCCTGTCAGTTCTCCTTCTCCCCACCTCTTCACTTTCCTTATCCTCTCCTCCCGCTTCCTACCTTACTTAATTGCTCCTTCCTCCCTCGTAGGCCGACAATGCCATCACTCATGGAGCTTCTACCTATCGCGGTAGCTTTTGCTGCTGTCATAGGAGGTTTCCTCTGGTACAGCAGCAGCAGCAGCAGCGGTGGAAGCCGCAAGGTGCTGAAGCCGACGGAATTCCAGGACTTCAAGCTCTCGGAGAAGACAGTCCTCTCGCATAATACCGCCATCTACCGCTTCGATCTCCCGCGTTCTACCGATACTCTTGGCCTTCCCATCGGCCAGCACATCTCCCTCGCCGCTACCATCGCCGGCCAGCCCAAAGAAGTCGTCCGCTCGTACACGCCGATCACATCCGACGAAGACAAGGGCCATGTTGACCTGCTCATCAAGTCATACCCCACCGGCAACATCTCCAAGCATGTCGCGAGCTTGAAGATTGGAGACACAATCAAGGTCAAAGGCCCCAAGGGAGCTATGGTCTACACACCCAACATGGTTAGGCATTTCGGTATGATTGCCGGTGGCACTGGTATTACGCCCATGCTCCAGATCGCAAAGGCTATCATGCGTGGACGCTCTACTGGTGACAAGACCGCCGTCGACCTCATTTTCGCCAACGTCAACCCCGAGGATATCTTGCTCAAGGACGACTTGGACGCGCTAGCGGCTAAGGACCCCAAGTTCAATGTCCACTACGTTCTGAACAACCCACCCGAGAACTGGACCGGCGGCACTGGTTTCGTTACTGCCGATATGATCAAGGAGAAGCTTCCCGCGCCAGCGAGCGATGTTAAGATCCTCATTTGTGGACCACCGCCCATGGTTGCGGCCATGAAGAAGGCAACCGAGAGCCTGGGCTACGCCAAGGCAAGGCCAGTCAGCAAGCTTGAGGACCAAGTCTTCTGCTTCTAGATGCTGGAGATGTTGGCTTGCCAGATATATAACTCAGATATCCACATCCTCCACTAATTGATACCATTGTGGGGATATCCCACTTTTGTCAGTTGATCTTCTTTCTAGCACCCGTACCGGATGATGCAACATACCATAATACCCAGTGACACGACTCAAACACCTTGTGCATGTATGCTGTTGCTCTGAGACTTGTTCATATTACACCAAGCCACTCTGACTAGCTTCTAATGGAAGCCTACTATGGCAAAGTAGCAGAAAGACGATTGCAAAATAATTACATGTATGTAAACTCTCAAAGCTCGGTATCTCGACGTTCAAAAGATATCGTGATACCAACGCGTAACGCCTTGCCAAAAACAGCAAAAAACAACAAAACCATACAGATGCCAACCGGACCCAGGGTATTCAGAGCTCGTAGCGCAGCGTAACACAACAGTCCAGCAGCCGCCTAAATAAACGCCCTCGACCTGATTACAACACGAACCGTCCTCTTCCTCTTGATAGTACCCGTAGCGGCGACACCGCCAACAGCACTGTCGCCATCATCGCCGGGTTTAGCCTCGTCCTCATCATCCGTGATCTCTACATCCATTTGATCACCCTCAAGTGGGGAACCACTTGGTGTATCATTCCCCAGAACCTTTGCCAGGGTATTATACTCCTTTTCATCCAACTCCACCATTTGCGTGACAGCCGGAGCAACAGCAGCGGCGCGCCGCCACTGATAGTTCCTGACTGCGTCATCAACAACTCTCGTTGCAAAGCCCTCTTCTTCTTCCAACGGCGGGCTCAGCTTCATGATAGGATACCGGGATCTCCATGCTCCCCTCCCCTCAGAGATCCCATCTACTACAAAAAACCCTTCTGACCGCTGACACGACGGAGACCGGAGCGAAGACTGCCGCCGTACTTTCCTTTGTCGGCTGCAGAGACTTCACCCATTTCACCCATTAGGAGGCCGATGGAGCTGCCTCGTCGTGAGCGCGTGTCGCCAGCCTCACTTGCTGGCGCTCCGGGGACGCCGAGGACGCTACGGCGCTCAACGCGGAGGTTCTTCCAGCCTTCAAGTTCGCGTTCGAGACGCAGTGTTTTTTCTCGTTCCTCGCGAAGTTCGCGCTCGGCGCGCTTAGCGGCGAGTTGGTTGGTTGAGTCGGAGGATTGGAGATCGTCGATGGTGGCGAGCAGGCTGGAGATCTTGTCGCGGGACTTGTTGAGGTCATCCATGACGGAGGCGTTTTGCTTGTCGCGGCGCTCGATCTGAGTTTGTAGGTCCTTCACCGTACGGTCCACGTTGCGGACGCTACGAGATTCGGAGAGACGAGTGGATTCACTGTCTTCGAGGGCCTTTTCGAGCTGGTGGAAAAGTTAGCATCGATCGACAATGTAGATCAGTCTAAACGGGATTTAGCATACCTCTTGAATGCGTCCATGGAGGAAGCGGACGTCCTTGCCAGCCGAGCCGCTGTAGCCCTTCGTCTCGAGATCGACCAGGCGAAGTTGTAGGTCCTTCAGACCCTTTTCGACAGCTGCCTTGTCCTTGTGAAGCTTCACGTTGGCCTCCCGTTCAGCTACGATGTCCTTTTGCAGCTCTTGAGCAAGGGCCTCTGCGCGACGCATCTTGCCAACTGCAGCAGCAGTGATGTCCTCTTGTTGTGCCAAGCCGGACTTGAGCTCCAACAAGTCACGGTCGTAAGCAGCTGCGTTACGCATAGCTGGAGACTCTGAGCGAGAGAGTTCATCAAGGGTATCTGCGGCCTCCTGAAGACGCGATTCCAGACGCTTCTTCTCCTCAATGGCGGAATCGCGCTCGGCTGCAAGGTCATCGACGTTGGTACGCAGATTCCGGACCTGTGATAGCAGGCTGACGATCTTGGATTGCGCTTCGTTGTGCGCATTGGCGGCCTCGTCGCGCGAGTTGGAGATGGTTTGTAGAGTCATCTCAAGACGGCTCTTCTCCTTTGCCCAGGTCGATGAGTTGAGCAATTCGTCGTCCCACTTGTTTCTCAACTCCTCAATCTCTTCCCGTAGTCGGCCATTCTCTTCGCGAACGTGAATTACGTTCTCGCGCTCTTGGTCGATTTCCTGGGTAAGGGATGCCAGCTCGGACTGGTACTTCTTGCGTGTCTGCTCTAGCGAGGTTTCGCTATCTTCGACATCATGAGCGTGCTGACTTCTGTAGTCTTCGAGCTCATTCTGTAGTCGTTTCTTGGCTTGCAGGGCTGTCTGGAGGTCGGTCGAGAGATCTTCAACACGTTCGTCGTACCGTTGCACCGTTCGCTGCAAGTCCTCGACCATGCCGTCCATCTCCTTCCGCTCAGCCATGATCGTTGCGCAAGTTTCCTCAGCTTCCCGAGCTTGAGTCTTGGCGAATTGCTCAGCACGAGATGCTCTCAGCACGGCAATTTCCGCTTGTTCCAACTTGCTGAAGTATTCGTCGGCCCTGCTCTTGTACAGGTTCAAGCTTGACTGTACATCGACCAATGTCGATGTCTCGTTGTCCAGTCGGATCTGGAGATCAGCAAATTCTTGGAGGAGCTGGTTGTGGTTGGCGTGCTCTTGCTCTCGCTCGTTAGTGAGATCTTCGAGCTCAGCTTGCATCTCGCGGAGCTCAGACTCTAACGAAAGCTTGACCTGCTTGATGTCGTCAAAGGCCGTCTTGGCGTCGGCGAGTTCATTGATGGCGGTGTTGTGAGCCTGTACAATCGATTTACGCGATTGCTCTTGGGATGTCAAGAGATCGAACAGCTGCTCATGAGACTTCGTCTGGACTTCCTGGTAGGAGAGTTGGCCGGAACGAAGGCTATGCTCAAGGGCAGAAACCTTGGTAGCAGAGTCGTCAAGCATATCATGCAGACGGTAGTTCTCACGCTCCAATTTCTGCACCCTTCGAACAGAGGGGCTATCATCCTGCCATCCGTTGCGCTCAGGCGAGCGTCCAAGCTGTTCTTGAAGGTGTTTGTTCTGCATTTCTGACATCTGCAACTGGTTCTGCACCATCTCAAGCTCGGCAGCCATGTCCATGCGGTTGTTGAACGCGACGGTGTCAACAGTCCGATCAGAACGTGCGGAGTCGTGCGTGGCATTGCTCATGTGTCGCTGGTTGGTAGGGGTATTCGTGATGGAGAATGGCCGCTTGTTCTCGCTGTCTTTGCGGTTGTGTGTAGGTGTTTGACGAGCATTGGCTTGGTTGACTTGGCTGCTGTTCATCTCTTCTAGCAGAGCACGCTTCGAGTTGGCATGGCGTGCATCCATGTCATGAAGCTCGCCCTCATGCCTTTCTCGGAGCTCGTCAAGCTGAGCCTCAGCACGCGAGTATCGCTCTGATGCTACGCGCAAAGCTTGGTTCGCAGCCTCCAGGCGCTCGGCAATGTCCACCGTTCTAACAATGTCAGGCTTCGCAGCATCGTAAGTGATTGCAACATCGGCCGAGTCTGGATCAAAGACCTTGCGAAGAAGCATAAGCTGTCGATGGCATTCCTCCAATTCCTGATTGGTATTGTCAAGCGATGTTTGAACCGCCTTTGTGTTGGCTTGAGCTTGTGTACGTAGCTGGCGTTCAGTCTCGAGCTTGCGGTTGACATCTGCGAGTTGTAGGTTGATGGTAGAGGAGGCCTGCTCTGCGTTGCGGCTTGTTTTGTGCTCTCTTGCAAGCTCGTGGTTGAGGTCCTCAAGGCTGAGCGACAACTTCTCTTTCTGCTTCTCCAAAGACGCGATCGTGAGCTGTGCGTCTTCGAGCTGACGGTAAAGGCGCTTGTTGTCTTCCTCAGCCTTGGACTTCTCGTGAGTCAACTGGGTGATCTTCACACGTTGAGTGTCACCAGCTCGCGAGTTCGATCGCGCAATGTCCAAGTTCTTCTGTTGAAGTTTGTTGAGGAGTGCACGATTGTCGTTCTCTGATGCTGTAAGTCTCCCCTTGATGGTGACTATCTCGCGTTCGAGACGCTCCTTTTGCTGGTCATTGCGCTCCTTGAACGAGTCTGAGTCGGCGAGCATCTGCGTCAAGTTGTGAACCTGTTCGGCCAAATCATCACGCTCTGCCTCGAGTTGGTCAAGCTGTTGATCCTTTTCTTCCAGCTCGCGTTGCTGGATGGCCTGTCGTTCGGAAGCTAGCCTTGACTGGGCACGTTCGGCTTCAGCATCGGCATCCAACTTCTGCTCCTCCAGCTTGAGGTATTTCTCGCGAAGGCTGCGGAGTTCGTTCTGGTACTCTTTCCGTTCCTTTTCGTGTGCTGTGCGAGTTTCCGTAGCTCGTCGAAGAACATCCTGCTGAGCGTACATCTCCTTCTCAATGGTGATCTTGGACTCGTTCAACGCATCGTAGTCGCGCTTGAGCGTGTCGTATTTGTGCTCTCCAAGCATCTCAACATCGTCGCGCGATTGTCTTTCCCGACTGAGCTCCTTTTGGACGGCAAAGAGCTCAGCCTTGAGGGCTTCCGTCTGCTCTTCCAACAGCTTCCGGCTTTCGCTGTACTCAGCATCCTCGGACATTTTCTCCTCGAGTAGACGTTTGGCATCTGCGGCTTCACGTTCGAGCTGTTGCTTTTGGGAGCGTACAGCATCCAGCTCCGCTTTTGCGTCACGGAGGCGGCTTTGAAGATCGTCGTGCTTGGAAGCCAAGGTTCGCTTTTCATCGTCGAACAGCCGGCGGTCGTTTTCGTAGTTCTTGAGGTCGGTCTTCAGGATTGCGAGCTCGCTCTCCTTACGTCTGATGAGATCTTCGTAACTAGTCGATGTCGACGATAGATCCGCAATTTGGTTACGGATCTGCCGATTTTCATCGAGGAGTTCTTTGATCTGGGTCTTGCCAGCCTGTACCTCCTTCTGTGAAGCTGCCAACTTGATGTCGAGGTCCTGGTCTGTCTTGAGAAGTTTATGTTCGAGGTCCTCAAGCTTTCGTTCCTTCAATGACAGGTGGCTCTTGAGCATCTTGATCTCCTGGTTCATTGTCTCCTCGGCCTGACTTCTTTGAGACTGTTTGACCTCAAGCTCTTTGAGCTGCTGATCCAGGCGCGCGTTCTGCTCCTCTAGCTCCTGTGTTTCGCCCTCGAGTTTGCTGATAATCTGCCCAGCTTGTTCCAGCTCCTTGCGCAGATGTTCGACTTCTTCCTCAGTCCTCCTCTTCGCTTCCATGAGATCGTCAAGCTGGTCCTCGAGTTGATCCTGATCTTCGATAGCGCCAGCGAGCTTCTCGGAAAGCTCAGTCTCGCGGAGCTGAAGACGCTTGAAGATCTCTTCCTTGTCCAAGGCAAGCGCACGTTCGCTCTCAAGCGTCTTCTGGATGCGTTGGATATCCATTTCTGCGCGCCTTCGCTCGTCCTCGACCCGTTGTCTTTCGGCAGCTTCTTGTTGCATCTTTTCCTCAAGCTGGTGGATCATCTCGTCGCGCTTCTTGACCTCTGCTGCTTGACGTGTCGCACCAAGCATAGGTCTCATCCGTGCGAAGAGCCTCCACCATGGGTTCGACTGCATATCAAGGTAGACCTGGAAGTTGCGCTGAATGATCCGAGTGGCCTCAGCTCGATAGAGACGTTTGTGGGCTAGGCGGCGTTGCACGAATCCACGAGCTGCGGACTGGAAACGAATCATAATATCGCGAATGAGCGCATCGCGTTGATCTTCGAGTTCGGCAAGGACACCAGCCCTGAAGAAGACCTTTGTGATTCCGACACGGTACAACGACCTATCAAGGTTGATCTTTTCGAGAATCATGTTGGCCGCGACCTGCCCTTCGAGATAGCCCCTGGGGAGATCTCTGCAGAGCACCTCGTATCTCTGGCGGAATTCCACGAAAGGAAGTCGGTTGGGGAAACCAGTACGTGCGATACGTATACCTTCCAGAACACCATTGCAACGCAATTGGTCAAGGACAAGAGGTGCGCTGAATTGCTTTGGTCGTTTTTTGTGATTTGGAAGGATACATCGGACGAAATGGGGGTGTGTGGAGTGGAGCTGAGTCATGAGTGTCGACAGTTGCTCTTTGTGGCGTTGAGCGACGGTACGGAAGAGACCCTTCTTGACACGACTGCGAGCTCCGCCCATGCCATCGTCCGCATCAGCACAGTCAACGAAGAGATTAGCGATTTGCTTGTCAGCGGAACCAGCCAAAAGTCGGGTGACGTTGTCGTTCAGCGGGTCTTTGTTCTTCTCCAACCAGTTCTCCGTCGAATACTCTACTTCGGCAGCGTAGTGGGTGAGGACGAAGCCTTGAGTAAGGAGCGATCGCTTGTACTTGGTGCTCTTGCGGTCCCATAGTGAATGCAGCTTCTCTGTGAAGCTCTTGTCGGTGGCTTTGGGCATAACACTGTCCTCATCCAGGCAGGAGAAGATACCAATGGGGTTTGGTAGCTCGATCAGGTCGATTGTCGGCTGGAGATCGCGGCCAAAGTCGATGAACTTCCATTCTATCTGTTCGCGTGCGTATTCTTCTTGTTCTAGAACGAACATGTGGTGGTTGAAGAATTGTTGTAGCTTCTCATTAGTGTAGTTTATACAGAGTTGTTCGAAACTGTTCTCATCGAAGATTTCAAAACCGGCAATATCCAGCACGCCGATGAAATGTGAATCGTCTCCACCACCGCCCGTCTGGTCGAGTTGCCGATTGATACGGTCGACAAGGTCACCGAAGCCACGCTCATAGATACCCTTTGCGAGGGCATCGATGGAAAGATTGACTTGTTCGGGTGTCTGGACCTTCTCAACCCACTCTCTGCCGGCCTTGACACGAGGATGTAAAAGGGCCTTGATGAAGTCATCGGCGGAAATGCCGAGTAGTTGGGCGACTATCTGGGCTTGCTGCTCAGCTGCAAGATTCAGTGTGGCTTGGTCTGCCCGCCGACTCTCCTTGACGGCCCGGATGTTGCCGAGGTGCAGGACTGCAGCGACCGTCTTCAAGATGGCCGACTGCTCTTTGTCGGTAAAGCCCATGACATGGAAAGCTTCAATCAAGCCATTCCACTCATCTCGGTCATCCACACCGGAAATTACGTCGTTGCCATGCCTGGTGTATTCAAAGTCGTCTGTGTCTTTGTTGTCCAAGAAGAAGTCCTGCTTCATCTGGCTCTGTGCGCCGCGCAGCAGCTGATAGAAGACGTGGTAGTTGCGCTCGTTTGAGTTGAGGCGCACGACTCTTGACTTCTCCAACAGATACCAGTCTATGTACGCACCAGCGATGTGGCCGGTGCGGGAGAATTCGATCCTGATGAACTTTCCAAAACGAGACGAGTTGTTATTCCGCACCGTTTGCGCGTTACCGAAGGCTTCGAGGATGGGATTGGCTCGTAATATCTGCTCGGATAGGTTGGAGAGGTGACGGCCTCCTGACTTTGCCCGTGGGGTTTCCGAGTTGGCAACGGCGGCTAGATACTGGATGACCTTCTTGGTGTTCTCGGTCTTACCAGCACCGGATTCTCCGCTGTATGGAGTCAGTTACGGGTGGTTTAAATGTTGGGCTAACTCACGTCACGAGGATACTCTGGTTGGTGCCTTCCTCTATGAGATTCCGAAAGGCATGATCAGCCATGGCGAAGATATGCGGCTTGGTCTCCTCCCTACTCCGCCCCCGGTACATGTTGATGTACTCTCGCGAGTAGATGGGCAGCGGGCAGTAGGGGTTCACGGTGACGAGAAACAGTCCGGAGTAGGTGTATATTAGGTCGGCCTGGTATCGCATGTGGAGGTTGTGGATGACCGAGGGCTCGTTCAGATGGGTGAGTTCAGCCATGTCGTCGGCCTTGTCGAACTTGGCCGGATTGACCTTGTCGATGGCGTCGGCGTCGACATCCTGCTGGGTGCCATTGTCGCACTGGACCAAGATGCGTCCGCCCGGCAGGTCCTCGACGACCCATCCGCGGACGAAGGCCGTGACGGGATCCCTAAGCCAGACATAGCGCTTGCCGGAGAAGTCGTTCTCGCCTTCTACGATGCCACCCAGGCGCGGAGCAGCGTCGTCGTCTTCGGAGATGAACTGCGGGGCAAAGGTGCCGACAGGCGTGCTGTTGCGGTTCGAGTTGGAGCGCAGGCGTGCCGAATCACTGCGGCCCAGCGGCGGGCTGGTGAGGTTGGTGAGGGAGCGGTTGCGCAGATGGTCCATGGGGGAGTCGTCGCCCTCGTGGAGCGGCGAGGAGACCGAGTTCCTGGCAAAGGGAGTGCCGCGCGAGTTGCGGGCGAAGGGTCGGCCATTCGGCGCGGGCCCGTTCGCGCTCATGGTGGTGAGTGGTGGTGGTGGTGTTGTCGTGGTGCAGTCGTCGTCGTATCCGAAGGGGTCATTTGGGCTTAGCTGATTGACATGGCCCAGTATGTACAAGAGTATGCGGGGACGCGGGTGCAGACATGCAAAAGGAACCCCAGGGAGGCTTTGCTGGTACAGACGCTGCACGTAAAGTTGTTGTAAACAATGACAGCCGCTGGGGCCCCTAGCAACAGCCGGGGTCGTGATTGGGTGGGCGCCGCACGGACACTTTGCGATACTGTCGCGATGCATATTATCTCACGAACTGCCCACGCTCCTCCATCCACCGCGCGTCATGACAAACAACTACGCGCATCCCCCGCCCATGCAGCAGCTCCCGGGCATCCCGGGCATCAACCTCGCCCCATATGCGCAAAATGGCCAGCAGCCCCCGTTCCCTGCCTTTCCTCCTCCCGATGCCAATCTTTGGGCGCTCTTTCAGAGTGGCTCCTTCCCTCCAGGTGCCCCAAATCTCCCGCCGCCGCCGCCGCCGCCCTTTCCCAACATGGCCTTCCCCCCACCGTCGCTGCCTCCGCAGCCTCCGCAGCCGGAGCGCGTACAGAACATCGTGGACAGTGACCGCGAAGATGGCGAGCTGAGTGAAGGCGACAGTTCGCCGTCGCTCATGGACAAGCTACAGCAGGATCGCGACGCGGCCAAGCAGTTCATCAAGCTTCTGTACAGCAACAACGTCTCTTACAAAGCCCTCGCCAATGAGCAGCTAGATCCTGAGCTACTGAGGGGCCTATACCAGAGCGCAAACCTGCCGTCGGAGCCTGCGCCCATCCTGCCACCCAAGACCAACGATGCCGTCTCCAATGCGCCCGCCGTCCAGCCAGTGACTCCCGTCGCGCAAGATGCGCCCAAGTCTGTCGCGTCGCCAAGCACTCCGGGTCATCGTCAAGATTACATAGCACGTCTTCAGGCCGCAAAGGCTGCGAAACAGGCCGCCGCCGCCAAACCCACCACTCCAGTCACCAAGACGCCCCAGCCTGCGACACCGCCGGCTGCTAAGCCGCATGTCACAGACGAACAGAGAGCGCGCAACACCGAGTTGATCAAGCAGCGCTTGGAAGCCATCAAGGCGAGACAGAAGCCGCCAGTCACGCCCGGCTCGCATACACCCACGAGTGCCGCCTATACTCCATCCTTCTCTGCCATTCCAGGTCTTTTCATGGGCGCGTCTTCGGCGTCCAATACTCCTGCTCCGACCGCGCCTCAACCCGTATCCCTACCACCTTCTGCTCCTCACACACGGCCTCTGGGCCAGTCTCCGCACGCTGACCAGGAAGACGATTCGATGATAATAGATGTTAGCGAAGACGAGTCCAACGGCAGCGACATGGACATTGACGACGATCAGCCAGCTCCTCAGGCAGGCCAAAATTCGCGTCAGGCTCCTGGTATCCTTCCCAACTTCCACTCCGGCGCGATGCCAGCAACCCCATCAGCCGCTGCTGTCGGTACCTCAGGCGCAGAAACACCCAACACAGTCGCGCGCGAGAAGGAGCTAGTGGACAAAGAGAAGCAGTTGGTGGCCATGCGCGAGACACTCAAGAAGAAGCTCGCTGAAAAGCGAGAGCGGGATAGGTTGGCAGCAGCTGCCAGCGCCGCGACATCACCGTCCACGAGCCAAAAGACTTCGACGCCAGTGCCATCTCTCCAGGCCTCCACTCCAGCTTCGCTTCCCACATCCACGACCCAGTTTGTATCATTCCCGTCACATTCAAAAGACACAAATCGTCTTCGTCGGGCGGAGATCCAATCTAAGCTGCCTACCCTGGATGCCGAGATTGCAAGTAACGCGACCAGGATGGCTCAGCTGACCAAGGAATTGGCGCAGCTAACAGCGCAGAATGAGAAGATTGCAAGGGACAAGGAGCAGCTGACCAAGGAGCTGGAGGATCTGGGTGTCGACACGGAGGGCATGTCTCATGCGCAATTACGGGCCAAGAAAGATGAAATCGAAGGCGAGCAGTCTTCGGATTCGAACTCCTCAACTAACCAAACGCAACCTGTATCGCAGCCCGCAGTCAAGAATGCTTCACCGGTTTCACTTCCAGCTTCAAACCAACATACTTCAGTACCAATGGCACTTCCTGGACTTGGACAGGACACAGTTGAGCCAGAACAAGAGACTTATGAACCCCCCGAGTTACCAGAACAGGTCATGCCTGTAGAAGGCGCCGTCAACCCAGCAGCATCACAGATACACTCTGGCCCACAGGATTCGCCTGCCAATGGCACCAGGACCCTGAATCCTTCAGCGCCAGCCTTTGTTTCGACAGTTCAGCAAAACCAGATTGAAAACACGCAAAGTGATTTATCGAGAGCTGATGCGAGTGTACAAAATGCGATCGACGTCGCTAAGGCCAACGCCAGTGCTACCACGCACCAAGAGATCCAGCAACCTATCACTGCCCCCTCACCGTCAGAAGAAGGAGAAGTCGACATGTCTGTTTCCGAAGGCGATGAAGACGAGGAAGAAGAGGAAGAGTACGAGCCGGAATACGAGCCAGAAGAATCTGTCGTTATCCCCGAAGTACCCGTGGAAGAAGAAGTGGAGGTGCAGACCAAACCTGAGTATTCACTCGAAAGCTCGCAAGCCTCTCCGCAAGAAGAAGAAGCCTACGAGCCACCCGACATCGACGAAGAAATCCCGGATGTCCAGGCCGGCGAAGAATCCACCGCAGATCAGTATGAGCCCACGGCTCAAGCTGAAGCGGGAGATGGCGCCATGGACATTGCTACATCATCTGATGAAAGCTCTGACGATAGTGAATCAGACGATGAATCGACTCCAGAACCGGAAATGGGGAAATCTATCTCAGCGTATAACCCGCTACACCAAAACGCCAGAATCGCTGATGATCTAGCGCCCGAGCTACAACCAGAGGTAACGTCTTCGGCGGCCGCTGGCGGACCTGTACGTTAATCACCACACGGGAGGCCTAGCTAATCTGGACCAGGTGCCTGAGATGTCCGAGCAGGACGAAGAACCAGAACCAGCCAGGTTTACTCCGTACGAAAGCCCGCTGCGAATGTTCAAGTCCTATCGTTATCATCCCAACTATGCTCAAGATATAAATGGTGGCTTCCTGTCCCTGACTTTTAGTCATCAGATCAACCCAGAGAAGCCGCTGTGCCAGTACGAATTAGCTGGCGGCGCATGCAACGACCCTGAATGTCCCGATCAGCACTTCAGGGAAGTTGCTATTACTGGTGCGTTGGGAGAGGCGTTTTTGTCTTGATTTCCGCTGTGTTTTGTTCTTTCCATTTATCACGGCTATACATTTGCGCGGAAACTGACTCATGAAACTATAGGTGATAAATTGCTCGTCCAGCTCGGCACAGCGAACCCAGGCAAGACATCCGAGGAGAAACAACGTTGGAATGACGGTCTCCGCGGCGTGCTCAAGGAACTTCGTCAGAAGAACATCAAAGACCCCAATGGCATTGCCGTGGAGATAGCGAGGTATCGTCGTCAATTCCTCAACGACGATACTCGTGTCGTCAACTTGTAATCCTTCTTTGCTTCCCCCCAACACTCTAGGCCCCTGCGTCCAGCATACACCTCAAATGAGCGGGGATGGCTTCTCATTCCTCATCCCCTCCTTTGCTACTGACCTTGACTACATCCACTCAGCAGTCCGCTTCTCTTTGCGTACCATTCATCGGTGAAAAGTTGCGACATTGGGGGCGTACAAACAATCAACTCTCTATCTCTCGACTGTAAGCATCGATACCCTTTCTCTGCATTGGCGTGGAGTTACGGCTTGGTTCTTCGATCCGTCTATCTTTATTGGATGAAATACTGGTATACAGGGCGACTAGGACACACTCTAGCCCGTCCACTAGCAACCTGACCTGGTACGTATTGCTGCCAGCTGCTACGCTCAGACAATTGAGATTCGGTCATCTCGGCGGAAGAGCGAGTAGGCGGCAGCTGCGGGGATTTGGTTGGGGTGGTGGTCGTGCTAGAGAATTAGTCTACGTAGGCACTACAAAATGCATATTTCTTCTGTCAAATCTTCATCATCATACGACTGCAAATTCATCCTGTCAAATATATATCTTCACATTTGCACCTTGCACTTGAATGAGGAATAGGATACAGCAATTGATTCTCGTCAAGCTACCCTAAGATTTCCTTATTGTTTACGTTCTTAACACGCAGCATTCTAGTTGGAGATGCCAATAACACCGCAAGCAGGACGAGGGCCAGCGTTACCAGTCTTCTTGGACTCCTCGTGTCCGCCCTTGCCGAGGTCGTCAGTTCCAGCGTGAACGACGATAGTGCGGCCGATAACGCTCTCGGAGCCGATCAACTTGATCAGCTTGTCCGTGGTGCTGCCCTGAGCATTGCCCTGGCCGTCGGTCTTGAAGTTGCCCAAGTCACCGACGTGGCGCTCGTCGTCTTCGGGCGCGCCGTGCGTCTTGTTGTGGGGGTTGACTGGATGGCGGTGTTAGTGTGGGTGTTCGTCGAGATGACTAGATCTGCAGGGAGCATGTTCCTGCGTATCCGGTGCAGGGTTGTTGGGGTGTAGGTGTAGGTGTAGGTCTGTACTTACAGTGAGGACCAGCAGACGTGCAACCGTTTGTGTTATCGCCGAAAGCGTGAACGTGCATGCCACGCTCAGCATTGGCGTCGTGACCGGTGATGTTCCATGAGATGGTAGTAGGGGCGGACTCGTCGGCCTGCTCAAAGGTGACGGTTCCCTTGACGTTGGAGTCTCCACGGAGGACGGCGACTAGAACATTCCCGTTAGCATATCTGTTCTCTTCAAGCCTCAAGCTTTGGACCAAGCTTCTGTAGGTCGTTCTAGTGCGGTGATGCGCGAGCAATGTCGCGGAAGGGCCATCAGGGTGTCTCGCGTCCGTCGAGCTGATTGGAGAAGCTCAACGACGCGCCCCAGGTATCAACTGACAGCATGGTACTCCTTGTGAGTCCCAAAGCTGTCCAATTGACCTCTTCGAGCGTTACGATACAACCGAGTACCATGTCGTCGCAAACAATCTGCTCAATCTTACGCAGGCGGGACGACCCCACCTTGCCGCAACAAGGCAAGCTCGTGAAGCTACTCTAAACAAACGTACCGGCTTTGACCATTATGACGGTTATGTGATGAGTATTGATGGTATTGACTGGTGTATTTTGGGATCTGTGACAGAAAGAGGCGTTGTTGGGGAGGAGATGGGAGGGAATGTAACAGCTGGCTAGAGGTGAGCTTTGAAGCCGCCTCCACCGGCCGAATGCGGGGCTGTAGTGACGCAACGGTCTCTAACGCCGGGCCAGATCCGACGAATGATTAATAGCCCTGAGGGCCCAGCACTCGACATGGTTTCCATTGCTTTCTTACAGTTTTATGACATTGAAGGTTTCAGCATATCACGGAGAGGACGGAAAGATGGTGTTTTACATCTGATGTCGATTTTACTATCTATTTGGAAGCCAGCCCATCATGTCTCATATCAAAACCGAAGAAAGCCGTAAGAGTGTTCAGATGCTCGGTGTATCTCCGTTATCGGATTATACACTCTATGCCGCCTGGATCTTCTTGCGGAGAATGTCCTTGAGAGTAACGGCATCGGCAGCGAATTTCGAGATACCCTCGCGGAGCTTCTCAACGGCCATTTGGTCCTCGTTGAAGAAGAAGCGGAACTCGGCCTCGTTGTTGATGTAGCTCTTCTTCTCAATGTCGAGCTTGCTGGCATCCTCGGCGATAAGCTTCTTGGGGACGTCGTCTTGTGAGTTGTACAGCTCCTCGAGCAGGTTGGGCTGTACTCGTTAGTCACATGTGCAGGGATAGAGCCTATGGACGGTACTTACAGCAATGGTCAGGTAGTCGCAACCAGCGAGCTCGGTAACCTCGCCGACGCTTCGGAAAGATGCGCCCATGACGATGGTCTTGTAGCCGTGCTTCTTGTAGTAGTTGAAGATTTGCTGGACGCTCTTGACACCGGGGTCCTCCTCCTTGGAGTACTCCTTCTTGGTCGAGGCCTTGTACCAGTCGAGGATACGACCGACGAAGGGAGAGATAAGAAAAGCACCGGCCTCGGCAGCCGCGATGGCCTGGACCTGGGAGAACATGAGGGTCAAGTTGCAGTTGATTCCGTGCTTGGATTGCAGGATCTCCGCAGCCTTGATACCCTCCCATGTGGACGCAAGCTTGATGAGAACGCGCTCCTTGTCAATACCGACCTCCTTGTAGAGGTCGATGATGTGCAGAGCCTTCGCTACTGACTCTTCGGTAGAGAAGGAGAAGCGCGCATCGACTTCTGTGGAGACCTTGCCGGGAACAATCTGGAGGATTTCCTTGCCAAACTGTACCAGCAGGTTGTCAAGGGTAGTGTCGACCTGGTTCTCAATGTCGGTGCCGTTCTTCTTTCCGTATGCGACGGCCGCGTCGATCAGCTTCTCGTACTCGGGCTTCTTGGACGCGGCGAGGATGAGCGAGGGGTTGGTGGTCGCATCCTGGGGCTGGTACTTCTTGATGGTAGCGAAGTCACCGGAGTCGGCGACAACGGTCTGTAGGGAAAGTCGGTCAGCTATAATTCTTCCGTACACTTGGTGTTGCGCATGTGAGGATACTCACGGTGCCGGAGGCCTTGAGCTGTTCGAGGGAGCTAGGCATTGTGAATGGGTATATGTGTGTATGGAATTGGGATTGAAGATTTGTAGCAAGTGTTTGTGAGAGCACTTGATATGTAGTAGAGGTGAGGAAAGTTATCAACTGATGTGATGTAAAAGTGTTGTTGGGCCAGCTGCATGGGTGGGGCCTTTCATACGTAGCGCCCCTCACCTTCCGGCCCCTCCATGGAAAAATAGCGTCACCGGTGGCAATGGCGGCAGAAGTCAAGCTCAGTCAGCGGTGAGGATCACATCGAGTAACCGCTAGCGATCAGAAATTTTGCCGCTCTCGGAGCACTGTCGTCCGGCCCATCCATCAAGACGCGGTTCGGGATGAACGTGGCTGGACGCGATGCCTGAGCAGATCCCACGTGGCGGCACTCGGAGCAGAGTAATGCACTGTCATACGATTGAGGAAGCTTGTTCTACCAACAACCCACGGCTATACACTATCGCGATGTTATTATTAGCTTATCAAGATGAATTCCCGCGGACGTATCCAGGGCTGCTTCGGCCAAAAGGCCGACTTCAACCTTATCCATTGGGATAGTTGAATATCACAACTTTGCTTTGCCAGTCGTCTTGCCCCATCCGTCTTGGTTCAGCCATCCGTACACCTCCTTGTATTGTTCTTGAAGATTGCTAACAGTATGGCCCGCTCCACTCGGTCCCGGATCGTTCTGCATCATCAGTCATCAGCACACAGTCACACACTCGGGTGGATGCTTTCCATCAATACTTACGAATGCCTCAACTAGCCTGGTCTGTTTCGCGCCCACCTCAAGGATCGTGCCTCCACCCAAATCAGCCTCTTCCAGACATCTCAACATGGCAACCGCCACTTCTTCAGGTGTCGCCCACGCATCCTTGGTCTCGTCGATGAAGGTCATTTTCTCCGGATGCTCGGTCCACAGTGGTGTTTTGATGACACCCGGGGCGACGGCATTGACGCGAATGTTCATCTCCGCTTCAAGTGTACCTAAAGAGCGTACAAACCCGTTCATCCCGTGCTTGGCCGCCGTATATATCGGCGCGTGGAGGTTTGGGTTTTGGCCTGCAATGCTAGAGATGATGACGACTCTCTTAGGATTCTGCGCACTCACTCTATCCACACCAGGTGGTGGATTTAGGAAATGCGATATAGCGAGCTGGGTTGTGCGGATGGGATGTGTTACGTTGATATCGAGAGTTGCGTATCGTCCCCCATCGGCTTTGTCTCTGCTCGCGCCGCCATCGACGCCTGGAGGATGCCAGAAGTTACTCCAGTGGGGATCGTAGATGCCTGCTCCTGGGCATACAACGTCGACCTTGCCGAATTCTTGTATTCCTACCTCGAACATGCGCTCCAGTTGCGGCCAATCCGTGACATCGGTCTTGAGAAAGACGGCTCGTGGTCTCCCTTGCTCTTTTGTACTGTATTCTTTGACCAGTTGCTCTGCTTCCGGGCGAAGCGAAAGGTCGGCAATGAGGACGGAGCATCCATGACTGAGGAGTAAAGCTGCAAAAGAGAAGTTGATACCTGATCCAGCACCAGTGACTATGGCACTTTTTCCCTTGACACTGAATGCGTTTCCGGGTTTCGTCAGGTTGGTCAAACCTGGTTGTCTTGCTGCCATTTTTCTTGAACCCCTTCTTGACCTGGCTCGGATGAATAATTACAAGAAAACATCCTTCTCATGGTCGTCAACCATGGCTATATATGCGACCTAGGTACACGCTGTCCAGCATTCACGCGTCTAACCAGCACGGGATTGCCTCATTGGGTAACGAGAGGGGTAGTTGTGGGGTAATTCGCACCGAGCACTATAGCAATCGGGGAAGGTTTGCCGAGCTCCAACCCTCGTACACCACGCGGAAGCTCGTATTTTGGGTAGTTCTACAGTTCATCATACTCCAAGTCTGCATGCTAACCTCGAAAAAGCCATGAAGTGTTTGAAGACGGTGCCGCATTGGGTTGAATAGACTTTGAGTAAATGATCTTTGTACTAGAACTACGATTATGTACATGCCAACCAGCCAGACAGTATCGAAGCTGCCATATTTGGGATATCAATGTATGCCAAGCACCACCTAACGCCATATGTGCCATAAATCCTAATTCCGTTTCCTCAGCTCACTGCGCTCCTGTCCATCTATCCCGCTAGTCCGTGGAAGAGGCTCGCCATTGCCCGTGCCTGAGACGTGGCTCAACCGAATCAGCTCATCCATCATAGCGTCTCTTGTCTTCTTGAGCAGCTCGTCCACGTGTTCTGGTCCCTTTCCTTTTGTTTGTATTGGCGGCAGGACTGTTACCTCGACCACGCCTGGCGTAAACCTCTTGCCCTTCACGTCTAGGACGTGGTAGTAGTTACCAACGACGACGGGTACGATTGGGACTTGTGCTTGTACGGCGAGATGGAAGGCGCCTTTCTTGAAGGGCAGGAGTTCAGGTTTCGAAGCGTAGGAGCGCGTGCCCTCGGGGAAAATGAAGACGTTCTGGCGTGTCGTTTTCATGGTGTGTGCGGCAGTATCAAATGCGGCGCGGGAGGACGTGCGGTTTGCGCGGTCTATGAAGACAGTCTTGGAGAGGGCCATGAACCAGCCCAGTAGGGGAACGTATTTCAGCGACTTCTTGGCCGTGACGGATGTGTATTTTGGGAACATGCAGCCGAGCATGAGGACGTCAAGTTCGCTGCAAGACATGTCAGCGCTGCTGTCGAAATTTGGCCTAGCCAAAGGACCTTGGAAACCCACGTCTGGTGGTTGCCCACAAAAATGGCGGGACGGTCCCTGAGGGCATCTTCTCCACTAAGACCACCCTCTTTCTTCATGCTCCCCGTCACTCTGAATGTTACGCCGGTGCACAACCACATGACCCATTTGAACGCCCGCGCAACGGTCCACTGGATCAGTCCACCATAGCCCACAAGGCGTAGAGGTATAGCCACAAGGGTGCCGTACAGCGCGCAGCAGAGCATGAGGAGCATAGAGCTTATTGCGAAGGCGTAGTAGGACACCAGCTGGGCGGGCTTCGCGGGCAGCACCAGCGAGAGCAGGCGCATGGCGATGATGAGCGCGGGCGGCATGGCGGCGAGGTAGATGAGCCAGCCCATAGCGAAGCCTTAGGTCGGAGAGGGAAGGGGAGGGAGAGCGGGTAGTGCGTGTGTTTGTATGTGTTCGTATTGCGGGTTGAAGAGCGTTGGAGCTTGGTGGGGACATTTTTTGTCACGCGCCGAGGTTCGCACATGCACGCCTCGCCAACTCGCTAAATGTCATGTGTACAGCCATGCCATTCATCGTGACCCCGACTTCTCCTCCACAGAATGCGCTGAATTCGTCCGCACCAGCACGTCTCTCCGCCGCCTTGACCAAGTTATCGCTGTAACGCAGAATGTAGTGGTATATACAAGGAAGAGAGGAAGCAATATCCACCGCCAGGCTACCATGCACCCGACCCTAGTTTTGATCTCGGCGTGTTGCGCGCCGTCAGCCAAAGGGAGATCTAGCACGGCCTTGAACCATGTCTCTGGCGTCCACCTCAGATACGGGTAGTTGATGCCGACTGTGTTGGAGGCGATAGGTTCCTTGATGTGCTGGCCAGTTGTCTGGTACGTCACTACGAAGACGAAGATGAACGCCGATAGACAGAAGACGCTTCCGAGCAACGACAGGACAGCAAGGGCGCTAACACATTTCCGACCCTGCCACGACTATCAGTACGCTGTTCAAACAACCATAAACATCTCATTTGCCATACCTGTCCGGTCTTTCTCATCCTCCATGCTGTCACCATGCCGAAGATGCCCAGGAAGAATCCATACACTGCTGCGCCGTTGCTCTCGTGCCCTTGGTCCGTCCACAAGTTCTTAGGCTCAACGTTTATTTGGGTTGGATTGCCCGGCCAGTTAACATGGTAAACATGCACCTGATGCTTTTGGTCATGTAGCCAAGCTACCATAGAACTGAGCAACCCAAATACGGTGATGGACAGTGCGCAGAGCAAAGCGCTAGATGCGAATAGCAGCCGATTGATCCTTTGTCGTCTTGCCATCAATGTCAGAGATGCGGGCGCTGTGCGTGGAGAATGTTGTGTTAATTCCATGGTAGTCGAGCAGTGTATTGCGAGTCGGTATAATACGAAGAGGGGACGAAAAAGCACTTCTCAACGGTTCATGCTCGAGTATTATACGCTTCAGATCTGGGGCTGAGCCTTTTCTCCCGTCATCGTGGCACACATTCGGGCTTGGTGGATGAGCTCAGCACCTTTGCAGCTTAGTTGTCGCAGCCTTGAACCACATCAGGCACGCTACCTCTCTCAGATGTCTAATATTAGCAGAAAACATGGGATCATCAGCAAGCATGTCGGCATCTTGATGCTCAGTCTCCTACTCGTTCAGCTTGGCGTGTTTGGAAACGGAGCGGATGACGCCAGGGGAGCCATGTTGGTCAGTTGTATCGAAGTAGGAAATATGCGCAATTCAGTATAAAAGCCTGACGATTGCCTGTCTTCGAAACAGTGGTGAGATGACGCTGGTGCACTGTTTCTTGTTTCGAAACATGTCAATATTTGCGAAACTTGGTGGCCTCTGCATTCCCCTGGGGAACCAGTGTAGGACGGGGTAGATACTAGTGCATTTTAGGGGCGAGAACGCAACTGCACAATTCGAGGCGCACGTTGCCTCTTCACCAAAGAGAAGCGCGAGTCGAGGGAATGTCTTTGGAGGTGTGAAGGTATCGGTCGGGGTTCCTGACACGCCTCGGGTCGATCCTGCCCGCCTCGGAAGAGCTGGTGGAGCTAACCAAACCAACCACCCACATTTTCACGACGCGTCTCCGTACCCTGGACCCATCGCTTAGGCGGCCGACGAAGCATGAGCTTTTGTACGTGCTGCAACTCTACACTCGGCGGTAAAAGAGAACGAGACGGCACAAATGCAGGCCGACAGCTCTGCTCGATCGACTTGAAGCTCTGTCTTTGACCCGTGATGCGACCTACGGCACGTCTGGGCGGCGGCTAGTCGTCACACACCAAACACACGCGTTGACACGGTACAACCTTTGCCGCTGCCTGCTCCAATAACCATGTTCGATTCAATACGGACGTCTCTACTCGCAACTTCTGCTGTTGAACCTCTTGGTATCGAGCACAGCTTGCCAACAATACTCTACGCCTGAAAGCATACGCGTGGCCTAGGCTCGCGCATAGCGCACAAGTCAAACAGCGTTTCTTGATCCCATTCTTCGCGACAGCTGTTCGCATTCGGTCCGGTCTGCGCTTTGGCTTTCCAGACACCACGGCCGTCCCGAGGACCGGCATGAGGATGGGCGGCTATCGCAAAGTCCACCTACAACCCAACGCACATGGGGAGCGCAGAGCCAATACTCTAGGCTGCTAACGATTACACTTCCAGCCTCTTACTCAATCTGTCCTTGATCTGATAGCAAGCACGACCCGAGATCCAGGCAGACCCTGGCCGTGGTGGGTGTTCGATTGGATATCGAGCTGTAGTATGAGCACGGCGTAGCTAAAGCGATATGCAAGCACGGCACATACTTCTCATCGGCTCAACACTTCATGAGTAGATGTTTATATCCTTCATGTGGAACTATTTCTGGTATGTAGCACTCATTATTTTTACTCACTCTCTTTCTCTCATTCGCTTCCTGCAGCCCTGCGTGCCTGGCCGGTCCAGATTCAACGCCAGGAATACGTTCTGTATTAATATCTATTTGAAAACAACATTGGATTGCACTCATGCGGCTGCCTTACCGGTCGATCAGCAGCATTCAACCACTCCCTAGCATTTATACCACCTTTCCAGCCAACTACGGCGGCTCTGACTCAACGAACACATCTGGCATTCATTCCGGAACATGCCTCATCAGAAAGATCGAAGATGGGATTGAGGTAGTCCCTTTCGAACGGAGTAATGTTCTCTCTGCTCCCATCCTCAGCCCAGATCAAGAGGAGAAAGAAGTCTTTGTACAGTCATGGGAAGTTCATAATTTCAACAAGCCCCTGCCTTCTCTTCCCAGATGCATTTGGCAGCGAATGTCTCAGCGGCAACGTATCTTAGCTTTACTGGGGTTACAGTTCCTGATGCTCCTCACGATTGGTCTGAGTCTTCTAGCTGTCAAAAGTCGATCTTCAGCCAGGTACGATAAACGAGGTCTAATCTTGAGGATAGCGCTAACATCCAATTTACAGCGACCAGGATGCGGCAGTAGAAGTTGCTAGCGACGGCCCTTCAAATGCCAACATCACCAGCAACCTCCGACGTGGAATATTTGCGCTACCCCTTAAACTTCCCCAGCAGCATAGTATGGCATGCCTGACAAGCATGAATCAGACCAATGCTTGGCAATGCGCATCTAATTCAACATTTCAACTAAGCATACTCCCAGCCCTGGCCGGTAACGACAGCGCAATCATGATAGCGGTGGGACCAACGCGCAGCAACGATACTGTCTGCCATGGCGAGCGCATACCGAGCATTCCACCTTTGGAGCTACTAGCGGCTGGCGGTACTGAGCACGAAGATAATTTTGCCTATCACTTCCGCACAACCTACGACAAAATCGTATTGCTCAGCGAGGAGGAGCTGTCTTTGACTGAAGAGCTACAGGTGCATCCTTCGACTTTGAACACTCCATTCCAACCTGGGGATCGTCTGTGGCAATGCACCTTCAATGAGACTTCTATTGAGGGTTACATCTACCCTACCAAGGCCAAAGTTGCCACCACTACAGGCACTGCATCAGGCACGGTCGATGCGGATAAACCCACTACACTTCCGGATCTCCCCTATGCCGTCAGGCTGTCCGAAGAGTGGATGCCAAATGGAAAGCCCCCTTATTGTACGAAAATGTTAATGGGAGCCGACGGTACCCTAGCTCCACTTTCGGAGGAGATAGTGTTACGCTTGGACAACTCCACGGGTGATGTTCCAGTTTCCACATCGCAACGTATGCGACGTATTAGGCATCGAGAGCAACGAGACGAAGCGCAGTCAGGCCAGTGTCAATGTGAATGGGTGGTCAACTGACGCATGATTTTTGATCTTACATTCGACTGACAATACCATAACCCCGTTAAAATCGCCGTGTTTGCACTGGTCCGACGTTTTCATTACTTTTCTATTTGGGCATACTTAAATCAAAAAACTACCAGAGCAGGTTGCGTATCATTATCAGCCAAGACTGTGTCGCGAAGAATAGGTGATTGATTGTATCTTGGGTCCATGGCTCCACACAGGACCCTTTTTCCTGGGTTCACCCACACATGACATGCCACACTGAATAGACGACCGGCGAAATTCGTAACTGCCCTGCAGACCTCACAACGTCTACCTCGGTCGCGCCCCTGCCCGATCTCGTTGTCACATCGTCGGCATCTGGTAGCACCCCCCCCCCCCCCCCCCCCCCCCCCCCCCGGACTTTATTTTTACTTACTCGCCAATTATTCTATTCTCTGAGAACTGTCTTGAACTCCCGCTTGTATTTATCTCTTAAGCATCATCACCGAAGACTGCGAGGGTAGCGAATGGATCTTGCGTCGCAGTCATCAACCACGCCATCAAAACCAGATCAAGCAAGATAGCCTTGGCATACAATGGTCCCTAAGGTCACCGAATCCAGGCGAAGCTCTTCACCAGGGGATCTTCCTACACCAAGCAAAAGTGTTGTGCCTCCAAAGACTCCCGAAATCATACAAATACCTGGCCGGTTCAGCGCGCTTGGAACTGACAGCACCGTAGCAGTGGTGGGAAGGAAGCAAGAGACTCACGTACGAGTAAAGGTGGAGCCTGAGAGTCCCGATAATACGGTATACCCTACCTCGCCAGCATCCCGTCATCGAGATTACAGGAAAGAAGCGAAAGTAGTCAAGACCGAGAGATCATCCGCCCGTCATCACACGGTTCGCGTCAAGGTCGAAGATAAATCTGATCCTGATACACCACCAAGCTACCCATCCTTCACAACAGCATGGTCCAAATCTCCACTCCGTGTGCCAACTACTATCGCTGATCAGTTTTATCGGTCTGCGATAGTCAAGAAGGAGAGCGAGGACGTTTTGTTGCACAGGGACGTACTGTCACTCCGCAGCCAAACTTCAGGTCCGTCGATTAGCTCAAGTTACAGGAGATCCCCCGTCGAAGCGTTTCGTGACTTCGATGCGTCACACCCAGCCTCCAAGATCAAGATAGAGGAGGAACCAGAAAAGGGATACTACATCCCTACGGGAGCGAGCAAAGTCAAGCACGAAGCGGCATCTTCCTCCACAAATCTTCCTCACTGCCATCACACCCCCACAGACTATTCTAGTTCATACCACAAAGCGCCTGTGAAAGAGTGTCCAGCATCACGTTCTTCACCCGACGTCAAGCGCACACGTGGCCACTGTACCGTCGCGCCAACACCAGAACTGCGCCCCGAAACTAAGTTTTCTTACCTCCAACCCATCACACCTACACCCTTCAGCACACCCTACGGTCTTGTCAACCCCTACCCTCCCGATCCATTATCATACTACATCCCCGGCTCCTTGCTCGAAGGCGTGAGAAGGCGGACGAAATGGGGGCAGAGAGATAGACGGACAAAGCGGGTACCGCCGGTTCTGCAGCCGGCAGGTGCGCCTGCCGCTGGGGACGTTGCTGATGGTAGGAAGGATGGTTCGCATATAGGAGCGGAGGGCACTGGAAGTGGCGGGAAATGTGCATGGTATAGACTTTCGCTTTGCAAATGCTGCAAGTGGATCAGGTGTATCAAAGCAAAGTGCTCGCAAGCTGCTAAGAAGAGGTGGTGGCAGAAAAGTAAACAGCACCAGTATACCACGGAAAGGAGGGAAGACAGTGGGTTTTACGTCGTGAGGCGAGAGGTCGGTCCTAATATCAGGGTCACGGTTCGAGATGTCTGAACTACGTGTGAGTGGTGGTCGGGCGTTTCGTGAGAGTAACCTTCAATGGCGGATGGCACTGGGGTAGAAAGACCAGCCTTGTCATCAAGGAAGGTGCTTGGGAAGACACACTTGGGGCAGCGCGGACTTGTCTTTTACGGTGCACACATATCCTATACGCGATTGGCACAGTTTCTAGTTCGAACTGCACAGTATGCGCCATTGTCAGTGACAAACAAATCAAGTATACGTCATACCGTCTCCATAACAACAATGCATTTGTAGAGGTAAAGACAGAGCCCCGGGGCGAGTTTACTGGGCAATGGGATGTCGATTTACTGAACTGGGCAAGAAATATTGGTGCAGTTATAGAGACTGCGTATCAATCCCTGCCCCCACAAACAGGCTCGGACGATGAACCACCCTGCGGCTGGCTCAATGAGGCGGAATAACCGTCAACGTCTTACTGCTACCATAATCTGCAAGAGGATCCCTCAAAACCATATCCCGGAACTGAACACAAGAGAACTTTTGAGGTTTTGTTGTGGCGGACACTTTCCGCCTTATCAGGTTCTCAGAACAGCACCATCGTCCGTACAATCGAGTCGTTAACCAGCGAGTACATCGATGGTGAGGAGAAACTCAGAGCAATCGGTGCGTCCTGTACGTCAAGCAGCAGTGTAGGCTCAGCAAACATCGACCGCGTGTGCTCTACTTACTCTGATTGTTAACGGAGCGACACTCCGGTACCTACTGGAAAGGATGATTATGCGAAACGTTTTGGCGCAGAGGCTCTTGCGTGTACACTCAACATCAACGACGATAGTTGGCTGAAGTGACTGTTTGACTCAATAGGCCTACCGTCACCACTTGATACAGCAACAGAAAGTGCTGGAGGTGTCATTGGCAACATCAGATTTAATGCTCAGCTGGAATATCTGCAAGCCGACCAACTTCGACAATTCCTTCTACAAGCTTACTCTACCTACGCGATCAAGCTCATGTACAACGACGGTCGGGATTTCGTAGGCGTCAACAAGACACGCCTCAACTCACACGTCCCCGATCTCACAGCTTTTATCACTGGAACCGTGATTGAACCGGGCGTCATGCCGGCTGCTGTTCCTGTGGCTTTATTCGGATTGTGGGCGTTGATCAGCTCAGGTCTCTGCCTTGTCTGTGGCTTCAGGCGACGACGGAGCGCGATTCTGGACGGGCATACAGTTTTCAGGCTTGGAGCCGAGTTGCAACAGACAGACCGGGTGAGGCTCCAACGATATTCTACAATCGCCGAGATTGAAGAGTGTGAGGCTCTACATGAGATTTCAGGGTTTGTAAGTGATATGGAGCCCAATGATGATGTAGGGAGGATTGGGCTTATGGATGGGAAGCCGGCTAGGAAGGACAAGCTTTATCAGTAGTATCTCACGCATGGCACAATTCAGTAGCGAATTCCCTAAGAATGCACCTTAAACGGAACAAAGAATTTGATCAAAACGTGTCTCATTGTCAAAAATGTAGTATGCGTATCGAACGCTCTACCACAGAAATAATATTTACAACCAACGTTATTTCCCCTTGCATGTATTTTCCTATATCATCAGTATTCTATCAAGCGACTTAGAAAGCAAGCAAGACAGCACCCATCATAGCACCGACAAGACCACCGGCCTTGACATGGCTCGCTGCACCAGTAAACTGCGATGGTGGAGCAGAGAAGGTAGCGTTGCCAGAGGGCTGGGGCAGCGCACCAGTAGGCGCGATTGATGGCACAACAACACCAGGTGCAGACCTGGTGTCGATCTCCAGACCAGAGGTGGGGTAGGGAGGAGATGAAGGTACTGCTGAAGTGATCAGACTGGAGATGGGCACAGCAGGGTACTCAGTCGTGAAGGTGGCGGGCGGTGCGTTGGTAATTGCTGGGGGAGCGTCGGTGACGGTGACGGTAGCAGTACCGCACTCGCAAGGCTCATCTTCGCTATCACTGCCGGTAGGAGAGTCAGGGCTGCCCGATTCTTGGGGGACAGCGGCGCCGCCGGTGGGGTAGTTGAAGCCGGATCCGCCGTTGCCGCCGGCGGGGACAGCTGGGGGTGTGGGCTTTGCTGCGTCGCTCTCCGTGCAGGTGGTGGAAGCACCAGAGGGCTTGGAGTCAGAACCGCTGTCAGAACCACCAGTGGCGGCTGGGGCGTCGATGCCAGACTCGATGGGAGCTCCGGTTGCGGCAGCGGAGTCTTCGATGGCTACGCTATTGACAGGAGCACCCTCTGTGTTACCGGCATCGATGACCTTGATGGACTTGAAGTCGCCGGTCTTGTCAGTCCACTCATACTCCTTGCCGGGCGAGTAGTTGATGACCTTGATGCTCTTGACGGTCATGGTGAAGGGCGCATCGTCGTAGGTGACGTTACCACCCGCCCACTGACGAGTGCCTTCATCCTTGGAGTCACCGCCTGGCCAGTTTCCGAGACGAACATTGCAGGGCGTTTGCGGGTAGTTCTTGCCGCCGTTGGCATCGGCAAAGTTCAGAGTGCGGGTAGGCTTGTCGTCAACAATCCAGGTGAGCGATTCCGAAGTCCAGTTGAGTGCGTACTTGTGGAACTCGTTCTGGTTGTTCAGAGCATCAGCCTCGATCATGCGATCGTAGGTGGTAGTGTTGCCCTGGCTGGTGTTAATTTCTTGAAAAGCAAATGCAAATTGTGCTCTTCACATACCTTGCCGAAGTAGTTCTGCTGTACACGGCTGTCTACACCACCAATCCATTCCCAGTCGACCTCATCCAAGTTGTCAGACTGAAGAACAATGGAGGAGATAATTCCGACGCCAGGAGCTGCCTTCATGACGACCTCAACGTATCCAAAGTGAAGCATGGCCTCGGATCCAATGGTGGGAGCATCACCCTTCTTGGCAACAGTGAACTCAGCGCCCTCGGGTCCATATGTCAGGGAACCGGCAGTCTGCTTCCATCCCTTGATAGCATCCTTTCCGGCAGTGAAGTCGGTCTCCCAGTTCTGGGGCATGGCAGGGTTGTTGGGACACTTCTTCTCCATGGGGTTGCAATCAGTGAAGGTCTGAGCGGTGGCCAGAGCAGCCAACACGCTCGCGGTAGTGTATGTGGAGAAGTGCATGATGGAGGTCTCGGTAAAGTCTAGTTGTTCGAGATAAGTTGATAAGACAAAAAGAAGTAGTCGTCCGAGAGTGTGCTGTACGGAGTTGTTTCACACGCAAGACACAATGTCAACAATGCGTAGAGTGGTGTTAAGGAATGTAGTGCTTCGCAAGCGAGCGTTGAAAAGAATGTAGTGACTGAGGTCGACCTGCGTCCAGAGAATCGACTGAGAGAGTGTGAAGTATGAAAGGTTCGACAAAGAATGCAGGCCAGCGCTGCGTGTCAGAGGAGCACCGACTATTAAAAGTCACGAAATGCTATACGAAGCAATCTCCCCTGCGCGCCAGGACGCGCATCAGCGGCCAGCGGCCAAAGTCCATGCGGCTTCTCAAGCCCATGCAACATGTCTCCAGTGCAGGCGCTGCGTAGACCTGAATGGTCGTGAGGATACTCCTGAAGTGTTTCACCAGCCGTCAGTGGAGACTAGAGTGTGTCAGGATAGTGCAGCCGCGGAGCCCGTTCTGGCGGCGACGCCGCAGGCGCCTATCAGAATCGAGAAGTGCCTGGCATCATCTGGCTCATGTTTCTTCTTCCCAGCCACTAATTCTTATGCTTTGGGAGTTGGCTGGCTGCGTGGATGTGGCTGTGCCGCTGCGCCCAGGAAGTGGAAGGGATTGACCTCGAGATTGAGATGCGCACCTGGGCAACCCTGACAGCTGGAGCGATGCGCGGTCTCCTATCTTATCTTGGCGATCATCCGTCTATCAATGACGTCTCTTCAACGGCCGGTTGCAAACATGTCGGCGCATCGACGCGCGGAGAGCTTGCAAAGGGGCATGTCTGACAGGTGCAGTTTGGTAGGCGGCGCAGTCGCTCCGACACCCGGTGCCAGACATGTGAAGTGCAGGTGGGAACGGCGCGCTATCCGGAAAAAGCTAGTAAGCTTTTCACCTGAATTTTTTAGGTACCAAGATTCACAACTGGAGCCGAAGCTCACCATCGGCACGTGACTCATCGCTACACCGCCTTCCAAGGCTCGCCCCGCCGTTGCCCCTCCGTGGCAGAATTATTGAATTATGCGTGTGACGAAATATACATAGGCCAACTTTCTCAGATTTTAATCGACACACAACCAACTATGGCGACCACCGACGGAGGAGTAGAGCTGCCACAGCAACAGCATGGAGAAGTTGACCAAGTCGTAAAGCCCGTCACAAACGAAACGGCCACCAACGATGACGATAACGAAATTGACGACCTTTTCGAAGACGAGGACGAAATAGTGCCTGAACTGATATCGGGCGACCACCACGACTTTACCAAAGCATACAACCGCCAGCGAAAGCTAAACGACACGAACATCCCAGACGATCACAAGCCCAAGTCAAACCCACAGAAGCCGTCTGCCAACACAAACGCCTCCATCGACGACCAAGTCGCCTCACTCGCGAAGCATGCGGGCAAGATTCGCCTCACCGGGCGCATGACAGGTGCGTCTGGAGGCAACGCCAGGGACAAGGACAAGGCAGACCGCGCGACAACAGAACAGGTCCTGGACCGGAGAACACAGATGATCCTGCTCCAACTCATAAACCGCGGCGTGATCTCAGAGATTCACGGTGTCATCTCCACGGGCAAAGAAGCCAACGTATACCACGCTATGACAGAAGCTGCCGAAGAGGACGCCGATCCCATCCACCGTGCCGTCAAGGTGTACAAGACGTCCATCCTGATCTTCAAGGACCGCGCAAAATACGTCGAGGGCGAGTTCCGCTTCAGACAAGGATACAACAAGAGCAACAACCGCGCCATGGTACGGATGTGGGCAGACAAGGAGCGCAGGAATCTGGCCAGGATACACGATGCAGGTATTCCATCACCGATGGCTCATGCGCTGCGAAACCACGTCCTTGTCATGGGCTTTGTGGGCGATCGCAAAGGCAAGGCAGCGCCTCGTCTGAAGGATGTGCGCTTTGAGGGCCTCACAGCAGAGGAAGAGGATGCGAAGTGGACAAGTCTATACCTCGAGATGCTGGCGTACATGCGCATAATGTACCAGACATGTCGTCTTGTACACGCAGATTTGAGCGAGTACAACGTCCTGTACCACGAGGGCAAGCAGTGGATCATCGACGTCTCGCAAGCTGTCGAACATGACCATCCTCGCTCTCTCGAGTTCCTGCGCATGGATGTCAAGAACGTGTCTGACTTCTTCCGTTCACGCAACGTTGAGACGCTAAGTGAGCGCAAGGCTTACGCCTATATTACAAGTGCCGCAGGAGCCAAGACTGTAAAAGAGCAGACCGAAATGGAAGAGAGCATCCGTAGCCTGCTAAGCAAAGAGCCATTAACCGAGGAAGAACGGAAAAAGGAAGAAGAAGACGACGACGTCTTCCGCAACCAATACATTCCCCAAACTCTTGAGCAAGTTTACGACATCGAGCGCGACGCCGAACTCGTCAACGCCGGTGGTGCCTCCGACCTTCCCTACCAAGCCCTCCTCGCCGATAATGTCGTTAACAACGGCTCTGATGCCTCTGATGCTGAGTCGGACGATGGTAGTTCGGGTTCCGAGGTCGATCAAAGTATTTTCGACAAGGGCCCCAGCCGCGGAAAGAAACACGTTGATCATGACGAGAAGGTGGCGCATAAGAAGGCTATCAAGGAAGAGAAGCGCGAGAAGAGGAAGGAGAAGATGCCGAAGCATATGAAGAAGAAGTTGGTGAACGGAGGCGGGCATAAGAAGAAGTGAGCGTAGATGCCATTTGGCCTTGCAGTCTTTTCGCGATCGCAGAGAGATTCTAAGTGCATACGAGTGCGACCATTCTATGCGCGTATACGCCACGACTTGCATGCGACATATACAGGAAGGTATATGAAGTGAAGAAGTCCACCAGGCCCATGCAGTATGGTCGTCTAAGTGCCCGGATAGCCAGCCAACAGCGTTGCTTCAAATTCCACTACGGCAAACTTCCCGAGTCGCATCAGGTTCACGACATGCCCTGAGATACATGCTACCACGTACTCATTGGGGTCCTGAGCACGATCCAGAGAAGGGAAGCTTCGTCGTAGCGGACCTTTGTCGGCTACAGATGTCTGGGGGTCGCTCCACGACGCTAGAGAGATGCGATTGTAGTTGCTGAAGTAGTAGAATAGAGTATCATTCCATCATATACCCACATCTTTTGTCTACTTTCATAGCATGTTCTTCCTCCACGCCCTCGTACCCAGCTTCTCAATCTCCGGCACCTCAACTGGGCCCCTAACATCCTCATCTTCTAGTGCCTCTACAACCGCCTCACCCACCAGGTCCGCTTTCAGCGGCTTAATACCACCCGCACCCATGAGCCACGTCAACCGTCCACCGACCGCGCTGTTTATCATGGCAGCTACACCACCCGCTGCCGCAATAGGGAGAGTAAATGTACGACTGCTATCGTACATGAAGGGTGCGCGAATGAAGATCGATCGCATGGTAGGGAAGGTAGAGGCGATAAGGGATTCGGCTTCGCGTTTTGTTGTGATGTAGCGTGCGGGGAGGATGGGTGTGCCGGCTGCGGCGGAGATGTAGAGGTAGGTTGGGACTTTGCGGGTTGAAGCTTCTTGGGCTAGGGAAACGGCTGTTCATACAGAATAGTCAGTCGTTTGCGCTAATTGAAGAATCAACGGCAATGCCAGCGTCAACATACCAGTATCCCGATTCATAACCTCATACGTCAACTGTCCATCACTCTCCTGTGGTCTCAACGTCTCCCCCTCCTTCCGTGTAAGCGGGTTCTGTGTCCCAGCCTTGGTGTTGCTAAAGGCGCGCTGGAGTCCTTTGATCGGGCTCTCCCGTCCGCTGACTACGCCTTTGTAGTCGGCTTCTAGCAATATGCCCATGCTGTGTATTACGGCATCGGCGCCTTCGAGATGCTTGGTGTAGGACTCGGGGTCGAGTATGTCGCCTTTTTGCCATGAGACCTTTTCGGACCAGTCGGGTGGTGTTTGGGAGGAGGAGACGGAGGACCAGTGGGGGGTGCCAGAGCGTCTGCGAGCGTGTTAGTAGAAGAGTGGGATGATGGGAAAAAGGAAGGTAATGCCGTACGAGATTGAGGTCACGCTCCAGCCTCTATGTGCTGCTGCTTTGCATATCCGGCTACCTATGTGATATGTTAGCTAGCTGTTGTGCTGGTGTAGAGCTACCGTCCCGACTAGCTTGGGGACTTTTGGGAATTGCATACCCAAGAAGCCATTGCCGCCGCATACCACGAGTTTCTTCTTTGCAGCTTGTGCTGTTGTCGATGCCATTGTTGTGTTGTGTGGTGATTAATCGCACAATGGTCGGGATATTGTTTGACAGAGCAATGGCTGATAGAAAGCAGCGAGTGCTTACGTCACTCCACTTCGCGTCTGTCGCGTAAGATCGAACAGGGATATGCGGAGATGCTGTTGACCTCCGCGTCTTGCATATAGGTCGCGTCGTTGCTCCATGTCAAGCCATATTTCAACAAGATATACATATAGAATAGACATGATGAACCTGTAATTAGCACTATGGCGTTGTAAGGCACGTCGCACTCGCAGTTCTGGCCAGTAGAAAGAAAGTCCATGTCGTCATGACGCTTCATATTAGCGTACGGGAACCCTCCTCCAGAGCCAAATGCAATATGGTTTTGTGACCGCTGGCTTGTACTCCGCATCTTTCCAGACGAAACCAATATTCATACGTCAAACTATCATGCAAGCCTTCAGAAACCTCTTCAAGAACGACCTCGTCCTCGTAGGCACAAACCTCACCGTTGTAGCCGGCTTCGCGACATATCTTGGTATTACACCTTCTTTTCATCCACTTCGATTATGAAGCGCGTAAGGTTGTTGTTCTAACCGTTGTGTTCTACAGGCTCTCGAGTGGAGAAGAAGTTGGATCATATGGAGGAGGAGCAAGAGGCGCGAATGGACGAGATCGAAGGAACACTACGAGGTCACATTGGATTGATCGAGGATTCGTTGGACAGGATCGAGGGAAAGCCAGATGCTGGAAAGCAAGACAAATTGTACAACCAGAGGACGAGAGACGAGAAGGGAGGTAGGAAGGGCCAGGACAAGTAGGCGGGGCGGGCTGACAAGGATTAGCTGTTAGCTTGCGTGCCTGCATATCGGTGCCAGTCGTAGCTCGCTCGACCTTTGACAAAATACACGACATTATCACTTGCGCAAACCACTTCATAAAGCACACAAAACCCCGCTTATTGAACTTGATCCCACGCGACTTACAAGATGCCTGCGCCTGCCTCAAATAAGCGCGTCAAGGCAAGTCGGCCGCTCCGATACAGCTGTAGGCGCATACTGATGATGGGCAGAACAAGCGCATCAGCCGAAACCTCAGTAAGACGCAGCACAATCCATGCGCCAAATCATATACTCATTCTGCGCAGTAATTGGCTCCGAAGCCTGGCAGCTGCCTCCAGTAGGCCACCCCGACCGCCCCAAGGGCGTACCCGACGACCACACGAAGCGCTGGACCGTATACGTGCGCGTACCCGACGGCGACCCCGACATCCGAGCCTGGCTGAACAAAGTATCGTTCAAAATATTTAACACATACGAGAACCCTTTGCGCATGGTAGAGAAGCCACCGTTCGAGGTGACCGAAACAGGATGGGGAGGCTTCAACATCGACATAAGACTGCACTTCCAGCCCATCTCAGGCGAGAAGGCGCAATACCGGCAACACTTCCTGCAGCTGGAGAAGTACGGCGACGAAAAGATGCAAGCAGAGCAAGAGCGGACAGGCTGCGTGCGCTCCGAGTTCCTCGAAGTAGTGCAGTTTAATGAACCCACCGAAGCCCTCTTCGACGCCCTCACATCCGAAGACCAGTGGAACTACCTCATACCCGCCGGCAAGGGTGGCTCTAAGAAAGCCTCGCTCGGTGCGAATGGCAGGCTCAGGCGTGGTCTGCCCAACGGCGAGCGCAGCGCACAGCTACCGGAGAAGGGAGCTGACGAGGTTCCTTTCAGCCAGGAACAAGAGCAGGCGCTGCAGGACTTCTTCAAGCAGAAGATGGAGGACGTGGAGAGGCAGTTGGACAAGGAGGCGAAGAAGAAGGAAGAGGTAGAGGCTAAGCTCAAGGCATTACGCGGTGAGCTGGGGCACGAGGCCGCTCAGCAGGCTGCGCAGCAGGCTAGTGGCGATAGGAGCCGGCGCAGGTGAGGACAAGTGATGCAAGCTCACTGCGTTGAGACCTTGAGCCGCCGATACCACGGATGCTTCACATGAGTTGGCATAAAGAAGACTGACAACATGCAAGAAGGGTTAGGAAACGGCGGCGCTAAAGCACAACGACATACGGTCGCGAAGCGCAGAGTAGGGACATGGGTGCCATCTGCTCGTCGCTTCAATCGAGCACTGCGCGGCTCCGAACGTATCCCGAGCCGCCGGACGACGACAAGAATCTTTTGGGAGTCGTTGATTAGATGATGCCAGGTTATGAATCGGACATATACGTATACAGGAGGTAGCTGCTGAGGCCTTGTGCTGGCTTACCACCTGCACCGTACTGTACGTTGATGCGAGGGGTTCATAATACGCCGTGTTTCGGGTAATACTACACAAATAAGCCGTTTGCCCCGAACACACGTACTGCCGCAAAATGGAGTGGTGTATTCCGTATCATTCTGATCAATGTAATGCACTAGGTGTATACTCGTGATTGTTCTTTGTATTGGGTATCGTATCTCAGCTCGTATTGTCCGTCGCCCCCACCGCCTATGTATGCTCCAACCATCGTAAATCGAAAACGCCCACAAATGCCAAATATGCCCACCGTAGCCAGAACACCTTGAATGCAAACATTTCCGGATGTGACAATCACTCGACTTCCAAATCCTTCGGTTCCTTGGGCTCTTGCGACTCGTGGAACTGAATGGCGTCGTCGATGTAGCTCAGCACCGCACCCAGACTATCCTCGTCCTGAACGTCCAGCTTGAGGAACGAGACCATGCTGAACCCATCAATGAGCTCCGCCACAGCCTTGTTGAGCTTATGAAACGACGACCCACTCATGAGGCTCTCAGTCGATGCCGGATCTCTGTATTTCCTCTCTTCCTCCGGCGTAATCTTCTTGCGCGCCGGATCATCCTCGATGAGATCAGCATCGACATCCACGAAGCGCTTGAGGTCGCGCTTCGCAATCTGCCCTTTGACCAGATCCATCTTGCTCAGTATATTGATATGCGGCATCTCCAGCATCATCATCGCGCTCATCGCAGACAATGTACCCGAGAAGAATTTCGGCCGATCGATAACAAACGTCGCTTCGAGGAGGTACGCGGCGCACATGCGGATGTTGAGGGAGCCGGTCATGAGGTGCTTGACCAAGCCCGGTAGTATGGGTACGTGTGTGTAGAGTTCGATTTGCCCTGGCATGTCGAAGACGATGAGGTAGTCTTCGGTGACTTCTTCGAGGGGGTCCGTCAGCCAGTCGAGGTTCTCCATGAGGAACTCGAAGCAGTAGATTAGCCCGCCGTTGGGGCCGAGGCTCATTTCTTCCATTACATCTTCCAGGCTGATGAGGTCTTTGATGTCGAGGTCGGGCTCGAAGGCGAATTCTTCGGCGGCGGGGTCGAGGTTTACGTAGAAGCAGGGACGTTTGCTATTTTGTAAATGCTGTATCAAAGCAGTACAGAAGGTTGACTTTCTTCAAAGATTATTAGCTTTTTAGTGATATCAACAGCAGCAGCCACTACGCACCCGGCGCCTGCTGGGCCCTTTTCTTGTCAGTTTAGAGTTTTTCCAAAGAGAAGTTTACATACCATAACCAGGGTGCCGTATTTACTCATTGTCGCAGTTGAGCTCTCAGTTGATATGGCGCGTCACTTCGGCTTTACAGAAACGGGGCGGGATACTTTTCTGCGGGCGGGCGGTGAGGAATATGAGGGGACCGCGTGTGGTTGGATCTAGCACGCCGAATGGCGACATAGCGTCCCCACGCTGCCCAGGTGCGGTTCGGCCGCCCTGCCTCACCCAATCCACTTTTTTTCACTTTGTCGGCAGTTAGTCTTGCCAAAACGCCCAAAGCTCGCTGCATGCATAAATCCCACTTCTTCTAGCCCCTCACTTCCCTCTCCTCACCATCCGAATCTTCCTTCTATAAGAGCGTGGTCGGTCGAAAGCCCTAACTAGCAAACCATTCACGTATTCCCAAATCAATCGCCAACATGACCGTCCCCAACGGCAACGGAAAATCTACCTTCCTCTTCACTTCGGTTTGGTCTCCCATAGACGACCTGCGTGTGGACACTATGCTAACATATCTTAGGAATCGTATGTCCGACTCCACGAAAAGCATGCGAGACATTACTGACTCCTCTACCTTTGCAGTGTCGGAGAAGGACATCCTGACAAGATCTGGTACGTACGCTTCTTCCATTCCTTCAATTGCTTTCAGAGCCGTTGTTCGTTGCGCGATAAGACACGTAACGCTCGGCGCGATAGACGGCATCCCCGCCTGCTGAAACCGGGACTTTTTTTCACAACCTCTTCGGGACATATCTGACTGTATGCTAGCGACCAAGTCTCGGACGCTATCCTCGATGCCTGCCTCAAGGAAGACCCTCTCTCCAAGGTCGCTTGCGAGACCGCCGCCAAGACCGGTATGATCATGGTCTTCGGTGAAATCACCACCAAGGCCCACCTCGACTACCAGAAGATCATCCGTGGCGCCATCAAGGACATTGGCTACGACAGCTCCGACAAGGGCTTCGACTACAAGACATGCAACGTCCTCGTTGCTATCGAGCAGCAGTCGCCCGACATTGCTCAGGGTCTCCACTACGAGGAGGCTCTCGAGAAGCTCGGTGCTGGAGACCAGGGTATCATGTTCGGATATGCCACCGACGAGACCCCCGAGCTCCTTCCTCTTACCGTCCTCCTCTCCCACAAGCTGAACTCGGCTATGACTGCTGCCCGCAAGGACGGCTCTCTGCCATGGCTGCGACCCGACACCAAGACTCAGGTCACCGTTGAGTACGCCCACGATGGCGGTGCCGTCGTTCCTCTCCGCGTTGACACTGTCGTCGTGTCGGCCCAGCACAGCGAGGACATTACCACCGAGAAGCTCCGTGAGGAGATCAAGGAGAAGATCATCAAGAAGGTCATCCCCGAGAAGATGCTCGATGACAAGACCGTCTACCACGTACGTCCACAAACCCCCATACGTCGTCCTAGTATACTAATATAGTCAGATCCAACCCTCCGGTCTCTTCATCATCGGTGGTCCCCAGGGTGACGCCGGTCTTACCGGACGTAAGATCATTGTCGACACCTACGGTGGCTGGGGTGCCCACGGCGGTGGTGCTTTCTCCGGAAAGGACTACTCCAAGGTCGACCGTTCCGCCGCCTACCTTGCGCGCTGGATCGCCAAGTCGTTGGTCCAGGCCAAGCTCGCCCGTCGCGCACTCGTGCAGCTGTCCTACGCCATCGGTGTTGCCGAGCCCCTCTCCCTCTTCGTCGAGACATACGGCACCTCGGAGCGCTCCTCCGACGAGCTCGTCGAGATTGTCAAGAACAACTTCGACCTCCGCCCCGGTGTCATCGTCAAGGAGCTCAACCTCATCAACCCCATCTACTTCCAGACCGCCAAGAACGGTCACTTCACCAACCAGGACTTCACATGGGAGAAGCCCAAGGAGCTCAAGTTCTAATTCTAACGCCTTGATTAAAGACATAAAGGTGGGCATGAATCAACTTCAGCCCAACCGTTTTCAAAGTTAATAAGCGCGACGACAATGCGTCCGTTGCGCAGCAGTGAGTATGAGAAAGATTTGCATATCTTTGGGAGGCGGGTAAATGAGCCTTTTCAACAAGTGTTTCAACGGCGTCCACAGGGCATTATAACTATACCCACATGATACCAGCCCGTTTGTACTTTCCAAAAGTTTCCTATGCGGATTTCCTTTTCATTTAGATCGGCCTAGGGCAGGCTGTAGATATACAGAGAGCTTCAACAATTGTTGGACCGCAGTACGTTGTCAACACGTACGTGAGGTCGTTTCGCGCACTAGTTCGCGAAGCTGGTAGTGGTTGGGGAGGATGGGATATAGGGAGAATCAATCAAGTGCCAGCGAGTCTGCGCTGGGGTCTTTGACTTTGGCGCGGGTAGCATGGTGCTGTACCGACGTATTCATGTGTTTGTGTTGCTGTGATGTGAAGTTGTGTACGACATGATGATTCACTCCAGTCATTCGAAGGACATCTGACCATATTGCCTGCTCCAATAGAATCTAACCATCACATCGTCTGTGATAGTAGAAAATCTCGAAGCCTACTTGACATCAGGCTTTCAAAGACTACTCGCGTAAGACCTCTTCCAAGGCAAGCATGGTGAGTAAGGATATATTTATACAAAAGAAGTGGAAATATCTAATAGTGGTATTTCGATTTATAGCCAAGGTGAGAGAGTAGAAACCGTTCCTTCGCCGCTCTATCAAGCAAGCGACACAAGCCCTGTAAAAAGGGCCATCCAAACCAACTCCAATAATCTATGCTCTTGCGACTGCCATGCTCATAAAGGTATTCTAATGCCAAAAGGGTAATAATCGTTTCTCATCCATCCATGTCTCATCTCATCTCATCTTCCATCTCACCTCAGCCGCCAACAACACTCCCACTCCCCACGCTACCACCGAGATCCCAGTAGTTTCTCGATGACCCACCACTTCTCTTACTCTTCTTAGTACTCTGACTGGCGCAACTAGAGCTACTCCTGAGTTTAGTCTTGCTGCCACCGGTTGGGGGCGCGTAGTAAGTAGCAAAGCGCCGTGACTCCCTCGAGTGAGACGCGGACGACGTGGGGAGTCTGTTATCGGTCGTCGTCCGGTTTACCAAAGGGTGGTGTTGGCGGATGATGGCTGCTCGGCGGGCGGAGCTGAGGTTGTCGTTTGTGGTTGTGGAAGGAGCGCTGGCGGTGCGGAGGGGTTGTGGTGGGGGGATGGTTTGCGAAGACGAGGGGATACTGGGGCGCCGCGAGGAGAATCGTTTCATGAGGAAGTTGAAGATCATTTTGACGTCGATGTCACGTTCCCAGTACTCGCGCTCTCGCGCTAGTTCGTCGGCGATGTTTGCGGTTGGGGCAGGAGGGATGTGGGATGAGGTTGCGGCTTCGGTCTCGGTAGGTTCTTCTTCAATACCCCATAATGATGCTTCGCTATAGGTGTGTGAAGTTTGCGCGGGAAAGGTGGGTGCGAACTGGGCCGAGGCGGGAGATGTGGTGGTAGGTTGTGAGCTTGCGGTTTTTGAGGATAGGGGTTCGGATGCGACTGTCGTGTTTGATAGTACGGGTGTAAGACCTGCGTAGTCTGGTACTGATTGTGTTCGTTGGTATGTAGAGAAAGCTCCTGGGTGCTCAGAAAGCTGGTTGACCAACGTTCCCAATTCCTGAGCTACCCTCTCAAGCAGCTTCGTCTGCCAGGTATCATCTGAATACCGGGACGCGTCGATACCTGCGTCTTGCAGAGCTTTGTCTGCCGAGAACTCGGCAGGCGTTCCGGGCGTAGGTGTGGCGGCCTCATCAGGTAAAGCCTCTCCAAAAATGACTGAGAGTGTGTCTTCGTCCAAACCGATCAGATCCCTTATCACTCGTCGCGTTATCCGTTGCCAGAATGATAGATTCTCCGTGCCTTCCTCGGAAGATTCACTCTGCACGTCCGACACAGACTGTGCAGTAGGCGGTTTTGTGCCCGTTGCCTCCTTTTGCGCATCAACCCGACTCGCTCCCGTACTGACCATGCTCATTCGCCGCCTCCGCCTTGTCTCTTTCTCAATCTCTTCCAGTAATGCTTTACTTTGCTCAAGTCTCCACCTTTCAATGCGCTGTCGCTTCTCGTGTTCCGTGTTCGTATCCTCATGGTCTTCGAGGACTGACAGGTGCCGCTGCACACTGGATCGCCGCCTGGGTGCTCGTCGCTTCTGTCGCTCGAACTGCCACATGTGTTCCTGCATAGTCGCATTCGGCTTGAACTCGCCCAATCCGTCATGGGTTGGTAGCACAGTATCGCCGCTCTCTTGCAGCCTGCCTACTGGCGCACCATATTCCGATGGCTCATGGAACGCGTGTAGGCCATCATCGAGGCTATCTAGCTCCTCTTCCGTCCCAAGAAATGAACCAACACCGTCGTCTTGTTCGGACCGCGCAGCAGTCTCGAGCGAGCCAAACTCGCTGAAGCGTGACAGACCAGCTGTCCGTGGGGTTCGGTCGGTCGAAGTGGTGTGTGTGCGAGTGGTAGCAGAAGGCGCGGTCGGCGAGAAGAGGACCCATTCCTCTGATTGATCCAGAGGTCTGTTGGCTTGTAATGAGGTAGTTGCGGGTTCGGTCGCGGGTTCTGGTGCTTGGTAGGATATCTGCCTTCCGGGCTGCGGTCTGTGCTGCTGTATGAAAGCCATAGTGTAGTAATCTGAGGGGGGCTGCGACGTATACAGTAGTGGCGACGGAGGAGTCAAGTGCTCTGGCAAGGCACGTGGGCGTCGGGCAGATGGGATAAATTGTGAGGTTACGAAATAGTGTAAACGCGTCGCGTTGGGAGCGGTGTGTTCCTTATCGTTATGTTGGCCTCATGCCTCGTTGCGACGTTTACCACTACTCTAGCGGTGGGAGGGGAGAGTGTATGATGCCCAGTATGTCGTGCGCTAGGGACACGCTACTAATGCAGGCGGCGGGTGATCAGGCGCAAGTGCGGTAAAACAAGATGTGACGAGTCTACCAGAGATAAATGAAACACGCGGGAGACAGGCGATATAGGAGAGGCAGCGTCCTTGTAAGGCGGCGAAGATGTGAAAGGGAGGCTGACCTGCGTCAAGCATGCGGCGAGGGAGACAAGAATAGAGATGCGTACTGAGTGACGCTGAGGTTAACTTCCCTGATAAGAGATAACCAGCGAGGCCCGCTCTAGCAGCTAGAGCACCCCCGCGGCGTCCCACAAATGCCAACTACACACGCCGCACGCTCTGATGATGATGTGATGAGCCAACGATTACTGATTCGCACCATGTTTCCTGCCCTCTGACTCTACGAAACCGAAGAAGGGCCAGAAACGTTCTCTAGCCGTCGCTCAGTCACGCAATCGTGCATGCGACATTCGCTCATGGATTCGCAACCTCCACCCCTTACGCTAGAAGACTGTCAGACTTGCGTGCGGCACCGGGCAAGGTGCAGTCGCAAGCTATTCTCATCACAAACATGACACTATCCCGAAAAACCTTCGTCAAGGCCCGAGGCCAGGCTTCCTCCCTTATGAAGCATCACCACATACATTCCATCGTCCGAAAATGCTGCGAACATTTCGCGTCACGTCAGTCAAGCCCCGAATGTTGTCCCCTCCGATCATCGCCCCGATTCGGCGATTGTCGCCCGTGTTCGCCCGCTTGACTTACCCAACGCAGCAGTACAAGTGAATGTACTCCAAGCGTGACAAGGAACACGTCTTTGCAGATTTTGTCGCGAGACGACTTGCCTATTGAGTCACACATTTCCGCTTGACGATGCCAAAAAATCCGTAAGATGCATAAACACGTATCCGTGTTGTGTTACGTAGGTATCGAACAACGACGCTATTCAGGTATAGTACAGATGCCACAAAACGCCGTGCAGCTATACAATGAGTGTCAACAAAAGGTCGCTATCAACAATGTCATATCCTCATCATCGCATCTTCAAGATGCAGAATCATACTCTGTGCCGAAGACGCGCTTTGCGTCTTCCTCGTTCATCTCTTCGCCCTCCCCAATGTTCACCCACCTCTTTGTAATCCTAGATTTCTCTCCGGGACGTCCCTTGAGCACACACTCGCCGTTGCCTTGACAAATTTCCTGCCGCCCTAGATTCTTGAAGCGGGGGCCAAGTGGTCCATTGACGTAATGGTACTGGCCCAAGAAGCGGTATTGTCGAGGATCGCTAAGTGGGTAGAACTTATCGCCCCAGTGACCACCAAAGTAGAACCATGAGGTAGGTGCGCGCGGGTTGAGGTTCGATGCGACAAGACGATCGGATTGGTAGTCGTACTTGTATGAATACATGTTCATGACAGGGTCCCAGAGAGGGCCCCGATCTGTTACGTCGTGGAGAATGCCACCAGGCAAGACGTACGGATGTACACCTGCCGTAGCGTACATGGCGTGGGTACCGGTAGCAGAGAAACCGATGGGCTAGTTATGTTAGTGTCGCACATAATCCTGAGACGTTGAACTTACCCTCTGTCCACTCTTCTCTACAGCGTCCCATGTATACGCTTCTCCAAAGCTGTGTTCACTAAAGAACACCGCTTTGGGCTCACCATGCTGGAACCTGACCACGGTATGTTCCCAATCGCCAACGTGGTTGCCAAAACGAATGTTGAAGACAGCGTTACCTAGATTGTAGCTGTAGAAGAAAAACCAGAAAGCGTCCACCACACCATCGCCCTTGTCTACAACAACCAACGGCACGGGTGCATCACTTCGACCACCGACCACTTTCTTGCCAGTGAAGCTGCGTCGAGCATAACGCAGCTCTGATCGCCAGTGTTTATCATCGTCATCAACGAGCTCTTCGCCTTCGGGCAATTCCGAAGGGACTGGTAGACCGGGAGCTGTGGGATCTGGCCGGATGCCACCTCGATCCCTAGTGTCGCCAGCACCGACATGCCACCAGCTTGACTTTTCGCCATTCTTGTCCTCCGTGAGATGTCCGGGTCCTTTGTGATACTCTTCTTTGTCATCATCGCCGTCGTCATTTCCATCATTCGGCGCGTTGGGTATGTTGTAATCCGCACCCAGCCAGGACGGGCGGTCCTCGACGTTGTCATCGCTCTGGAGGTACACAAACCGTCCCCACTTGTTAAGGTCACCAAGATCACTAATGTTCGGGTGGTCGCTAGATGCTTGCAGAGGCGTATAGTTCAGATGTGGTGTTGTGTGTATCAAGTGTTCTGCCATGTCACCTGGCCAGTACTCTTCTCCCGAGAAGAGGTGGATGAGCGGCGCGTGGTCTATCACGTATTGCGGTATCTCGAGTTGCTCCGACGGTTTGTAATCAGCTGGAATGTTTCGCGCATCATTCCAGAAGTCGGTCAAGTTGACCTTGGCTTCCTTTCCGTCTTCTGTTGTCCTCTGGCTCTGAGCTTTCACAGTCTGTGTAGTCCATTGCGCCTTGTTCAGATGCGCCAGCCCACACATGCCGAACCAATTGCAGGCCTTCCGGTCTACCCATGACTGTGACGACGCGACCCAGGCCGCTTCGTCTGCGCGTTCGCTCGAGGGGGTCAGGCTTTCGAAAAGGACGTTTTGATATAGTTGCGAGAACGAGAACAAGCCAAAGAAGGTACCCGCAGCAGCGATGGCGGGTTTCCTGCCCTTCATCTGAGCGTCGTCCTCGGTCGAAAAGTCGTCGGTACCAGCGAGAGATGAAGTAGCCTCTTCAGATGGTTTCGTTCGGGAAGAATGCTCTGTAGGAATATCGATGGTAGGTAGAGTGTGTGAGTGAGGAGCGTCCTGCGCAGCGTCTGGTGATTCGTTCGGAGGGTGGGAAGAGTATATTGCTATCGGAGTGTACTCAGGTACATCTATTGAATGTATGGATGAAGACGGAAGCGATGACGGAAAGACCGCCTGGAGTGGGACCTGCCCTCCGCCATGTTGGAGGTACGGAACGATGGGCACTGACTGGTTAGCTTTCGCTCAAAGGCTCGAACAGGCAAAGCAAGGGACGTTTGGCACGAGGTAGGAAAGATCTGAAGCCGATACTGCCGGATGGCTGACAAAACGGCATCAGCAGTGGGAGGTGTGGCTTCAACTCCGATAGTCGACAAAGCTATGTGCTGCCGGACATGGCAAGTGCAGGGCGCGACTGGCATGATCGACAGTAGAGAGGCCATCGCACAGTCCAAAGAGGCTTGAACTGAGCTAATGGTGTAGGTAAAAGTGGGGAGAGCGCGGAGGCAGCGGAAAGGTAGTGATGACTTGAAGTGCTATAACCTGGCCGGACATGGGCGGAAGCACACTTACTGATGCGAGTACACGGCCGTGGCCAGCCGATTCCGTACTAGAACCAGGCTTGAGAAATGTTGGATTGTCAATTTGAGCAGACACTCAGTGCGACAATGGAACAGGCAGCGCGACGGGAGTTGGCATTGAGGTGGCGCGTACGGTTGGTGTTTGGGGCATGTTTGACAGCTGCCGGCTGGGCACACGTCGTCATCCCTGGTTCCAGACGCAGCGGGGACCTCGGCAGCCATGCGGCTCGCAACTTGGCTTCCAGGCACGGCCTGCAGCAATCGCACACCCACACCATGGGGAGGTTAGTCTTAGGTGTGGCTTGTTGCATGTCCCTGCCACTTCATGGTGGATCCAAGGTTCAGTCCTCAGATGAGGCTGGCGTAGAGAACTGTGTCTGTTGTTTTCTGAGCCTGCTACAATACGCAAAAAGACGACTCCCAAGATCACCACACTGGCAAAAGAAGTGGTCTCCGCTACTTTCACAACACAACGCAAAAAAAGAACGATCTCCCCACCATGAGTCGAACAAGGGACCTTCTGATAACAGCAGATATTACAGTCAGACGCTCTAAACCAACTGAGCTACGGGGAGAATACTTCAAACGAAGTCGTGCTTGGTTTTTCGATGGAGAAGTGAGCAAAAATATCGTTTATATCCCACTATTATTTACCAGCTCTGTTGCTTGCAGCTCGAACCCTTCTAGCTAGCGGCTAATTTACACACTTCTATCACCCTGCCCCACCACTGCTAGCTTTACGACCCTTCAACCTGCGCCAACGCACAACAACGCCGCTAATGATGGCCGCGCCCGAGGAGGATGAGTGGGAGTACGAGTACGACGAGAACGAGACCGAAGACTTCTACATCCCGCTCGACTTGTCCAATGTCCCTGCAGCGCAGATTCCTATGGTCTCGCAGGGTAGACCGGGACATCCAACTTTGCTCAAGAGCAGATTGCGCGCACTGAACGCAGCTCGAGCCCAACCAGCTGAGTTCGCCGCCGACAGCAATGATGGACAAGAGACGGCAACCATGGGCGAAGTACAAATTGTTGGCCTCCACACACCAAATCCGCTGGTCATGTACAACGGCCAGTTGCTGAGTTGCCATTGGACATCGACCGTCGGGACCGACATGTTCTTCGTGAAGCCGAATGCAAGCTCTTCAACCCAGTCAGAAACGCTGCGATCTCTCCCGTCGGTCGATTTGTTGGCTCTGGGGTCTGCAAAGCTCGTAGCAAAAGTTGGACGTCTGCGACCGCGCGACGATCTCTTCGACGACGCCAGTAGTACGCAACAGGCAGCAGAGGTCGCGCCTGCCGCAGACGGCAACCACGGCGCTACATCAAGCGTAAACAACATGCCAGACGCTCATCCTCCCAGCAATGAAGAAGCCTCATCCGCTTCATCGAGCTTCCTTGCTAGGCTGAATGAGGCCAAAGCAAAGAGAGGAGACAAGTCGCGCCTGGCAATCTCGAAGACACCAGAAGGCTCGCGTCTAGTGGCAGAAAAGGCAACGACTGGCTCTGTCAATGCTGGCACCTCGCAGAAACACGGTGACTCGGTCATGGGCGGCACGTGAGGTGCATGCGAAAAATCTTTGGAAACAGCCGAAGAAGACAGGACCACCACGTGCTACCTCATTCGAACGAGCCGCGAAGCACCTTGCGAGCGATATTGAGTATCTAAAAGCGTATGCTGATAACTGAAGATGGCTGAATGGATCGTCAGCGTGGTACAATAAAGCGGTATGGTGCAGTATCCGCAAGAGCGAGGTCCTGCCACCACCTATGACCTGCACTTTCCATGTCATGCACCAGCGTACCTGCCACACCAAAGAAAAGCGCGAGGCACCTTTGTTCTAAACCGCACATGGCCATCTCTTTATTCGTGCTTCCCATGCACTAGCTCGTCGGTCTCGTCTACTTCACATCCTATCATTTCATACCTGATCTACCAACCTGCTCCCTACGTATACTCCAACCTTACTCATCCCGATGCAGCGAATGCCAGACAGGCTGAGTGTCGGCATCATTCCGGAACAGCGCCTGGATATCGCCAACACGTCTTTACACTGGCTCTTTGGCAAGGACGGTGGATACGTCACCCGGCTCAACGACGCCTACGCGCAAGATACACTGGACGACAACTTCCCATCTGCGAAATCAGAAGCAAGAATCGTGAGGGAGATAGGAGACTGGATGCAGTCGCAAGAATGCGATGAGTTCTGGGCACCTCGGGCGCGGCAGCCTCGTCGCGTTAGCAGCTCTCAGGCAAGCGGGCAGCTCTTTGAACTGACAGTCATAGGCGCTTCCAACTGCAAATCAACTAATCGAACAACTTCATGACGACAAAATCATACCAGATGTCTTTCAAAGTAAAATCGTCGCCTGCGAGACGATTCTCCAACTCATCGCTTTGCAGTTGCTAGCAGCGTGCTATACCCTCTCGCCCCCTTCGAGCGCCAATCACATTCCATTGTTCCAGCAGCACAAAGAGAGAAGATTCATAACAGCCCTGCGCTCACATTCTCATCACCGGTATTCTCCAGCCGCTGGTCACCAAGCCCGCCCACCTTCCGAGACTGAGTCATGGCCTGGGCTCTATACGGGGCCTTCGGCCGAAGAGAAGCTGGCGCAATACGTCAGTCAGAGGCGTAAGATACGCAAGCAAAGCAGCGGTTATATACCATGCTTCACTGAGAGCGGATGGACAGACGGGCCGCCAGCGATGGCCACACGCGAAGATTCACGGAGCACCTTATCACGAGAAAGCTCCAGTTCATCATCTGAACCTGGGTTCTTCTCCAAATTGATATGTCAGGCAGCAGTACCGAAGAACTACCGGCGAAAGCATGACACCATGTTCTTTAGTCGGATGCCTTCGAAACAAAAAAAGCAGAAACGAACACAATTTGAATACGAGCCAGACTATCGCTCCGAACGTCGAAAAGTTAGTTCCCAGCCCGTTCAACGTATACCCTCGTTACATCGTCTTCGGCATACACAGTCTGCTCTGTGCATCGCAGTAGAAGCAGACCAAGAAGAAGAGGTACCTGTCGAAAGCCCACATGACGGGAAACGTCACCCCTCGGACCCGTCGATTGGCAGTATTCTTACCTACACTTTCCAAATCCCTGAGGTACGACGCACCTCTGTTACACCAAATTCCAATTGGGGTCCGGCTTCCTCAGAGGAGGGCATGATGCGTGCTTGTGGACGAGGAGATCTCATCGCCACACGGGACTATTTCGACGATATGCCGGAGACACCAGACAATGTACGTCACCAGCAGTCGAGGTGGAAGATACCTCATTGGCGCCACAAGCTTACTGGCTCCCCACCACTACCCGCCACTATGTCATCTATACAGCCCATGGCCACCACACCAGCTGTTGATTACTTCGCCCAAGTCTATACTGACAAGCACATCACTCACCAAACTGACGATCCCGAGATCGCAGCGAAAGAACATGGCGATGCTGGTCCCGAGATCGAAGATGACTCAAGGCTGCGGAAGATGTTGGGAAACATCGTGACTCCGGCCAGCGACGACGAATCCAGTGACAGTGATATGGAACGGACCAAGAAAAGAAAAGGCATCCAAGAATCAGATATTACAGCTTTTGAGGTCGCAGAACGGTTTCGAGACAAGACAGGAGATGGGTGGGAACATACAAGGGTCAAAGTGCTTTGGTGATGCCACAGACGAACACATGATATGCGTGTAGGTAGCTTGTCTAGATATTCGGCTTTTCCAGATCTACCTAGGAGGCTTTGCTTCAGCAGCAGCTCTATACATCCTGTAGATGTAAGTCGACCTCATGCCCAGAACAGGATTGTCAAAGTCATTCTCCCTCTTCTCATGTAGCTTGAAGCCAACCTTTGTCAACACGTTCTGACTAGCCGCCAGCTCGGTATCGGTATGTGCCTCCGCGTAATCATATCTCGGTGCCAATCTGTTTCTGTTGTTGCTCCCGTCACCATCTACCTGTCCGTTCCCTATCCTCCCGTTGTGTGTGACTTGTCCATAGTTTTCCTGCGCATAGTCCGCGATATCACGGCCCGAGTAATGTTCGAAGAACAAGGGCATAAACGCTTCCAACGCTTCGGTAGCGTACCCTTGCCCCCAGTATGAAGCGTTGAACATGTAGCCAATCTCTGGGGCGCGGACTGCTCCTATCAAGCCGATGACGTCGGGGCCTTCGTGCGGCGCTAGGAGGACGATTGCAAAGTTCCAGTTGCCTTCGACCTGGTGACACTACAGACGGTTAGCATACATTGAGATGAAATGTATGGGGTAGTAGGCTTACACCTTGAATCCATGCTTTTGCTCCTTCGAGGTCGTCTGAAGGTAGAATAGACGTATGCTTCATAACCTCCGGGTGCTTCCGCATTAGCAACACGTCCTCTGCATCGTCGAGGCGCAACGGCCGCAGCAGCAGGCGTTCGGTCCTCGCGAATACCTGCGGATCAACCACCACCATCGTCGCGAGCGTGCGGAACAAGAAAGTAATATCGAGCCATTACCGGCTGTACTGTGCGCTGATTAAGACTCACATTGTGTCGTGTGTCATGTCATCAAGGTCTCGCTGTCGCTGTGGCCTGCGCTTGTGCCTTGCAGCACGCGTCAAACGCTTTACCCTTTGCGGACACGTAACGCCCATCGCCAACTCAAGCTGTTCATCAAACACACCGCATCACAGCAACATAACCAATCAAGATGGCATCCTGAAAAGCGCTTTACATCATTTCCAAAGCTTCTTCGTCGTTTCCGGTCAGATCCAGCCTTTACCATGTCGAATTCAATACTTTCCGCTTCCGCGAAGGGAGCCACCTTTCTCATCCTCCTGCAGGTGGCTTCTCGCGCGCTGACGTTTGCTGTCAATCAGGTTCTGTTGAGGTTCCTGTCACCAGAACTATTGGGCGTGTCGGCGCAGCTGGAGCTGTTTTCCATCTCTGTGTTGTATTTTGCCCGCGAGAGTCTGCGTGTGGCGCTGCAGCGTCAGGCTCATGGGACGCAGGCTGTCGTCAACCTTTCGTATCTCGCTGTCTTTTTCGGCACGCCTCTGGCGTATATTCTCGCGCTACTATGGATGCGTTCCGATACGCCAAACGTTCCGTACTTTATGGAGGCCCTGGTTGTGTATTGCCTAGCTACCTTCTTGGAACTGCTGAGCGAGCCGGCGTTCTCTGCTGTGCAGCAGAAGCTACTTTACAAGGTCCGGGCTTCTGCTGAAAGTTCAGCTACTCTACTGCGCTGCGTTGGTACTTGTGGCTCAGCTATCTTGGCTAGTCGAGCTGGCCTGGACATTGGGGTCTTGCCATTCGCTATCGGGCAGCTGGCGTATGCATTGGCTTTGCTTGTTGTGTACTCGTACAAAACGTGGCCTGTTGCAAAGACTGATGGCTTTTCGCTGTTCCCGGAAAGAGTACCGTCCACTCAGGAAAACCCGACATTGATGAATTACTTCTCAGCTTCTCTACTGCGACTGACTGCATCTCTTAGTCTGCAGTCGGCGTTGAAGTATGTTCTCACCCAGGGAGACTCTCTTCTAATTACAACACTGGCATCTCTCGCAGATCAAGGCGCCTATGCGCTTGCTTCAAACTATGGAGGTCTCATTGCACGCATGCTGTTCCAGCCCATTGAAGAAAGTAGTCGCAACATGTTCGCCAAACTATGCGCCAATGTAGAGACGTCGTCGGCAACGAAGAAGAAGGACCAGAAGAAGTCGGACGAACAAAAGCAAAACCTTGCTCAAGCTTCTAGGGTATTGAGTACCATACTTCGACTCTACGGAATCATCTCCTTGTTCGCGGTTACACTAGGACCTGTACTAGCCCCAGTACTTCTCTCCATCGTTGCTGGGCAAAAGTGGTCTGCGACGTCGGCTTCGCAGGTACTCTCCACGTATTGCTACTACATACCCTTCCTCGCTATTAACGGAGTCACGGAGGCTTTCGTAGCCGCAGTGGCAACCAACAAAGAGCTATACGCACAGTCCGTTTCCATGGGCATCTTCTTTGCGCTCTTCGCAGGTAGTGCATGGTTCTTCATCGGGCAGCTCGAGATGGGAGGCAACGGCGTAGTACTTGCAAACACGGTCAACATGGGCCTGCGCATCATCTGGAATACCTGGTTCATTAGGAGGTTCTTTGCGAGGAACGGGTCGGAGTTCAATGCACTCGAGACGTTGCCCTCACTTGCTGCCATGGCACCCGCGGCTGTTATACCTACCCTGATGCGAACGAAGCCTGCAATCAGCTTTCTTGGGCGGCTTGGAGTGTTTGGAGAGCTGATCAGTATGGGTGCAGTGGGTGGTGTTTACGTCTTGCACGTTCTTTTCTTCGAACGGCAGTTTCTCGTCGACTGCTATCGCATGCTCCGGCCGTCGCGTTCTCCTCAGCCACCCGAGAAGTCGAATTGATTGGGCACGAGGAGTCGTCATTGTACAAGGACGAACCTCGCTTCTGATCTTGAAAATGCCGATTGCCGTCTTCCAGCCCTCGCAGCGCCCTTTGGGATCTCTCGCGCCCTTCTGCAACGCGCAACAGGCAGATAATTCTATCTCTTCCATCATATATGTGTGGTCCCGGTTGCCATTTGGTTAACCAGGTTATGGGTGATTAGATCGTTGTCGGTTTCGCTCGAGATCGATCAATTCTCCCTTCCAAGGATTGTCGGACTATTGCAAACTACAGTACTTCCTAGAGATATTTTCCACCGCACCACTCAGCGCTCAGAAGACAAGACCGATACCGCAACCTGGATTTCCACGGCGCCCTCTACCGTCGTCACGGCCGCGGTCGTCCAACGTTCGTGCCAAAGTCTCTGCCTTGCCCCTGCATGATTGGTCGCAGTTGCTAGCGCCATAATCTTCCTCTATGCAGGTAGTGGGGACCCCCGCAACGTCATCGCGAACACAGAAAGTCAGTTCAGAAAACACTTCACATCACGAGACACTGCTGTTACAACCTCTCAAGTAATCTGGGGGTAACAGAAACTACGTTGAGAAAGCTGGGGGTAATCAATATCACTCTTGCATAAGGCGGGACACAACAGCGCCGCTAAGGAGTTTCCTGGGGGTAAGAGAAACTAAGTCTCGAACTGGAACCTCGTTAATCACGCCATCAAAATTCTACGGTTCGCACCGTTTCTTCCGCTTACCTCTTGGCTGACATCTGGGGCACCAATCGCAAATCCGGGGAACCTGCGCTACCAAAATGGTCATGACGGACGAGTCAAGACACCTCCATGGGTTGGTTGACATGGGAAGCAACGGGATCCGCTTTTCGATCACCGACCTCACGCCAGCGACGAAAAGGCTGTTACCGACTGTGTATCTGGATCGGGCGGCGATATCGCTGTACGACGCCCAGTACGATAATGGCCAGGTCGTACCGATACCAGAACCGACCATCAAGCAGGTTGTCAAGTCACTATTGCGCTTCAAGGATACGTGTGAGGATTTCGGCGTACCCGAGAAGCAGATTCAGATTGTAGCTACTGAAGCGACCCGAAAAGCCAGCAACTCTGAAGATCTCCAAAGCAAGATCAAAGATGCTACTGGCTGGAGCGTCCAACTCTTGTCGAAAGAAATGGAAGGCCGGATTGGAGCTTTCGGTGTAGCAAGCTCCTATCATAACCCGATGGGGCTCATGATGGACCTTGGTGGAGGCTCCACGCAGATCAACTGGATGATTCCGAACCGGGACGGCAGAGTTGACATGTGCGAGAAAGGAAGCGCAAGCCTACCATACGGCGCAGCTGCACTCGCAAAAAGGCTTGAGGAAGCAGGCTCTCCTGATAGCGATAGCTTCCGGACATTCGAAAGCCAAGTCGTTGCGGACCTCCAAGCTGCAGTACAAGATATAGAGATACCACAACAGTTGCTTGACCGCTCACAGTCACTCGAAGGTCTCTCGCTTTACCTGTCTGGAGGCGGCTTTCGAGGCTGGGGTTTTGTGCTCATGTCGGAGCATGCGATTCAGCCATATCCCATACCCATCATCAATGGGTTCCGGACGACCAAGGACGCGTTTCATGACACCCAGGCTGTACAAGCAGCGGTGCAAAGAGAGGATACGCCCGACATCTTTCGGGTATCAGCCCGCAGAGCAAGTCAGGTTCCAGCCGTTGCTTTCCTGGTGAACTGCTTGTCCAAAGCACTGCCGAGCATCAAAGATGTGTATTTCTGCCAAGGCGGTGTGAGGGAAGGCATGTACTTCTCAGAGATGTGGCTCACGCCGAGTCCGTTGTTTGAAGCTACGATGAAATACGCTAAGCCATCGAGCGGGGAGTTTATGACAACATTGCAGAAAGTCAGTATCCCTCCGCCAACGGCGTCTCGTCAAGAATTGTTCAACTACGAGATGCAGAGAGCCTTTGGGCGTGCTATGTTTGCACATATGGGGCAAGTGAAGGATCTTCAAGCTGGAGCAGCGCTCCGAAGTACTACGACAGGACTTTTCTCTGCTGCACACGGGTTGACTCATGAAGACCGCGCGATACTCGCCATCTTCCTTTGTGAGCGATACGGTGGTTACGGTTCTATTAGTCCGACGGAGCAGGACTTCTACCGCCGGATGCTGCAGCTCGTGCCAGAAGACCTGCGATGGTGGTGTATGTTACTTGGCCGCGTTGCTGCAGTTCTCGCCAGCGTTTATCCTGCGGGTATGATCCGAGAGAAGAGGGTGAAGATTACTTCCCAGTGGACAACGACGAAGAAAGAAAACGAGAAACTGTGTCTCGATTTCAAGTTTACCAAGGAGCCGGATGAACTCGATGAAGGGCTTCATGCAGCGCTCAAAAAGGTGGAAAAGGCAGGGAAGAAGAAGAACTGGATAGGAGGACACGGATACAAAGTGCTTTTGACGATAAACGGCAAGGAATTTGGTGAGGAGGATTGAGAGTACCTGACGTTCTGAACCCTATTATGTGATTAGATAGTCTAGATGCCAGCTCGCACGAAAATAGCATTGTGGCGAAGATCGTGAAATCCAGACTTTGTAATCGCCATCGCACTGCAGCTGACACGAAGCATCGTGACATGGAGAGCGGTGTATTATGACGGCTTCACTGGTCGTGCAATGGTCATGGCTCGGAAGCGACGGGCATCGTGACCTGCTGCCCGCGGGCTGGATGACCCTTCGCCTCATGACCGGACATCGGATCTCATGGAAGACGTGGCCTGTAACGCCCGGACTAGCAGCACGTGCAACAAACAACCCAGTCCCAAGGGGCCCCATCAGTCATGGAAACCGTTTGGAGACGGCGCCAAGGATCGTGAGTTCAAATCTGCAGGACGCGTAGGTGGGGATGCGAGGTGAAGAGGCACTAATGCGGCGCCCTCCATGGACTCCTCATTACGCGCGCATATGGTGCAATAGCTTATGCAGTCAAGGCCAGGTTTCTTTCGGCTGGATTGAGGAAAACTCTGATGCGGCTTTTTTGCAGGTCATGTTCTTGGAGCACTGCGAGCACCGGCTTGGTGGCCCCGTTTCTAATTACGTGAAGTTTGCCCAGGTGGGCGATGCGGTGCAGGCGCTAGCGGCTGCACATTCTGGGGAAGCTTGACTCGGCTTTCCGCGGTTGAGTTCAGGTACGCCGCTGCCGAGCATCCAACGACCATGAGACAAGACGTGAAAGGTTATAAAGATGACGGGGGCCCGCCTTCGCTGCTGGGTGACTGACCGCATACTCTTCGGCTGCAAGCCTCATTCTTGTCTACTATTATTACTCCCGCATCTTATCTTGATATCGGCATACCAGGGTGTTACTGTTCCACCGCCAGGTACCTCAAAGATTGCAGCGTCGTACTAGCAAGGCCGCTGTTACTCACGTCTTGACTGGCATCGGATGTATTAGACGGGTATACGGACTACTGCACATCCACCTGTACACAAGCTGGTGTCCCGATTCCCCAGGGCAGGATACAGAAGAGCGGTGGATCATCTGTCCAATTGCCTGTACCATCGTTATCCGAAGCGGTGATCGACGGCTGCGGCTCGTTGGTTGTACTAGAAGGTAAGCTAGCGTTCCTGCGTCATTGCAGTTACGATGCCCGAAATAGCGGTGCATCGTATTTCTCGGATGCATTGAATCGTCGACTAACGAGCCCTTCTTTTAGTGTTTTGCGAGCTCAAGGCTTGGGTTTTGCCCCTCTATCATCAAGGGCCCCACTATTGCCCGATCGTCCAAACTTCGTGCGCTTTATCATCACGCCTGACGCGTCTCACCGAGCACGCAATTCAAATAGCATTGTATCAATCGTTACAACAGCATCTCGCTGAGAAACCACACACCCCAATTGCACACGCCCAGCATGGCTTCCACACCCATTGAAGCCGTAAATGGCCTCGCACCCCAGCACAAGCAGCTCGAGCAGCTTCTCCATACTCCAGACCGCCGACCCTCACCTCTTCCCACACATTTGAGCGCACCGGGCTCAGGAAGCTCAACACCTCGAACGATCCCACAGGAAGGTTCGGGCGGCTCCGGATATGTTGCACCCGTGTTCGAGGGCAAGGCCCAGCAGATGGAGGCTGTTATGGACGGCGTCGAGGAAAAGGGCTTCATGCCCCCAGAGCTCGTAGAGTCAGAAACCAAGTGGTTCTACAACGAGCTAGGCATTGACGATATGTACTTTGCTACCGAGACGGTAGAAGCGTAAGCATGACTTCCATTCTTCCCACGGCTGCACTAACAGAGGTTACAGAATCATCAGCCATATCCACTCGCTCTACGCCGCAAAGGTCGCCGCATACGCCAGAGACGACAAGCGCCTCGAGATCCGGCTTGACAAGGAAGCCGCTGATCATGCCGTATACATCGATACCAGCAGACCCGGTGTATCCGTCATTGACGGCCCTCAATACGAGCAGCGCCTGGGCAAGAAGTACCTGGCTGTATCCAAGCCTGGCCTCGCATACCGCGTAGAAAGCTTCCGCTCGGAAAGCCCGCTACCAGGAAGCGATGACCAGCAGTTACGATGCTACTTCGTCTACCAGTGCGACTTTGTCGACCCCAACCCCAGCGAGACAGAGACCAACATTGAGAAGATTGGTGACAAGCGTTTCCTACAGAAAGCGACTGAAAATACAAAGGTCATCTACCAGCAGATTCTCCAAGTCGCTGTAGAGCGTACTGGTCCCGTCATTGACCACTTTGATATCGAAGGCTCAAGAGACAAGCGTCTGGTTGTTGGTTTCAAGCGCGGAAGTGCTTTGGGCCTGTTCAGTGCCTTGAGCGATCTATACCACTACTACGGTCTGACCACCTCGCGAAAGTACGTCGAGCAGTTCTCCAACGGCTATACTGTCATGTCTCTCTACTTGCGCCCGCTTCCAGGAGCTGCCGGAGCTAAGCACCCACCGATTGAAGCCTCGATCCACCAGATCACCAAGGAGGTTTCATTGCTCTACTGCCTTCCGCAGAACAAGTTCCAGACGCTCTTTGCTACGAGCAGACTGAGTCTACAGGAGACCATCTACGCACACTGCGTCTGGGTCTTCATTACCCACTTCCTCAACCGACTTGGAAGCGAATACACTGCTCTGTCAGCTATTCTTGACCCAGAGAACAGCGTACACGCCGAGTTGCTATCTAAGCTGAAGCGCCGGTTACGTGCTGAGACCTTCACCGCCGACTACATTTACGAGATCATCATGACCTACCCGGAACTGGTCCACACCTTGTATCTGCCGTTTGCCAAAACTCACTACGTACAGACTCGGGGTCAAGAGGACGACTTCCTACCGACTCTGAGTTATCTCCGCCTCCAGGTCGACAAGGTCCAAACAGACGCCGAGTTGACCGACACCATCAACAAGGCTGTTGTCAACGACCACCACGAGATGGTAATGACTGCCTTCCGTGTCTTCAACCAGTCAGTGCTGAAGACCAACTTCTACACTCCTACCAAGGTCGCTATCAGCTTCCGCCTAAACCCCAACTTCCTACCCTCCACAGAATACCCTCAGCCGCTGTATGGTATGTTCCTTGTCATTGGCTCCGAGTTCCGTGGTTTCCATCTCCGCTTCCGTGACATTGCTCGCGGTGGTATCCGTATCGTCAAATCTAGGAGTCAGGAAGCGTACTCCATCAACGCACGCTCCATGTTTGACGAGAACTACAACCTCGCAAACACGCAGCAACGTAAAAACAAGGATATTCCAGAGGGCGGCTCCAAGGGTGTCGTTCTCCTTGACTTCAAGCACCAGGACAAGGCTCGGGGCGCTTTCGAGAAGTACATTGACAGTATTCTCGATCTACTCTTGCCTCCTACGAGTCCTGGTATCAAGGACCCTATTGTCGATCTTCACGGCAAGGAAGAGATTCTCTTCATGGGTCCCGACGAGAACACTGCCGATCTCGTCGATTGGGCCACTGAGCATGCACGCGCTCGTGGTGCGCCATGGTGGAAGTCATTCTTCACTGGAAAGAGCCCCAAGTTGGGTGGTATTCCTCACGACCGATACGGTATGACAACGCTGTCTGTCCGCGAGTACGTTCTGGGTATTTACCGCAAGCTTAACCTCGACCCCAGCAAGGTCCGCAAGCTGCAGACAGGTGGCCCCGATGGTGATCTTGGCTCGAATGAGATCTTGCTCAGCAACGAGAAGTACGTTGCTATCGTTGACGGTTCCGGTGTTCTGGTCGACAACAATGGCATCAACCACGAGGAACTGGTACGTCTAGCCAGGGAGCGCAAGATGATCAACCACTTCGATGCTTCGAAGCTTTCGTCAGAAGGATACCGTATTCTGGTTGACGACACCAACAAGCGCCTACCGAACGGAGACCTTGTCTACAACGGCACAACCTTCCGCAACACCTTCCATCTCCGCAGTGATATGCACTACGACTCCTTTGTTCCATGTGGTGGCCGACCTGAGTCGATCGATCTGTCAACTGCCAACAAGCTCATTGTCGACGGCAAGTCCGTAATCCCGTACATTGTGGAAGGTGCGAACCTGTTTATCACCCAGGACGCTAAGCTCCGTCTCGAGAAGGCTGGCTGCATTCTATACAAGGATGCTTCAGCCAACAAGGGTGGTGTTACTTCTTCCTCGCTCGAGGTACTTGCATCGCTGGCATTCGACGACGAGAGCTTCCTCAAGCACATGTGCGTCGGTGAAGATGGCCAGGCGCCGGAGTTCTACAACAACTACGTTCGGGAAGTGCAGAAAACTATCCAGAACAACGCGCGTCTTGAGTTCGAGGCCATCTGGAGGGAACACCAGGAAACTGGTCAGCCTCGCAGCATCCTCAGCGACACTCTCAGTACCGCGATCACGAAGCTGGATGAGGAATTGCAAAACACCGAGCTGTGGAAGGACGTTAAGTTCCGGGAGTCGATTCTCAAGGAGGCGTTGCCAAACATCTTACTCGAGAAGATTGGCCTCGATAAGATTATCAAGAGGGTAAGCCACAACCATTACTGCGCAGTTGAAGCATGGACTAACAACCATACAGGTACCCGACAACTATCTACGCGCTATTTTCGGAAGCTATCTCGCGAGCCGCTTCGTTTACGAGTACGGTGTATCAGCCAGTCAATTCTCTTTCTTCGACTTCATGAGCAAGCGCATGGCAAAGGGTAGCAACTCAGCTACTCGCTAGAAGGCTGTCATGAGTATTGGGCATGAGCGTCAGAGCTCGCACGGCGTTTGGGCAAGGGATCAAAAGTTATCTGAGGTTTGAACATATGCTCCGACCATGGACATGGGCGGCGCTTACGGATCCCATCGTATGGGTGCTGAGACGGGCGGCTATTTAGCTGTACCAACGAATGATAGATGAATACAAGTGCTCCAATTCATTGACCTACTACAAAAATGTTCAAACATGCGTTCATGCCCGTGGCCTTCTTCTCGTGGTAGTGACAGACCATCACGGTAATACGGTAGGCCCAGAGAGAGCGGTGTGTTGCGAAGTAGGCAGGCACACAACTCGAGCATCAAAAGGGTGCGGATTGGACTAGACCATTTCAAAGCCCAACATCCTGATCGGGAAGCTCCCATATGATACGAGTTGGCTTAGCGGATCGCTCATTGGCCCAGCTGACCTTGCCATGTGTTGTTGTGATGAGACACGTCCTCCGTCTCGCTTGAGAGTTTAAAGTGCGAGCTTCCCCCGCCCGTTCTGACCTCGACCCTCCCACTTTCTACAACACCAATCTCTGTCGCGTCCGCACACCACACCTGGAATACTGTCGCCGATAGCTGTAAGTAAGTCGCCTACCTCCGTTTCTCCTATTTCTGTGTCTTTACAGCACAAATATCTGGGCAATCGCCTGCGTTTTTGCGCTTTTGCAAGGCACGTCGGCGGCATGGCTGCAGGACTTCGCGCGCGTTCTGCACAACGCGCTTTTCTTGCCTTCTTCTTATGTTTATCATGATCGCCTGCATCTCTTCGATATATTCCTCTGTTTTTGAAAGGATAGCTCCTTGGGAAGCTTCGCATCTCGTGCACTGCTTCCAAATTACGCGGCACGCGTACTAACCTGTCATCCAGCTTCGACTCACCACTCCACGCACTACAAAAACACTCGAAACTACCCAAGAACCTTCAGAACAAGCAAGATGGCCGCTACTACACGCGCGAGAACTGGTAAGCTTTCCCCCTTCTTCCACACGTTCGGCACACGCATATAGCCCTGCACTGCCTCAACCACACCTCCGTACACGAACACCTCCCCCCAGCCAAGCAGCAAAACACTAACCCCTCCTCAAAGGCAACTCCAAGCCCCGTCTCGTTCAGCAAATCGAAAACGCAGTCGCGCCCACAAAACGCAGCACCACCACCAAAGCCAACACGTCCAAGCCCCGCACCAGCAAAGTAGCCTCCGGCCGCGTCACCAAGCCCAAAGCTACCACGACCACCACTAAGAAGACGACTACGACTAAGCCCAAGGCCGCTGCTGCACCGAAGAAGACGACTGGACCCAACGTCAAGACGGTCAAGAAGCCGAGGACCAAGACGGAGAAGGTGGTTGATAAGGTTGTGGGAAAGGCGGAGAAGGTTATCGGTGATGTGGAGGGAAAACCGGGGAAGAAGGTAAAGCATTCTTCACATATTGTAATCAGAGATACGCCAGCTAACATACCCTCCTTATCTAGGCCGCAGGCACCGCTAAAGCACGAGGCACAGACTCGACTACCAAGCGCGCCGCACCGCGAACTCGGGGCGTAAAGGCCTAAGAAGAAGAAGTTCTTCGTGCGTTTTGCTGCGTAGAAGATGCTCGGGGCATAGAAATCGGTTCCTCTGGCGTGCACCCGCTTTGCTTGCGTCACGAGATGCTACCATGTCGAGCACAAAGAGGACGGGGTGTATTGGTATCGTCTCTGTTTCGCTCCTTTCTTACGAGTCACGATGAGCCTGTTTCTTTTTTTTTTTCGTTTATTGTTGCTGTTGCTGTTCGGAAAGTGTATGATAAGATACCCAGGCGTTTTGATACGATGTGTTGATTAGACAATAAGGATTGGTACTATTCAACGCTCTGAAGAGACTTTTGATGTTGAGCTGCTGTGATGTTGAGAGATGACATATTTTCTTTACGGTGAGACGACGTAATGCTGGCAGAAAGCTAAAGAATACATGCAATTATGTCCAGAAGACTTCATGGTATTAACAGCAGGGTGGTATATCTTGACGGGTATACTAGACAACGACAGTACATCGCAAAGCACTAAGCTAAGCAGAGCAAGAGGGCGACATGCAGATCGAAGAAACGCGAACGCTCATACATCGTCAATCTCCAATGCTTCCTGCGCCCAGTTCCCCATCCACTAACCCATCACCCCGTCCCTTCATCCACACACACACACACTTACCTACTGAAAAACAACCTTAATCTCCTTAGCCGGCTGCAACACGATATCCGCATGCATCCCCGGATCCGCCCCACCCATCCTATTCTCCACCGTCTGAAACCTTTGGAACAATCTGACAAGCGTATACCCCATCTCGGTAAGCGCAAACTGCTGACCAATACAGATCCTAGGTCCGCCGTTAAACGGCACATATGTCCACGTCTTCGGGTTCCAGTTGTCCCAACGATCGGGCGCGAAGACCGAGGGCGGAGGGAAGGAAGTAGACGTGGGTGGGTATAAGTCTTCGCGGCGCTGCATGACGAGAGTCGAGTAGCCGATTGGTGTGCCGGCGAGGATACCGATGGGTTGCGTACCGTCGGGTCCGCCGCCTACGGGGAGCGTGGTGTCCTTGAGGGCGAGGCGGACGTTGTATGGGACGACGGGGTAGAGACGGAGGGTTTCGTTTATGATGTGTTGGAGGTATTTCATATTCTTCAAGTCTTCGTAAGTGGGCTGGCGCTCAGGACCGACAGTTTGCAGGATTTCTTGACGCAGTTTGGCGAGGATGGTTGGGTCGATGGATAGGTGGTAGATTACCCATGTTAGGGTGCACGCGGTTGTGTCGCGGCCTGCTAGGAGGACGGAGACGAGTTGATCGCGTAGCATGTCTCGGTCGCGTGTGTATCCTGCGATCGCGTGGAGGAATGTGTAGCCTTCGTCGTGGTTTGTCTTCTTCTCGAGTTCTTCTGGGGAGAGTGCGAGAGCGCGATCGATGAAGGGATTGACGAAGTCGTTGATGATCTTGATGGAGTCGTAGAAGCCCAATCGCTTGCGAGGGATAAGCCAGTTTAGAGGTCTGATCGGTGTTAGGGGCAAGCTTCATATATAGGAGTAGGTCTACGTACCCGATCTTAGACACGAAGCTCTGTACACGCTGAGCGTTGTAGAACGCATCCGCGAAGACCGTTTGTGGCTCGTCCAGACTGCCCACACTCTGGCCCAAAAGGAAATGTGTAGCGGCATCCAATGTGTACCTGAACATCATATCAAGCGTATCGATCTCGTCACCCCCAGCGATCTTGGACATGAGGATTTGGGTATGTTGTTCGAAGATGTCGATGTCGCTAAGGCGGTCTTTGACGAATTGCGGTCGGATGAGCTGGCGTGAGTTGTGCCATAGTTGCCCGTCTGTAGTAAAGATACCTATGCGAAGGTTAGTAACCGTCCATACATTCGGTCTGATGCGGCGTAGTTGCCCTAGGACCCCACTCTCTGGTGTACGTACTGTTGCCCAAGAAGGTGTGCCAGTCTTTCCTGAACTGCTCTCCCTTGCCGTAGTCCTTGAATTGTGTCGCAAGAATAGCTTTGATGTTCTCGGGGTCTGCGGTCAGAACCACGCGCTCGCCAACGCCAGCCTCAATTGTGTATCGCCCTGGACCGCACCACTTGTTGAACATGCCAACCCATAGCTCGTACGACTTGTCTTTCAGAGCATAGGTGACGACTTCGTATGCCATGTCAACACCATACGGGAAGTACGTCTTTCGGACTGGCGCTCGAGCGCCCAGCTTGCGGATTCGCGCATCGGTGTTGATCTGCTGGACAAGCCTGTAGCCGATAAACAGGACGACGGCGGCGCCGAGGAGGTAGGGAGTCGAGAGATAGTTCGTCATGTCCGTGAGCTCGGTCGCGACTGGCGACTATGCGTCTAAGACGGATGGCGCTTCGCAGGGTATTAGCACCGCATATATGGTGGCATTCACATGGAAGAGAATGCGCTATGAACGCCGAGTGGACTACCGGTGGGTAATCGACCTACCCCAAAGTACTCGGATCGACAAGAAAGCCGAGTTTTGACAGCTGCCTGGAGACGTGAACAGCATTGGTGCCGCAGGGCTAAACTTTCTTCATGGCACACGAGCTTGCTGCCTCCTTTGGTGGTGCAATCAGAACGTCGTGTGCTCTTGTGCCACCTCGGCTTGACATCTGAAAGCCCCCGTGCCGCAGGACTCGCAATTTTCGACGCATACGGAGTAATGCTAGAGGCTCGCGTAGCCGTGGTGCGCTCATGCACATCCCTGATGCCCTGCAAAAGCGGGGAAGAGCGATCGAGATAGCTGGACCATGTGGGGATGGTGGTAGCATCGTGGCCGCTCGGACGAATTCTGGAAGACCTGGGGCTCCGACCTCCATGCTACTGTGGCCGTGGAGTGCACGCAAATCAGAAGAATCCATGTTTGTGGTCTGGCAAAGACTTAGCTTGTGCGAAAACGTGCGACGCGTATATCTCCTATTACCTCCTTGCTGATCTCCCAAATTGCCGAGTCGGCTGCATCTTCCCGTCATCATGGACCCGCGGGCAACCCCAGAAGATCATGAGATGTGGAGGCGTGGCTCAGGTGGCTCATCACAACAGCTTGGAGCTTACGTCGGAGCTGATGTAGTCTGTTCGAATGAGGCGAGGCTGACAGCTGAACGCCCGCACGTCATCGCACCTTCTCTTCGAGTCCACGAGTTGCCCCACTTCAGGGCTAGCTCGCATTTGTTGAACTCTCCAGTGCTCGGTTAAGAACTGCGATACTACCACAAGGTTACAACTTGATCACCTTTGGGCGAGTCTCTAACGTCGACTGGCATTAATATATCACCCGCTGCAACTACCGGGAACACCGCGGGAGCTTGCGCTTCGAAAAACCATTCGGAGCAGCCGGATCGGGCCTACGCAGGTATATTCCCTTGCGCCAGTCTTCGTACCTTATACATAGCTTGTAATCCACTCGTCTCTTCTGTCTCACCGAATGCTCTCTTGATTCTCCCAGTCTTGATCTGGTCTCTTTTGCGATATGAAGCCTCTTACGTGTACCACACTATCTCTTCTCATATCCTCAGTAGCAGCCATTTGGCCTGTACCTGTCTCACATAGTTATGGCGATACCGTTCTTTTCATCAAAGAAGATGTACCATTCTACTGGTATGAAGCTGGCGCAAAAAACGTAGGCTCAATCATGGACCAGATTCCCTTTCTCTTCAAATTCAATTCTAACACAATTCCCCACGCACAGGACAGCAGCGAGCTGAAATTGCGCACGCAATACACAGGACCGGTACCTAGCGACAAATCCGAAACAGCTACCCAAGAAGGCATCACCAGCGACGACATTGTTGTGTTCGCTATCAATTCTACATGGGCAACCGTCTTTCAATCCAACTTTTACCCGTGGAAGTTTCACCCTAGAGACTGGGATGAGCCGTCTCCAAGCCAGTCGAACACATCATACATCTCCCGCGTCGATGTCAAAGTGCTCAAAACCGCTGACCCTAATGTCACCAAGCCGCTTGCTGGAGAGGTTGACGAATCCTATAGTCTGACCTTGACAACAGAGGGCGTTGCAAGTATCAGCGCAAACACCAGCGTAGGGATAGCACGCGGCTTGACAACATTCTCTCAACTCTTCTACGCACACTCCGATCAGCAGCATGTATACACACCCCTGGCACCTGTGCAAATCACCGACAGTCCGAAGTTCCAACATCGCGGCATCAATCTCGATGTGTCACGCAACTACTTCTCTACAGCCGACATCAAACGGCAGATCGACGCTGCTGCCTACAATAAGATGAACCGCTTCCATCTGCACGTAACAGATAGCCAGTCTTGGCCCTTGGAAATACCTTCCATGCCCGAGCTGTCCACCAAAGGAGCATACCGACCCGATCTAGTCTACACAGCCGACGACTTCGCAACGATACAACGCTACGCCGCGCTTCAAGGCGTAGAAATGATCACCGAAATTGACATGCCAGGTCATACCTCCAGCATTCACTACAGTATGCCAGAGCTAATAGCCGCGTTCGGCATCCAACCAGACTGGAACACTTACGCCGCCTCTCCACCCTCTGGCACACTGAAACTAAACTCGCCCGCTGTCAACGATTTCTTAGAGAAGCTCTTCGATGACGTACTACCTAGAGTGTCTCCGTACTCGGCGTACTTCCACACTGGTGGCGATGAAGTGAACAAGAACGCGTATCTGTTTGATGACACGGTCAAGAGCAACGATTCAGCTATCCTGCAACCGCTCATGCAGAAGTTCGTCGATAGGAACCACGATCAGGTTCGCGCCATGGGACTTACACCTGTGGTGTGGGAGGAGATGTTGTTGGAATGGAACCTAACACTTGGCCCCGATGTACTCGTGCAGTCATGGCAGAGCGACGAAGCAGTTGCACAGATCGTGTCAAAAGGGCATAAAGCTATAGTTGGGAACTACAACTACTGGGTAAGGCGAAACTCTTTTCTCCCCCTCCTCCACTGCCTCTTCCAAACGAAAATTTGCGTGTGCTAACACCCACGAAACAGTACCTCGACTGCGGCAAAGGCCAATGGCTAAACTTCGACCCCTCCGTCAGCGCGCAATACTACCCCTACCAAGACTACTGCGCCCCCTTTCACAACTGGCGACTAATCTACTCGTACGACCCTTTACACGGCGTCCCTGCCGAGGACCAGCATCTTGTCATCGGCGGCGAGGCGCACATGTGGGCTGAGCAAACTGACCCCGTTAATGTCGATAGGATGATTTGGCCTCGTGCTGCGGCTGCGGCGGAAGTGCTCTGGTCGGGCGCGAAGGACGGGATGGGTCAGAACAGGAGTCAGATTGATGCGGCGCCTAGGTTGAGTGAGATGAGAGAGCGGTTGGTGGCCAAGGGGATTGGGGCGGAGCCAATTCAGATGCCGTATTGTACTATGGAGGGGAATGTTTGTCAATTGGCTAATCTTGGTTAAGGTGGGATGTGGGGTGTGGAATTTTGGGGTGAGCACCGTAGTCTGTAGACATAGAAAACGTTAAGATGCATCATACATGTTCCCTCGTCTTTCCCCAACGCCAAGCGCCCTACATATCCTCACGTCTTTGGTACGCGGTATTCCATCAAAACTCCATGGCATCGGCACCTTCCTCTCTCTCTCTCTTCAACGCTGGTTTGTCCTCGTCTACTAAGCCCGCGACAAACCGTCGGAAGTAGTCTACATATGGCTTCAAGCTCGTCTTCTCCCAATCCTGCATCTTCTTGTCCGTTTCTTCGCCCGACCAATCGTCAATTTCCTGGAGTAATTGCGTAACTGTCGGTACACTCAGCGGATCAAAATCCTCCGCTGTCCTCGTATCAATTGGTACACAGACACGTCCTGTTCCGGGGTGAATTACGAATGGCGATTTGAGCAAATGGTTAAGCTTCTTGGAGACTTCGGCATCGAGACGGGGGTATGTGTATTCTAGGATGATGTCTTGCTTGGCTTCGAGAAGGTCTTTGGGCGTCTTTGACAAGGCGCCGGATTTGGCTAACGCGTCAATATCGGCCCATTTCGATGCGCTGGGGCGGGAGGGCGCGGAGTCCCATTTCTTCTTTAGTGCTGCTCTGAGCGTGGGGTCGGGGATGAGGTCGAGGAGGTGCGCGGACTTTTCTTCCGCGGCCCAGGGATCTTGTTCAGCGAGAATGGAGGTCTGGAAGTGCTCTTTCAGGATAGCCAAACTGCGCTCGAGATGAGGATGTAAAGGTCGTCGCACGTTGACCTTCTTGCCGCCCTGGTCTCCTCCCTTGAGTAGTTCGAGATAGCCGGCTACGGAGCGGCGCTTTTGGTCGTCCATTTCTCGGGCACGCTTGTCGCAGACCCAGGCGTGGGCTCCTCGACGACCGGAGTACACCCAGAGGATGTGTTTGAACCCAAAGTCTTCCCGTAGAGCAACATCAATGGTCTTGATGGCCATTGTGATGAAGCCCCAGCACTTGAGACAAATGCTCGCACCCGTGCAACATGTTCTGATGTCGTCGTAATCCGTCATATCAATATCAAACACCAGCTCCTTCATAAGAGGGCGGAACGAGCTCGCTTTCCGTAGCGTTTTTCTATCTCTTGGGTTTGTGCTGTACATGGGACCGATTTCGAAACGTGAGGGCAGCATGTTTATGCATTGTTTCCGCAGGAGATCGGCTGTTGGAAAAGACTGGTATCGTAGATATGCGTCGTTGGGTAGGGTGAAGGCGAATTCGCGGTGTGCAAAGTCGTTGCTGGGTGTTGCGGAATGATTGAGCCATTGGAAGAGGGGACGGAAGGGGAATAAGCGTTGGTAGAATGCACGCATGACGTCTGGGTCGGAGAAGGAGGATTTCGAGGTGATCTTGCTGTATCGGTGTCAGCAAGTGTCATGAAGTTGATATATCGGTAGGTGGGGCGTACATTGGTGCGGGTTGCGAGGCGTCCTCCTGCGACGTAGGCACCGGCGCGCTCGAAGGAAACTCTTCGTCTGAGTCTTCTTCGTCGAAGAGCTCTTCGAGCTTTACCTTGGGCTCTTCCACTGCGGCGGCTGTGGGTGCGTCTTCCATTGCAACATCTTGCGTCTCTGGCTCCGCCTTGACAGCATCCGTTTGGGAGACTGTCGCTGAGGACTCGTCTGCGGGCGTTGATTCTGGCGTAACCGAGTGCGGCATCTCGGAAGTCATGCGATTGGATTTGGGGGGATATGTTGTAAGGACGCGGATGCTGGGGGTGAAAGAGTTGGCCGACGCGTTCGCGTATAGTGGTCGCGGGCGCGTTTGGGCTGCAGGGATGCCCTTGTCCGCCGTCCCTCATTCCTTCCCCATCCGTGTAACTATCGCTCGTCACATCGCGTCAACTCGAGCAAACATTCTCCACATTGCTCAAACCTCACCTGGGCAGGGCATGCACTGCGACAGTACTCACAGTGCGGAAGATGGCGGAGGAGGATACTGTGTCCGGAGAAGGGTGGATCTCAGATGATAGCAGTTTCTATGGTAGGTTTGGACACCTCAAGCTAATACCACGATACGTGACTGACAGTGGACCTAGGTGATGAAGACGAACAACAACGTCAATCAAAAAAGTGTGAAAGCTTCAAGACCGGACCCTTCTGGCGTGCACATGCTAAAGACCTAAACGCACTCACGGCTGCGGCCAGGAATGCAAGACCACTATCCGAAGAAGCAATGCCCGGCAAGGGATCTATGGCGAAGACTAACACCTTCAGCATGTCGGGTGTTGATCGCAAGGCCATGGAGCAGGAGCGACTTGCAAGACAAGGCAAGCGAAAGCGAGAGCCCTCTCCTGTGTCCGCCTCGAACCTAGAACTGTTCAATCCTCTAGAAGGACAGGATGATGCGTGGCAGCTAGGCGAGCCTGTTGATGACTTTGTCAGGCGGCTTCCTCCATATACCACCTCCATCTCTACATGTCCCTGGATCTGGGCTGCTAATCCGTATCGCAATCCTCGCGACAAGTCACCCTCACCTCGTGTTCAAGACTTCACATCGCGTGGCATGGAGTTGCTTCAGCAGTCACTCCAGACTCGCCGCGATATACAAAAAGAAGGTGCAAAGGGACCTAGGGGCATGGTTACCAAACAGCTCCTCCAAGAGAGCAAGGCTCTACAAGAACGGATCTCGAACCTTGCAAAGGACACGCATGTCCTGTCAGGGAAGGCAAGTCCAACTAGCTGCCCGGGCATCCGCATGTTCTAATCACTGACTTGGACTAGTGGATGTTATTTCCCAAATCTGTGGAAGTCGCCAGGGTTTGGAAGCAAGTCGTCGCAAATGTAATCGACAATCGACTTGGCTGTACCTGCAAGGTGGCTACCGACGATGGCAAGGATGAGCGACTAAGTAAGTGTGACGTACGACAAGTAGAGTATAGTTACTGACCTAAGACTTATCATAGTCTGTATCTACACAAAGGACTTCCTAGATGCCGATGACGTACTGCGAGTACTCCACGAGCTTGAGAGCATGGGTCTCATCAACGTCGGCAGGACTATCTACTACAAACCAGACGCCTACACTTATCTGGATCTCAGACGCGAGACAGCTGCAGAATATGGACTCCAAGCCAGTCTCTACAACTCGCGGGCTTTGCTGGCAGCTAACAAGGTGTCAAAGTCAACATCGTTCCCGCAGAAGAAGCAGTCGACGTTGAAGAAGTGAAGTTGGGTATGCATCAGTAGCTGCTACGCTGCTTGGGGACGGGGTCGTCAGGCATGTTCAACCAGTACTCCTCTCAGAGAAGTCATGGGTGTAGCTTGCTTCCCCTCGTATTATATTCATTGACAGCCCAATCGTCTCTGTTGAAGCGCTGCAAGCTGGTCTTTCTGCTTGTCTTGTCGTTATGGTGGGTGGCAGCTACTTCATCTGACCAATGTTACAGCCACCGTTCGTAAACGACGAAGTACGCGTCAGACATGCAGTTATGCCTGTTGACGCTGATCACCGAGCCGCTCTCGGACGCAGCAGCCCGTTTGACAAACCAACGAGCCTGCAGCTAGGACCGTTGCGTACCATGCTGAACAACATGCCTTCAATCACCCGTGATAAACGTAAGCAAAACTTGTCTCCGGCGTTAAAGTGCAGCTGTAAGGTCTTTACCGCTACACTCAGCTGCCTGTAGGCGCATGCAGCCAATGCAGAGGCAGTTCGACCCATCGTGGCTGCAGAGTCTGCTGGCCGCCAGAACGAGTTGAGAGTAGCTATCGTCTTGCGACGTCCGTTGTGTTGGCGCGCTACTGAAAATTCCAGAAACCGAGAGGCGTCGAGTTTTCGTTACTCGATAGTTACCCTGAGGACAGGGCTTCAGTGCCGTAGTTCGCCGCTTGCGATAGACGACTTCCACCGACGATCATAGCATGACAGAACATCGGAGCATCCCGAAACGACAGTACACCGTCTCTTCATACTCGTACTCATCTTTGCCTGTCAGGTTCTCAGTAAAGTGTCCGAGTATAGTCGTGTCTGCTTGAACGAGGCAGGTAGGAGTATGGTAGCAGCAAAACCCGGGCGCGTTCGGGTTCTCGGTTGACTATATGGCTGTCGGCCAGCCCCGAACGGTCAGGGCCTTCGCATTGGACTAGTCAGCGGCTGGGCTCAGTCTTCGGCGCATCGTATTTCCTTTACTCCATTTCTATCGAGTAATGGGAAGGTCGTGTTGGGAGGTACGCTGGCTGACATATGCTTAGCTTCTCCGATGGAATCGGGCCTTACTCCGATGTTTTCGAACTCGCACCTCTTGTGCCAACGAGCACTTCACGAACAAAGATATTTCCATCTTCACTCTTCACGCAAGCCATAAGGAAAGCAGTAAACAAAATGTCATACAAGCCCTGGGTTTGAGATTCTAGAAGTATGACGCTCCGCCGTTGACCCTGCGCTAGTTTGAGGGCTCTAATCGCGCGATCTACTGTGCGCCTATCGCGTGCAGCAATACCCTTGCAGGTGCTTATCAGTAACATATGCACGTCCCCCAACACCATCCACAACGTGCAGCAACACGTTTAGGAAGTTTACCGATTTCAACGCTTTACCCAACTCTCGAGGATTTAATCTTCGAGCTCCAATGAGTGAGGAACAGCACATGATGCGCGCCTAATCTAGACAGCAAAGGTCTCGCATGCCTGATCCTGAGGTAGCATACACTACCAGGGCGAATAGCCTCGTATCTACACTAAATCGACCAACGGGAGACAGGGTCGAGATGCATGGCTAAGGCGGCCGCGATAGACTACCTCCACCCTAGTTACTCGATAGAATCGAGCAACGTGTATTCCAGGGTTCGCCGAGGCTCCACAGTCCCCTGACGCCATGTTAGTTGATCCAGATTCTGGCTACAATGCCCCGAGAGGATCTTTGGGCTGGCCCATACCAACGGGTAGATAAGGACCTGTACCCCAGGTTTTGGCGTTTTTGATAACGACTTACTGAGCGCATATCTTCTCTCAAACGTCTTCTCTGATTGAAAGTACTGCTTTGCCAACTTTCAGCAAGATACAAACCACATTCCTCTTTGACATTTGTTAGGCGCAACACCAAACGCGCCTTATCAACGCTTATCTCCAGCTCACCCGGAGACGCCCACCTTCTTCCCCGCGTTTGCCGAGTTCGGGGCTTGTTGCTGTATATAGCTCATGCTGTTAGCACGGAGCTGAGCACTTTCAAACTTCTTTGCCCACTCTTTTCTTGCTCTCGTCTTCTCATAGTCGATTACATTTCCAATTTGGCATCATGGCACCCCACGCCACCACCCCTCCACCTCTTTCCCATGAGCAACCCATTCAAGCCATCACAGTCCTTGCCTCATCAAGAGCAGTCGTTGCTGGTCGGCTGACTGAGGCTACCATCGTTGTATCAAACCTCACAGGAAAGATCACTTCCATCTTCCACTCGGTCCTTCCTCCTACAGACTTCCCTGAAGGCACACCATACACCGACTACTCGCCACACATCTTACTACCTGGTCTTGTTGATGCCCATGTTCATCTCAATGAGCCTGGTCGGACAGAATGGGAAGGTTTCTGGACCGGTACACGGGCTGCAGCATTCGGCGGTGTCACAACTGTCATTGACATGCCCTTGAACGCTATTCCTCCTACGACTACTGTCGAGAATCTCAAGATCAAATGCGAAGCATCACAGGGGAAGTGCTGGGTCGATGTAGGCTTCTATGGTGGCATCATCCCCGGTAACTCAGGAGACCTTAAGGCTTTAGTCAAGGAGGGTGTTCGGGGCTTCAAGGGTTTTCTGTGTGACAGTGGAGTGAGTATATTTATCTCAGCACCCCAGCACGTGACACTAACCACTCACCAGGTCGACGAATTCCCCGCCGTCTCATCCCTCGACATCGAAAAAGCGCTTCTCGAACTCAAAGACTCAACAACAACACTAATGTTCCACGCCGAAATGATCCCACCCATCACCGACTCCGTAGGCGACGATGTACAACAATCCCTCCCCCCACTCGCCCCCAAAGGCCCACTAACCTCGTACGACACATTCCTACAATCCCGCCCACCATCCTTCGAAACCTGCGCCGTAGCCGAAATCCTTTCCCTGGCCCATCTCGCCCCAGACCTGCAACTCCACATCGTGCACCTTTCAGCCATCGAAGCCATCCCCATGCTACGTAAAGCGCGCGCCGACGGCATCAAAATTACAGCAGAAACCTGCTTCCACTACCTTGCCCTCGCATCAGAAGGCATTCAAGAAGGCGACACAAGACATAAATGCTGCCCGCCCATCCGCTCTCAGTCCAACCAAGATGGTCTCTGGGAAGAACTGCTTCAAGACACGGCTGATGGAGTGATTCAAACCGTCGTATCAGACCACTCGCCTTGCACGCCTGAAATCAAACTTCTGCCTCCGCATCTCGCGCCCAAGAAGACGGGTGAGAGCAGCGAGAGCGAAAAGCAGGGATCAGAAGGAAAAGGCGATTTCTTCAGCGCTTGGGGCGGCATCTCAAGCGTGGGCCTCGGTCTACCTATCCTGTGGACCGAAGGTACAAAGCGCAACCCTGACTTCAGCGTCGAGGAAATCGTACGATGGTGCTGTAGGAACACGGCGAAGCAGGTTGGGCTTGAGAAGAGCAAGGGTGATATCAGTGTGGGTTTCGATGCTGATGTTGTGGTTTTTGACGATGAGGCTGAGTTCTTGGTATGTGGTTCCTCCTATCTCTTTTCTTCTCTTATCTGTATATGAGCTGTGGGCTAACGTTAATGCAGGTCGAGCCCAACACTATGCTCTTCCGCAACAAAGTGTCGCCGTATGAGAACAAGACGCTCAAGGGTATTGTGAGGGAGACTTGGCTACGCGGCCAACGCGTGTTCTCGAGATCAGAAGGGTTTCAAGAGAAGTCTGGGCCGCAGGGCAAGTTGCTGCTTGAGCCGCGCAAGACGAGCGTTTAGGTTGAGAAGGGCGGAGGATTTGCTTTGGAGAGTACGGTGCATATACATATGGTTGGGACGCTGCATAGAGCATGTGGTGTTTGACGTCTTTCCTTTCTTCTATTGCATAGATGGTGTTTTTCATTTGAGTACGAAGTGCATAGAAGGTATTTACAATCTGAATATGAACCTGAGTACGAAGGTCGTACTTCCACTTGCTTTCCTCGCAAGTCACAAACCAAATGCCGCATACAAATCACCGGCTCCTTTCGCAATAAAAGCAATGCCATGTAGTATTCCATATCAAGTAGCGTAAAACACACCGAGAACAATACGTTTCTCGGGTACAGCGTATAGTACACATCCCCCAACCCTTATGTGTACACGTCTCTTGATCCATCTCAAACTCCTGGAGAACGGCTTACAAGTATTTCTTGGGCGCACCACCTCGCCTCTTCTTGTACACGATATAAGCACCTGTAATCATAATCTGAACAGCGACTGCGATGAAGAAAAAGGTCATTAGGCTGGGTCCGTGGCTGCCAACAACTGTAACATGGAGTTAGCTTTATTCCTGACTCAAAACACATGGGGTTAGGAATATGCACTTACCATCACCCATCATGCCAGGCAAACTCGACATGACATGTCCGTGATTCCTGTCCATCGCATGATGAATTTGCTGCATCATATCCTTGTAGTCCTTGCTCTCCAAGTCTCGCAGTATTTGCATCGTAGTGCGTTCAACCTTTTCCATATTGCGGATTGTGGCCGCGCCGCGGTCGTCCATTGGTACGATGCGACGATGGAGCTCCTCCCAACGCTCCATATTCTCCTTGTGGATAAGTGTGACGGTCTCGGCGATTTCGAAGACGCGGTTGTTGATGATTTGGATGCGGTTGTGGAGGTCGGCGAATTGGTCTTGTTGCGAGCGGATGTTGCCTGCTAGGACGTCTTCGAGCATCTTGGGGATGTCCTGCTGGGAGGTCGAGGAACCATAGTTCTGCTGCCCTTGATTCTGCTTGTGCGTCTGCTGTTCGTGGCCTTGTTGGGCGGCGAGGTTTTGCTGTTGTTGGTGTTGTTGCTGGGAATTGATGTAGTCCTTCTTGCTTAGGTTGGGCTCTTCGCGCGTGTATGAGTTGGTGGTAGAGACGATGAACTTGTGGACTTCGAAAGAGTCAGGGTTCTCGGCGGAGGAGGCGCTTACACCGAAGTAGTAGCCTTCAGGGAGATCGACCTAGAGGGATAGTTAGGAGTGTGTATCTGAGCGCGTGGGTATGAGAGCATACCTTGTTAGTCTTGAAGCAGGTTTCTCCGTCTACAATGACCTCTAGGAAACCCTCTGCGTGGTGCAATTTGATAGGCGTAAGCTCTCCACGGTTCCTGTATGCATAATCGCATTTGCCAAAGGCCAATGTGTCGGGGTCAGGGTGAGCCCTGATGTCCTTGGTTCCATCGTTCAGGAAACCGCGAACAGAGCCGCCGTGTCCTTCATACTGGTCTATGACGAGTACCAGTCCGTCAAACTTAGGAGCCGTGTACAGGCTCGCTGGTGTCTCCCGCGCTTGTGAGTCCTTGACGTACCACAACTGCAGGTTACCGCCTCCACGCTCCATGCCAGTCGCTCTGAAGTCCAACTCGGCGGTCCAGTCGCCGCTGTGGTGTAGCGGGTCCTGCGCCCATATCGAACCACGCTTGCCTCCAGGGTATGGAGGCGTGAGAATAACTCTGTCGGAAAGAACCTGGGGCACGTAGTCGTCTGAGCCCTGAACGACGAAGTGAGGGACTGTCTTGTAATCGGGCGAGATTTGTTGGCCAGCTTTCTGGCCAAAGCTGAGGTTATCTATGACATATTGGGCGTGCGCTGTGGAAAGGGCGAGGGTCGACCAGGCAATGGTCCGCAGCGATTGCGGTGTGATGTGCATGTTGGAGGGGCGCAATGCGGTGCTCGGGTTGACGATGAGGTTCGATTCTGGGTGCAATTGGTTGCTCGATTATACTCGGACGTAGTCTTTCTATCTGGAATCCTGTTAGAGGGTTGTCGAATTGGAGGTATAGCAGCGAGCAAACGTACCTCCTGTAGGGCTGATAGTAGTTCCACCTGCGTCGCAACCTTAGAATGGTCCACGCGACGGTCGCAAGTCAATTAATCGAGAGTGAAAGAAACAATCGGGTATCACGAAACGACGACAATGCACAAGAAGAGAAGAACCGCCACCAGATGGGCAGGAACGAAACCGAATGGAGATGGGGAGCTTATGGACAGCTGTGCTTAAGACGGGTCTACATATGACATTGATTGGGTGGTCTATGCGCGGAGATACTGCGACAACTCTGGTAAGCCACCATCTAAGATGAGACGTCAAGCCCGCGAGGACATTCGACCTGTGGATACGGCACTGATGGAATGTTTCAAGCGATGCACAAATGACCGAAAATATAGTCGCAAAAGGGTCTAGCCACCGAGATACAGCAATGCGGAGGTTTGCTTGGCGGTTCGGTGCCGTCGGGAGTCGTGATTGGCCGACTACCATTTTCTCATCGTCGACTACCTCATGACCGAGCTGCATCCGCCATCGTCGCCGCCTACACGTCTCACGCACCCCACGCCAACCCCTCACCTTCACGGCCAACATGTCTGCACCGGATCCCAAGGAAGCCTGGGCGCGCATCCAGAATGAGCTCACACGACGCGGCTCTCGATTCGGCGGCGCGGGCGGCGGCGGACCACCGAAGGGCCTCTTTGGAGGTCTTGGAGGACTGGTACTAGTTGGTGGTGGAATCTGGATGGCGAACAATGCTCTTTTCAACGGTAAGTCTTCTTTAAAGAGGTCTCTCCTAGGGACTTCCAATGGGCCATGATGCGAATGATGCGAATGATACTGACTTGCGACAGTCGACGGTGGTCACCGAGCAATCAAGTACACCCGAGTAGGCGGCGTCCAGAAGGAAATCTACAGCGAAGGAACCCACTTCCGCATTCCCTGGTTCGAGACACCCATCACCTACGATGTGCGCGCCAAACCCCGAAACGTCGCTTCCCTCACCGGCACCAAGGACTTGCAGATGGTCAACATAACCTGCCGTGTACTGTCAAGACCGCGGGTCGAATCTCTACCGCAGATCTACAGGACATTAGGCACCGACTACGATGAGCGTGTTCTGCCATCAATCGTCAACGAGGTTCTCAAGAGCGTCGTGGCGCAGTTCAATGCCAGTCAGCTCATCACACAGCGTGAGAACGTCAGTAGGCTGGTACGCGACAACTTGGTCCGAAGAGCAGCGAGGTTCAACATCATGCTCGACGATGTCTCTTTAACGGTAAGTTGCCGCCCACTTACTCTTACCCCACCATCTTCTAACCGTCCTTAGCACCTCGCCTTCTCCCCCGAGTTCACCGCCGCAGTCGAAGCCAAGCAAGTCGCACAGCAAGAGGCCCAACGTGCCGCCTTCGTCGTCGACAAGGCCCGCCAGGAGAAGCAAGCCACCGTTGTTCGCGCCCAGGGTGAGGCCCGCTCCGCCGAGCTGATTGGTGACGCCATCAAGAAGAGCAGGAGTTACGTCGATCTCAGGGAGTTCGAGAACGCAAGGAATATCGCACAGATTCTGCAACAGAGCGCAAACAAGGTCTACCTCGACAGCAGAGGTCTTGGTCTGGACATCAGCCAAACCACGGCAGATAAGGAGCAGAGAGCGAACAGGAAGTAAGAAGATGAGGTGGCATGTGTCCTTGAAAGAATACTATTCGAAGACAACGTCGTGTATAAATATCTCTGGGAAAAGCGAGGTGCAAGCGTGCAATTGTGTAGCTTTCCACTCATGACTAAATAACAACAAAGTACTCCAACTCAATCCTGCTCTATCCCCATGGTACGAGAGGTGTATGCAATGACCACACATGCCACTCAAGCATGACAAGAAGAGGGAGGAAACAAGACAGTGTCGAAAGGGCAATGGTATTAATGCGCAAGTACTATATAGGGGTATCACTATTCGCTCTTCCTCTTCTTTGCATGCTCGTCCTCCTCTCCACCAGCAACATCAGTTCCATCTTCACAAACCTCGCTCTCAACCTCATCCACAGCCCTCTTCCTCTTCTCAGTCCTCGTAACCTCCTCACCAGCCGACTTCTCCGTAACAAACAACGTACTGGCCGTCTCTCTAACACTGCTACTATGACTCTGCTCACTCACCCCCTGCTCGACCACCGCCTCTCCATCTTTATCCTCCTCTTCATCAACCAACCCCAAATCCGCCGTATTCTTATCCGGATCCTCAAGCGCAGCCTGAATCTTCTCAAGCCCCATATCGTCTCCCTCGAGCGTCTCACTAATGTCAGGATCCACCCAACCCTCCGTGTAGCTGCCCCCGAAATCAATGATCCACAGCTTGTCGTTCGCGTCGACCATGAAGTTGTCTGCTTTCGCATCACCCCATATGATGCCGTTGTCGTGGAGTAGTGATACGTAAGCTGCGCTTTTCTCACTCCAAACACGCCTCTTCTCCTCATCTACTGACGACCTAAGCAACTTGGTCAACGGCGTTGGCGCATCGATGTTCTCCAACAACAAGCCCATGACCTCTGTCTTGCTATTGCCCTGGGCTACAAAGCCACGTAAATGGGGAAACTTGATATCAAGCTTTAACTTCTCGATCTTACGCAGGATCTGTATCTCGCGCTTCACAGAGTCGGGTTGGTCGGCTACAACCGGTTTGAAGAAGTACGTCTCGTTCGTGTCTTTGTGCAGGACTTGGCCTGGGTGCGCGGGAGGTGGCATGCTAACCTCGGACTCGACAATTAGGTCGTTGGCGTTGAGCCAGGGGAGCTTGTAGTCTTGCATGTATTTGGGGACTTTCATGCGGGGGACGAGGGCTTCGATCTTGGCTTCTAGATCGGAAGTCGTTTCCAAGAGTTCTGGTGACAGTTCTCCGTTGGCGATTTGTAACGTGTAAAAGTAGGTGGGGCCGTGGTACCATTCGTACAAGGTGGATTCTTCGGGTTTGCGGTTGGGTGGCGCGTAGGTGTTTGTGATGTCGGAGAAGGAGGCTAGGATCCAGTTTCGCAGTTCGACGCCAGCGCTCGCGGAATCTTGATCGGCGTCTTCTCCTGCCTCTGAAGCGGAGTCTTCGCAGTACTCGGAGTCGGAGTCGGCTGTGACGTCGATGCCGCTATCTTTTCCCTCTGAGCCTTGTCGGTCTTGGTTCTTGTTCTTCTTGCTCTTCACTTTTGCTTCTCGCTCTTCGGCTAGCTCTTCCTCGCGCTCTTCGGCTTCGCGAAGCGCAGAGATTTTGTCGAGGTACTCATAGTACAGAGGCTTCTCAGAGGACTTCTGAAGTACCTTGGGGTCGACAATGACGTGGAAGCGGACATCGTTGATGAGAGCTGTCAAAGCACAGCTATCCTCGTTGTCATAGGAAAAATGTAAAGTATGGGCTTTGGTGGTGGTAGTGGTCTGAGCCATTGCTCTAAAGAATGTGAGATTGACGGGAGGCGTATCGCTGAACGTATGAATGCAAATGGCCTACAATGTGCACGACAGCACACTACATCTATACTGCCATCATAATAGCCCACAGACTCAAATCTACCCCTACACCGACATCATCGCTATTTCGGATCGCCGACCTAATCGCATAGCAAATCCCATGCCACACCATAGGGGGCTTTATCTGACCCATGCATCTACATCATAGATGTCGTCCTGATCTGCAGGTACGATCGAGATAGTGGGAAACGGCACCGTCAGGAGACATTCTAAGTGGCTAGCAGGTGCTGGCGCATCAATAGATCCGATCTGGAATCGACGTCAGGGTATCGATCTGAAACTGTATAAAATTGGAATGGTTGGGGTGAAAGGGATCGGGGGCTGGCGCGTCGCGAACCACGGGTGCGCGCGATCAGATGTCGTGACGTCAACCACCTGCCGTGACGACTTAGCGCTTTTGCGTTTCTGTGACGACCATCCGCAATTCGATAGATCAGACACACGCTTTGCTTTTGGTAAGCTCGTTGGTTGACCCGGAAATCACAGGTAAATGCCATATGTGGATGGGATTGTTTCAAGATGAAGTCATATTTGTCGATTGACAAGACGTCCAACATTGTCGCATTGCTACATAAACGCTCATCGTTCATATCGATGCATCGCTAGCAGAAATACTGCACTAGTTCTGACGTTCAATCGTCGAGATAGCCAAACCATATACGCCGTTTTGAAAATAACAATTGTGCCTGCCTAAGGAGCGTGATCCCCACGTCGAGCGGCCCCTACAGTAACATAAACCAGAAGCGAAACGTGATCCTTTCCTAAGAATGATCCTAGATCCTGTCAAGATCTTGGAGAGCCTGCCCAGAAGTAAGAGTTAAGCAATGCGTTGAACCATCTTCCAGAGATTTCGCAAACGCCGAGTCATTATACGTCGTAATCCATAACAGTTATCATACAGCCTCGCAGTGGCGTCGTCGCGTCGAGTAAGAATATTTATACGGTGAAATCCAAGAGGTCGTAGGAAGAGGAGTCCAATGAAGTGAAGTCGCCCATTGCCTTCATTTCAAGATCGAACTGAGAGTAAGAGGTGTCAGGCATAGTGTCAAACAACTCGTCGAGAGCGTCTTTGGGCTCGATTGGCGATGTCGGCGGTGTTGTAAATTGATGGGACTGGACAGACGACCGTGATGGCGACGACGAAGCCTTCAAAGGGCTGGACTGGACTGGCGCGCTCGAACCGTTGACAGACCCGGCGGAAGCGGGTCGCACGTCGGCTGGTGACATGGGAGGCGTATGCGAGTGTTGAGAGAGCTGTTGGAGGATGTTCATTGACGCGGCGTCGCTCGGGTAGGTGGCAGACGCAAAGCTCGATTGTGCGTCTTCTGCGAAAGGGCTTGATGAGGCCTCAAAGCTATTGTATGTATCAGTATTGAGTTGGATGGAGTAGATTCGAGGAACTGACCTGAAGGGATCCACTGAAGCGTTCATGGAGTCGTAGCTTTGTGAGTCGGACATGAGCTGGGGCATGTCCTGTGATTGAGCTGGCTCGTAGCCCTCGAGTGGTGATGGAGATCGAGCTTCTGAGTACGGCGAGCCAGCTGAGGATGGTGCTGCAGATGCTAGTGCCCGTGACCTGCTAGCCTTCTCGACACGCTGCTCCATGTCTGGGCGATTCTTCTTCGGTCGGCCACGCTTGGCTTGTCGGCGGACTGCATCGGGGAACCCACCGACACACATGCCACGCTGGCGGTGGCGCGTGAGAGCATCTTGTCGTGCGAAACCTGCGCCACATGGGCACTTGTATGGCTTGTTGCCTGAGTGGATCTTTGCGTGGCGCTTCAGGTCGTGCTGGCGGACAAAGCACTTGCCGCATCCATTGCACTTATATTGACGATCGCCAAGATGAGTTTGAACGTGCGATCGGATGTTCTCTCGTCGTCCGAAGACCTTGCCGCAACCGTGGAAGAGGCAGGTCCACTTGCCGGTTGTGGTGTCTTGCTCGCTGATGTAACGCGCAACTTCTTCAGGTGCAATGCCAGTAAACTCGAAACTCGCGTCAACCTCAAGGTCGTTGAAGATCTGAGGTTGGGAGAATGAGTCCATGGATAGGCCGTTGATCGACATTGAAGTTTGCGGCGTAGGCAATAGAGCCGGTGTTTGCGAGAACATCATCTCTTGGTGCTCTTCGATGTTCTCCAGGAAAGAGTGCATGTCTTTCTGCTGTTGCGGCGAAGAGACTGGCGATGGCGACAAAGCATCGGATGTGTAGTAAGATGACGATTCGTATCCCATGTCGGCATCTGGGTTGTCGAAGTCGAAAGTCATGGCTCTTGAGGTTGGCTCAAGGTTGATGTCACCCATAGCAGTGAAGCTTGGGTGCTGAGTTGCACCAAAAGACTCATGGCTTGGTAGCTGTGCTGGCTTTTGCGGTGTTGCAGTGGGGGTTGGTAGGATGTTAATGAAGACTTGTCCACTTGAGCCATACACTGATTGTATGTGCTCGTGGAGTTCTTTCAGTTGCTGTGCAGTAGGGGGTTTAGAGGGGGATGAGGGAGGCTGCTGGGGAGACTGCGCACGGAGTGTCCGTCGTGGAGTCCGCGGTGTGATGGGAGAGATCTGTACTGGGGACGCCAAGAAGGAATCCTGGGGGCCCGGCTGGGGCTGTCTTAGCGGCTGCGCTACTTGCATAGATTGCTGTGGTATTTGTCCTAGATTGTTAGTATTACTTACCGTACTGTCCTCCTGCTGGAAGGTGGGTGTGTCGAAGGGTCCTGGTCGTTGGGTGTAGTCCTGGTGTTGGGCTTGTCGGGCGGCATGGATGGGGTCTAGGTTGAGACCGCGTAGATCCAAGCTCATGCCGCTTCGGTTGCGTCTTTGTAGTTTAGCAGGTGGTGCTCGTACTGTGGGTGCGTCAAAAACAACTGGTGTCGAAAGTTGTCGACGGTGCTGAATTCGTTGGCGCTGGATGCCGGCTGGCATATTTGTGGACAGCATTTCGTATGCAGGTGGAGTCCGGAGTCGGTTCTGGAGGAGGGGGATAGTCCTGTGGTGTCCGAAACTGGTATGTTGTTAGCAACTGATATCATGTGACGGCCCGACCACGATGAGATGGAAGCCTCGAGTTCAAAGATAACGACTTACCTCACGCAGTGCAAGCGGCGCTCCGCCGGGCGGTTAGTATCCTTATGGAATCCTCAGTACAGATGCAGTCTCCCAGTAGCCTGCGTCAAGTAAGTGTGTGGCCGAAGCCTGTGCGTGTGTAGATGTGTGTTGGTAGAGATGTATTCAGTAGCAGTCGCTAAAGCAGCAATCGATAGTTGAAACGAACAAAGAGATGTGGATGCGAGAGATGAGTAGCAAAGTGGAGGATAAATGCGGAGGAGGATATGACGATGTATAATGCCTTACCGGGTCGGGTAAACATTGAGCTCTATCTGGCGTTGCCGCCGCAACGACATGGTTCCAAGGTTACCCGGAGCCGCCCATGCATCAGAAGCGAGGCTAGGCTGAGACAGCGATAGCGCGTTTTCGAACGCACGGTGCGCATAGCAGCCTACGACCCGCCCACATTGATTTTGGTACTTTTCGAATTCCTCTGGTCCGTTCTCCCCGCAACCTTTGCATCTACGTGAGGAAAGCATCTCGAAGAGAGGCTCAGCGTTCAAGATGCAGATCTTCGTCAAGACCCGTACGTTACCACCCACGCACACACTGCGCCGCCATCATCGCCTTGATCGCATCCGAAGCGCCACCTAGGACTCAGCGGCTAACATCCTCCCAGTCACGGGCAAGACCATCACTCTCGAGGTCGAGAGCTCTGATACCATTGACAATGTCAAGTCCAAGATCCAGGGTATGTAGCGACACTTCAATCTACCAGGTTCGCCCCTAACACCACTCAGACAAGGAGGGCATTCCCCCGGACCAGCAGCGTCTGATCTTCGCCGGAAAGCAGCTCGAGGATGGCCGCACTCTTTCGGACTACAACATCCAGAAGGAGTCCACCCTCCACTTGGTCCTCCGCCTCCGTGGTGGAGCCAAGAAGCGCAAGAAGAAGGTGTACACTACCCCCAAGAAGATCAAGCACAAGCGCAAGAAGACCAAGCTAGCGGTCCTCAAGTACTACAAGGTCGACGGTGACGGCAAAATTGAGCGCCTCCGCCGCGAGTGCCCCCAGGCCGAGTGCGGTGCCGGTGTCTTCATGGCCGCCATGCACAACCGCCAGTACTGCGGAAAGTGCCACCTCACCTACGTCTTCGATGAGGCCAAATAAGCGCGTCGCCACCGGGGAACGCGATACGATCGACAACGAGTTACGGCATCATGGCATATATCGGAGGAGCTGGATAGGTTCCACCACAATGTCGGACATCTAGAATCAATCAAATTCGTCATGGACATCAGATGTTGTTACAATCTCCAATGCGTGAACTTGCCGCCCGGCGTATACGATGCGAGTCTAATATTGCAGTTTTGTGGTACTGCGCATAATTCCAGTTTCATTGCTGACTGGGTACGAAGCATGCAGATTTCAATCGTGGTATCATCATGTCGTTATGGCTGCGGGCGGACCACTACCTAGCGACTATAAACTAACAGAGGTGCACATCACTACAACCGCTCCCAACATGCCAATCATTAGTATCGAGAATTGCTCCCCTGACATTCGCACAGCCGCTCCCAGTTGAGCGTTACCGCCTGGACCTGCGATCTCGCCTTGCCCACTCGTACCACCCTGACCGTTACCATTGTCGTTCCCACTTCCCCTCCCACCCGATCCGTCGTCCGCCCCATTTCCTCCAACTTGACCACCATCACTCCTTCCGCTTGTCTCAATCTCAATATCCTGCATAGGCGTACCCGGTGGATTGTTAACGCTGTTGACCTGGGTTTGGAAGTCGACCAACGGGTTTTCGATCATCGCACAGGGCATTCGTCCACCATTTGCACTGAGCGGACCAGGAGCGGGCTTCGTAGTAAGCTGCGAGGCACCAGGGAAACGCTGAATGCTATTCGTTACGCTGATGGGAAGGTTGAAGATGGTGTACCGGTCCACGCCATTCAGTCGATAATTCTGGTGTATACTGATGTTGTAGTCCCCCCTCGCAGTAGAACCCTCATCCTCGTTGTTGTCTCCGACTAAACACTCCGGCCATTCGAAGTTGATGTGCTTGACTGTTTGACCACTTTCTTGATCTAGTATGTCTGCGAATGGTGGTGTGGACGTCGTTATGTTCGATATAGTGAAGTTCTTTTGCGTAACCGTAGATGTAAGGAAGAGCGTGAAGTTGAAGACCTGGGTGAGCGGGTCGGCGATATTGCGTGGCGGCACTTGGAGTTTGCCATCGCCTGAGATATCGAGCGCGATGTGAAGGAAGTCGCCGCCCATGGGCGTAAAGGGCTGAGGCTTGTATTCTTGTCAGCAGGAGCATTGCGCGTCTTGACACTTCAACCTACTGCAAGGATGATTCCTAAGCCAGGTGTAAATATTCTTCCATTCACAATAGTGAACGCGCTGTTGTCGGGCCCATTGTTTTGTCCATTACGATTATTATCGCCGTTCTGTCGTCTCTCAAATCCTCCATGATTCGGCGACCACGACCCCAGCATCTGCGCACCGACGACATTGTGCATTAGACATAGTGAAAAGAGTGAAAGATACGAGAAAAACGATGGGGAAATCATTGCTCAACAACGATGCATGCTGACCAGCAGTAACGACAGAAGGAAAGAGGCGCGAAGAACAGCCTGAAGCAGGATATGTCGTTAGCAGGAAATCAAGGAAGCGCAATTACAGCGAGGCTTCGTAACCCGCGATAGCCGGTGGAGGTGTCGAGTGCCCAGAGGCCTTTGCATGATGCTTGGTAGAGGGCGAGAACTGGCTTTCATGCAATATTGGACGAAATATGCCTTATGAGGCATGCGTATTTCGTTCCGAGACGCGTGGTGTCTGAGAAGTGATAGTTCGGCTGTGGTTCAGCCGGTGGGGGCTGCTGTTCGCTAGGTCGTTTCTTCTGCGTCTCGGACGCCTTCCCTCGAACACAACGCATCGGCGCGACTCATCACTTCTGCGACCTATGATACCTGGCTTCTCTCCGATGATAAAGTGTAGAAACTCGACCTTGTTTACTCTTAGATAGCTCTCTTTCCAATTGAGCACTGGGCTCACCTGAAGTGCTTGTCGGGCCTCACAGATAGCCGGGCCTGATGCGAAACAGTAATGACGAGCTCAGTTTTGGTACGCAGGAACCGCAATATCGAGAACATCACGCCTGTAGATGCTCGAACCGTATCGTGGCCTCAATTCAAATACTTACGTTAATGCCAATAAAATACAATTAACATAACATCCTCGACACCACCACCTCTTCACAGTACAATCACAATAGGACGCCACAGCATATCGTCATGTCAACACCTATTATGTCTTAAATGACACTGTAGGCAATGTCAGAGCGCTGTCAAAAGTTACGTTGCTGTTTGCAAACAATTTCTAGATTCGGACCAGACTACAAAGGTCTGCATTCCGCTCTCAAAGGGCAGCAGCTGCCATCTATCTATTCTGGCACTGGTTATCCTTGGAGGAAAATCAGCTTTTAAGTATCCAAGTAGCTTTTCATGACGCCGCAAATATCAAAAGCCACTGAGATTCTTAGTACTTGTCGCCTGAGAAGAACTATCCTGCACTCCATTCCACCCACTTCAAACCTTTCCAGCCCTCCTGGTGAGTGCTTTGGAGGCATCTTCACTGAACCATGTGCAAATCATGCAGAACTCGTGGGGGTGCTCCTCAAGAAATTCGACATGATAAGTCCACTTCGGTCTTTGTATCAAAGGACGATCCCGCAAAAGAACAAGCTGTCAACACTCCTCCAACGACTTTCCAGTCTTGGCTATTTGGTGTACTTAGTGGGGGTCAAGATTCCTGGATCATGAATCACATGAGCTCCGAATTCTATGATATGGCCGGAGATGCCATCAAAGAGCATACCGGAGGTCGGGATATCCAGATTCTGATCATGACATGTGCCGCTCTCAATGCTGCTCGTGTACAGCTTCCAGCCATCATGAGCGCACTTTTAAACCAGGTAAAGCCGCAGGTCACTAGTTCAATTACCATCAGTGGTTATGATAGCGTACTTTGTGGCGGGCTGCTGACTCTAGCTCGCGAAAAGGCCGAAGAAAGCTGGGAGCTTCGACGTTTTCGTGGAGAGCATCAGATGCGTACGGTTACAGGACAGCTTTCACTTGTCGCTGGAAAGACAGAAGGCTCATTCTGGCACAGGGGTAAGCATTTTATGCTTGAGATTCAGCGCTCTGGCACTGCAGAAAAGTCAGAGCTTGACAAGTTGAACACTAATGACTTTTTCACAAGCCTTCCCGATCCTACGGGGTCCATTACTGTTCGATGCTGGGGACACAGTCGACAGCCCATTACAGAGCTGTTTGAGTATGTTCAAAAGCAGTTTTTGGAAAGCACAAAATTGACTGTAGTCGAAATGGGAGCGCATGGAGACAAGGAGTCCCAGCGCAACAAGCGTCCTCTCTCCTCTATCGATCTTGATCCGAAGATGATGCAAGATATTACCAAGGAAATAGAAATGTTTTTCCATAAAGACTCCCAAACTTGGTATGAGAACAGTGTTTGACCCTACCGACATGGTTACCTTTTTGCAGGCCCACCAGGTACTGGCAAATCGTCGCTGTTGGCTAGGGTTGCCTCGCACATGGATGTGCCCTTGTATATCATCAGCTTACAAGGTATGTATGACCATGACCTGAGGGAAGCTTTTAGTCGAATTCCTTTCCGGAGCTGCATTGGCCTTGAGGATATCGATTGCGTCGGTGTCGATGTTGGTAATTGAGGCGCACAAAACTCAGATGTGCAACTCGAACCCAAGTCTCAGTCGTCAGGTTCTGGGGACACTGAAGAAAAGCCCGAAATGAATGCACTGGAGACCATGCTGGCATAATTCATGGAAGAGCAAAGTGTCGCAAACCATAGGGTGCTTGACCAGGTCAAAGCTATCAAGTCGGCTACTCTAGAAATCCTAGGTAAGCCTCAGGATTTCGGTAATGGGACCCAGCCGAAGAAAACAACGGAGCCTTCAGATAGCATGGATTCTACATCCAAGTCGGTAACTCTTTCGGGCTTACTCAATGTCATTGACGGTGTTAATGCCGCTGAAGGCAGGCTGATTACCATGACAACAAATCATCCCGAGAAGCTTGATCCGGCACTGTAACGCGCTGGTCGTGTTGAGCGCAAGTTCGACATTTCGTACGTAAGCAAAGCCAGTTCAATCATGACCTTCAAGCGCCTCTTCGACAACGATGTCTGCAAACGATACACCTCAGAAGCTATCCATCGTTTTGCTCTAGCTTTCCAGGCTCAATTCCCTAGCAAGTCGCATATCACTATTGCGGAACTTGCGAAGTACTGCGGTCAGTGTCGTGGAAGGCCGGACATTGCTGTCAGAGAGTTTTCTGACTGGTTACAGCGTGGCGCGGAGAAGTTCTCATGTCCTGTTGACTACGCTAACCTGGTAGATACGGAGGGTGTCTATAACGTCCCCGAGCCCTTCGATGAGGGGCTTTTACAGGTCAGCGCACATTATCTTATTGATCCTATTGCGGCCGTAGCATCAGGTATCGATGTAGCTGACGAGGTACAAGGAGATGACCGAAAGTCAGGATTCTGGAACCCTTTCAAAGCCATCAATACTTTGCTTTTAGACACTGGGGACTACACTGACATTGTGTCTGTTGAGGCTTCACTCTCAAGCGTCGATACATATCAGGAGCATACTATCTAGCTTTTAGATGAACCACTGTATAGCCGATTAATACCAGAGGTACGGCACGCCGACACTGAAACATGTCATATCGGAGAGCCCTTCCCAGACCCCCTCGCGTTCAGTTTAACATTCGACCCTCTAGATCCATCGCCTAACGGTCGGCACGCGCAAATCTCCGAAGGCTGCATCGGCCCTGGTCTCGCGACGCCACCACTGGGATACTCGTCAGCACTTTACCCCTCACCAATATACGACTTGTTTCCAGAGTACGAAGACAGCGAATGTAATGATGATACTGAGCCCACGTCTCGACTGTTGAAGCTTTTTCAGTTTCGTCAAACGAGTCGGCCTGGGGTGAAGCGCACCATAATCAGGCTAGTCCCGTTCGTTCGGTGGCCTCAGTCAAGTTCTCGGAGCCAGGGAAATTGGCGCTAGCATCGCCTCGCCCTATCGCTACAGACTCGGTTGCGTCTGAACACGAGCGCTATGATTCTGCTGTCGAAGACTCTGATTGTGAGACATTCGACACTGCTGAAGAGTAGCCTGGCCTACGTGATGAGTGGTCTAGGAATTTTGCCTCAAACATAGTGGCTAGAAAAGGGGGTGTGTCTAATCCCTCAAGCCGGATAATTGCAAAGTGAGCTTAGGTCAAGCAATCGAGATGATATGGATAGGAAGATTCAACATTAGTGAAATCTAACAATATTAAATGTAAATACATCGCATTTTCATATCTCATGTTGGGAAACAAAACAAAGTAAACTCTATTGGTATCAAAGAAACTCGTAACAACCGCATGCGCAAGAGGACACACAGTCTCGGGTTATTGCCAAGGCTGGCTATCGTATCGTCCATTATACTGAATGTGGTCTGACGACGCCGACGACGTACTCCCTTGAGTATTGTGAGCCGCCGAGTGTGCCAGTATTTCCTCCTTACTCCCCGCGAAGCTAATCTTATCGTCACTATCCTTGCGACTATGGCTCTGGACCGTGAACTCTGTGGTTTTGATAACGGTCGAGGGGAGCTGGTCGTTATTTGCTTTTCCACTGGTAACGTGTACCTCCCATTGTTCCTGGTGCTCTGTGTTTGTGGCTACAGCGGAGCGTTGATGTCCCGTTCCTCGAACCGTTCCTAGCGCTACGGCCGCTGACCGGTTTCCGCCGTTGCTGTACGAGCTGGCACATCCACTCCGAGCGCTCCGAGTCAGGGCGACGAGGCGGTTGAGGATGCTGAATTCCAGCTTGAGCTTGATGCTGTATACGAGTGGCTTCCACGATGTCTGGATCTCGAACATGTCTGCGAATTCGAGACCTAGGATACTGAAGTCCAGGAGGATGACGAGGAAGTTGACGAAGATGAGGTGTTGGAGTAGGCTTTTCGTGCCAAAGTTTCCAATCGTACGTTCCATTCGGAGGAGCTTCGTAGTTTCATATACGTAGAGGCCGGAGATGACGAGTTCCTGGGCGATGAAGACGCTGAGTTGGATCTTTTCGTAGATCTGGTAGGGCTGTACGAAAGGCGTAGGGTTGTTGGAGTTGTTTCCATAGACCAGGACGATGACGGGTATGTGGAGCCATGTGGCGTTGACAATAATCATGACGAGAACAGCTTTCAGTTTCTTCCTATTGTGCATCACGATATGCAATCGCGAGTAGAGCACAACAGACTGTCCGGTGATCATCGCACACCATCCTATCAGGATGAATGTGGCGTAAATGTTCTTTTGCGGAATATTTGCGAGGTGCATGAGCGTGTAGCCGGTGGCGTTGAAGACGATGCCCCATGTCGATATGGTGAAGCTCCAGAAGTAGAGCCCGCTCCGTCTCTTGAACAAGGTGAAGATGTAGACATTAAGTTCGAGGAAGTTGTAAAGTGCGATGCTAAGGAAGACGGCCGCAATGGTCTTGGAGACCACAATGTCGACTGCCATCGCGAGGCAAGAGAATGTTTGAGGAAAAGCAGTCAACGAAGCGAAAGGTGGAGTTTGAAAGCGGATCTGGGGATCGCCTCCACAAGACTTGTTCAGCGTCCAGCTAGGTTCGGTGTAGCCGGGGTATCGCCAGGAATGGGTAATCTGAACCTTCCCATGCTACCCATCTCGATTTCAGCCGTACTGAGCCGCAACCGCAGGGGCTTTACGACATACCGATCCTGGTCCACGCGGAAACCGAACCAGCAAATCCCTCACGCTGACAGTCTGTTTCGCCCGGGGAGAGCGGAAGACATCTCATGAGACCCTCCTTTGCTTGGCGACACATCATGTTCGCTTGCGTGGAGGCCCCCATTGGTGGGAGTTGAATGCGATGCAAGCCACACTAACTTGAATCGCAATCAGATATCGGTCCGTTCCTGCTAATCCTCAACCCGATGTCAGGTTGCGATTCGCTCCTGTAGCCTCGTCAGCTTCCCGTAGCTAGCATGTCCCCGTCCAATTCTATTTTCCTTGAAAGACCCCTTGGCTTTATGATCAAGCATCGTATGATGATCTGGACCACATTATCTGTAAGATATTTCCATGGTTAATACAGCGGCCAGCGGCATGTACCTCAAACCCCTTCACATCTCGCGTTCGCGTGCTATACGTGAGGCCTGGATGATCTCGGTACCATCGTCGGTGCCTCTTCTTGTCCAAGCACAGTCGATGGAAGGTTCTCCGGATCGACAAAAAAGGAAACACAGGGCTAGAAGCTTCATGCGCTTCTTCGACCCCTACTAACGGACGATACCAATACTTGGTTCCCGGTGTCATGTAGAAAGCGTCGGTTTGATACCTGCTTGGACCTCTTCGCTTGCAGCATACGTGATTTAAAGTTTGGCGTACCTGCAGTATGAGGGAAGTGCGGTTCAGAACTTCTAGTTGCTGCGACCATATGCCAAGCAGACGGCGTGCTATTCAGTCGCTGAGCCACGCGGCATGAACAAAATGCGGTCTTTGCATCATTTGATCAGTGCAAGATTTCTGCGCGCCTTAAAATCGTGAATGAGTATCTCAGCGGTGTTGCATCGTGAGACCCAAATTGTTCAGGTGCCCAAGAGGAGGCAGTGCTGTATCGCATCGTGTTTTGTCTGGTGTCGAAGTGGCGTTTAGCAATGAAGGAGCCGGAGGCTACCTTCCCATGGGGTCCGGGGTTGCGCCGACTGGTAGTGGCGGCGCTTTTCTCGGGCTTCGTGGGCTTAGCTTCCCCTTATACTAGACCTGAGGGTCACGTGGAGGTTCGCGAACCTGCGCATTGGACTCCAACACCCGGGGGCCAATAGATAATTAGTGAACGCCACCATGCAACAGCGGCCTGCAGGCGACCCTGTGTAGATTTAGCCTCGGCAAGGCAAACCTGAACAAGAGTACGCCGAACGCAGGTACTAGGACGTTGCATCTCTGAATCCTCTTGGGCATCATTTTCACTTGGGCATTGTTCAGTCTCTGGCATTATGCAGCTGTGATATTTCAAATTACATTATTTGTCTATTTGTGCGGTACAACACATTATGGTATACGTTCAGTAATCTAGACAGTGACATTGACAGATTCGTCGATCACTGAATGGGTGCTCCGGAGGCGCCCAAGGTCGCGTAGAATAGCTTGGTCTGACCGGTAATGATCATGCGTCCTTCTCCCGCAAACTTGAAGTTGGCTGCTGTCGTACCCGTGTAGATCTTTCCAATGAGCTTGCCCGAAGGGTTGTAGACCCATACACCATCTCCGGCACCAGTGTAGACACGGCCCATAGAGTCGGTGTGTACACCTGTCATGGAACGTTAGCGATTGCATTCAAAGTTGCATGTCCACGTGCGAAGCTTACCATCAGGGATACCAACGGGAAGGTAGGCGAATGTCTTGCGGTTGCTAAAGGTACCATCTGCACAGACGTCGAACGAGTAGAGCGACGCAGGGGCAGTGAAGTTGTAACCGTAGAAACCCATTGCAATACCAGTGTCGGCGACGTAAGCCTTCCTGCCATCGGGCGACATGGTAATTCCGTTGGGATGACCGAAATCATCAGCGACAACGGTTAGCGCACCCGTGTCAAAGTTGTATCGGTATACCTGCTCTCTAATAGCGGGTACAGGACGGAAATCTTGGAGGTATCCGTATAGAGTGTCGGTGAAGTAGAGATCACCGTTTGTTGGGTTGACGACCAAGTCATTCAACGAGTTGAATTGACGACCAAAGTAGTTGTTCACAAGAGCTGGGATGATTAGTTTCAAGCTTCGTTTCTGGATCACATCGGAATACTCACTGGTGGTGTTGTACGGTGGCAGAGGGTTCATCATGTACAACGCCGATGGCACGTTGTCACCTTGGCCTTCACCAGCGAAAATGATGTTTCCCTTGTAGTTGGTACCGCCGTTAGGGTTGATAACCTGAGGGTTTGAGGTGTCGACGACAGTGACAGGTGCTGCCTCCAGGGATCCATTCCTAACTTTCTCGGCGTCCGAAAGACTAATCTTCTGGATAATGGAAGACTTGTTCAGTCCGGTACCCGCAGCCTTTGCACCAGCATTCTGGACGAAGAATACCTCCTCTGTCGGAGGGTACCACGTAACAGCTTCGTGGAAGAGCGGGTCCGACTCTGAGGTTGCGATGGTGGTCAACGAAGGGTTCTCGCCGATGACGTCGTAGAATTCCTCGTCATAAATGTGGAAAGGCTTCTCCAGAAGAGAATCGGCAGTCACACTTGGCCAAACGAAAAGCTAGTTTCTTATTAGACCACTTCGAGCTTCACGAATATGTAGAGGAGAAAAAACGTACCGATGTCGCATTGGCTCCAGAAGGTGGTGGGACGGTCTCCAAAACATTGAAGCTCTTTTGGTCAACGACCTGTGCAGACTCAGGTACAGTCCGCGCGAAAGCACAGCCAACTGCTGCGCTAGCAGCCAGGAAGACGGATGTAGATGGCATCTTGAGGTGAGATTGACTGACTGTACATTTCCAAGTTGACGAGACTGACCCATTATATGAAGCAGCTGTCCGGATAAACCCTTCACCGTTCTCGTCCCGGCAAAGAGAATATTAGATTATCTCGGCAGAACCCATAAAGCGGCATTTTCGTCATCATGCGGCTCGCTGGTGAACCATTTCCGGCATGGCATGGTGGAAGAGGGCCGATGGCGTTCAATTAGCCCAGGGTTAGAGAGGCCGGCGATGAGGCTAGGCGCAATGACCCCGTGGGGTTGGAAGGTGTGTCGGCATATCGCAACCCCGCCTTGGAGTCGCGCAACGAATTTCAATTGCGTCAGAGGAAGCACGGTCATGATTATTGATGAAGGTACGTTTACGTAGTGCATCATTCTTCACTTTTGCATGCTGGTTGCGCGCATTTCGTAGGCTAAATTATCGTACGGTACTTCGAATGCAGCTCGTCGTATGTTCCTTGCTTCCCGATGCACACCAAGCCGCTGTGCCTTCTTGGCACAACAGTTTGACCGGTCGGGGTTACTCGACCCGCTACCCGCTACCGAAGTACTTTGGACAATGCACCAGAAGCCTAGATTCATCTCTTCGTATCCAAGCCCATGGACGGAGATACGTTGCCGCATGGGGCTGCCGCAGAATTGGAGACTCCCGGTCAATATGCCCATGTCCCTATGTCTCCCAAAAAGCTTAGCCTTTTCTTATCGATACATCCCAGGTAGAATAGCTACGGATGCTGTGTGATCGGCCGTTTACATGCAGATTTGACCGGAGGATTCAGCACTGTCTACATGCAAGTGCCTTCACGCCTTCTAGATTCTGAAATTCCAAGCTTCGGGCAGTCATTGTCAGCTCACAAATATTGGTCGAAGAGCTAGTTCATCGCTTTTGTAATTTAGCCCAGAAGGTAAGCACGCTTCCCGTGTCACTTGAATCAAGAAAGCCATTTGCGGCTTTTGCCCGTTCGAGACTACGACACCCTGCTTTGTTCCTCATTATAGAGTGAAAACGTAGTTCTACTGATATGAGAAGAGGGAACAGCGTAATCGAACTCTAGCGTAGATCAACTTCAAACTGGCTTCCAAAGACCAAAGAGGAGAGCCGAAACAGAGTTCGAAAAGCAAGTCTATAAAGAAAGAGCTTACACCTGTCTCACAGTAGTCAGCCTATCTTCGGCGCCGGACACCAGATCAAATTGTCAGTTCAACCCAAATGTCTCTCCCGCACTGGAGTCGTAAGCATACGCGCATAGCCACGTTTACTATGACACGCGAGCCCTATATTACCGGCACTTCTAAGAATGCGACTAGAATTTCCTGACAAGCTATCCCTACATACACCATGCACAACGCATAACATGACCGCTCTTACAGAGAGAGATCAATGGCTAGTCAGCATGTCATTGCAGTGGCCTTGTAGTCTCCGTAGTAGTAGGGATCAACCTTGTTGTAAGTTCGGTATTTACACAACTGTCTTGGTGCATACATAGCATCAATACCCAGAGTAAGCCAAGGGCAGAAGCCCAGTCTTGCGAAAGGGACTAAAGTACATGGCCGCCTTTCGCACCCTCCGCTTGTTCTCCTCCGTCTTCCTTCATGGGCTGGAGTAGTCGCAATGGCAGCGCAGTATCAAGACTTTACATCAGTTCACACGTTGCAAGCAAGGAGCAAAGAAATGGGTCATGAAATCGTGAGTGATATTGCTCTTTCAACATTACCCCTCGATGTCCACCATCCCCCACCCGCCGTCGTAACCCATCCGGCCCCAAGAGACCCAGCCACCGCAACTCCACTCAGAACCCCCCTACGTTGATACAGTAAAGCCGTATCAGTCATTGAATACGAAAGGAAAAGAAAACAAGGAAGAAGAACGCCAATCCCCATTCGCGCTATTTTCCAGCTGCGAAGGTATCCTCGTGGGGGGATGCATATGCAACGCACAAAACTCCAAGATGATGGCCAAACCCAAAACCTGCCCGAAAAAGGGACAACCTTGTTACCCCAAGATATCGTGGCCGTAACGTTCAGAAGCTCGTAATAAGAACAATAGTGAGAAAACAAAGGAAAAGTATAGAACAGAAAACAGGCGACTCGTCGCAGAGTGAGTCGTGAAGCATCAGAAGTGCTTTTCCCCTTTTTCGATCTCAAAACGCCAGATCGTCAGAATAGTGTACAAGGGTGGTGATGATGATGATGATGTCGAGGTACCACAGTATCGCAAGACATTCAGAAAACGGCTGCAGATGCACGTCGTAACCAAGACAGTGTTTGTGCAGAGTAAATGGAGCGGAGTAGTAACAAGAGAACGATAGTGAAGGATGAACAGCCTCGCGCAAGCGCTTAGCTCATATCC